TTATTTAACTCCTCCAGGCTATTACTTGTGGAGATAAAACAATGACGTTGCAAAGCAAACAGAGTCAGCGGTAGAGTCACATTGCTGTTATCCAATCAGAGGAGAGATGTCGACATATCAGGAAATAAGACTTCAAAAGTCATTTGAAGCTCTATTCTGATCTGGAAATCTCCTACTTCCTGTCACAGGCGTGCGAGAACTTTTGTCCCCTGAATACGACTTACAAGGCATTCATTCCTACTAGAGATCAATGCAATTTTATTAAAAATATAAGTGAGTGAACTCACTGATGCGCCTGCAGCCTCTCAAGAGTTCCTGCTGCTCTAAACATTAAAATAATTATTTCATTTTCTGTTCCTCACTTCTGATTACCTTCAATGGTGTCTGTTTGTTGCAACCACCAGGTACAAAAACTAACTTTTGTTGTTTTGTTTTGTAACACCAGCCCAGAGATTGGTGTTGGGGTAACCCCTGCTATGAACCATATTTCCAGTAGTACAGAATTGAAAATGTTTGCTGAAAATTTTGTGCAATAATCAGATTTTTATTTTACTTCCACAAAATTCAAATTCTAAATTAGATATTACAGAAAACAGGGGTTGCCTGCCATCAAATTTAAAAGCCATCTCTCATCGTTCAGGCCATAATTTTTGAAGTCAGGCTGTCCAAATGATGGTGTGACGACACTGGCTAGTACTGTGCAGGGAAGTGTGGAAGTGCAGCGAGATCGATAATCGAATGGTCCAATAGTTTCTTTTAGTCTGAACCTAGACACATGCAAGGGAACCACTTTATTAAAGGTTTTCATTTTACTTTTTAATCTCCACAATATATTTATAGCTATACTATGTTAGAACATTGTTAAGAGGCATGAAAAATGTTTTAGGCTCATTTGTTTTCCAAATTTGCCATTTTAGCTTTAAAGAAAGGAAGTAGTTAGTACCTGATTATTGCACAAAATTTTCAGCAAACATGTTCATTTCTGTACTACTGGAAATATGGTTCATAGCAGGGGTTACCCCAACACCAATCTCTGGGCTGGTGTTCCAAAAAACAATCATAACAATTACTTAAAAGGTTTTACTTTTTTTTTTTTAAATAAGTTTCGAACGTGAAATGCACGGACGAGGATTTGGGCCACTGAAAAGAATAAAAAGAAAAGAAAGAGAATTCAGGTTTTTTTTCTTCAAAATTCTAACTTTATTAATCTTGAGATAAAAAAGTCAGAATTCTGAGATTAAAGTCAGAATTCTGAGATTAAAGTCAGAATTTTGAGAAAAAAAGGTCTAAATTCTCTTTCTTTACTTTTTTTTCTTTTCAGTGGCTCAAATCCTCTCTGTAGGACAGTTCCCTAAAAATGGCTTCTATACTTTTTTGAAGTATTATGACAAACACTCGTCTCTCTCGTCTTCCTCCGCTTATCCGGGTCCGGGTCGCGGGGGCAGCATCCCAACTAGGGAGCTCCAGGCCGTCCTCTCCCCGGCCTTGTCCACCAGCTCCTCCGGCAGGACCCCAAGGCGTTCCCGGACCAGATTGGAGATGTAACCTCTCCAACGTGTCCTGGGTCGACCCGGGGGCCTTCTGCCGGCAGGACATGCCCGAAACACCTCCCCGGGGAGGCGTCCAGGAGGCATCCTGACCAGATGCCCAAACCACCTCAACTGGCTCCTTTCGATCCGGAGGAGCAGCGGTTCTACTCCGAGTCCCTCCCGAATGTCCGAGCTCCTCACCCTATCTCTAAGGCTGAGCCCGGCCACCCTACGGAGGAAACTCATTTCGGCCGCTTGTATCCGCGATCTCGTTCTTTCGGTCATTACCCAAAGCTCATGACCATAGGTGAGGATTGGGACGTAGATCGACCGGTAAATCGAGAGCCTGGCTTTCTGGCTCAGCTCCCTCTTCCCCACGACAGATCGGCTCAGCGTCCGCATCACTGCAGACGCCGAACCAATCCGCCTGTCGATCTCCCGATCCCTCCTACCCTCACTCGTGAACAAGACCCCGAGATACTTAAACTCCTCCACTTGAGGTAGGACCTCTCCCCCGACCCGGAGGTGGCAAGCCACCCTTTTCCGGTCGAGAACCATGGTCTCAGATTTGGAGGTGCTGATCCTCATCCCAGCCGCTTCACATTCGGCCGCGAACCTACCCAGCAAGAGCTGAAGGTCAGAGCTGGATGAAGCTAGGAGGACCACATCATCCGCAAAAAGCAGAGACGAGATTCTCCTGCCACCAAACTCGACACACTCCACACCACGGCTGCGTCTAGAAATTCTGTCCATAAAAGTGATGAACAGAACCGGTGACAAAGGGCAGCCCTGGCGGAGTCCAACCCTCACTGGGAACAGGTCCGACTTACTACCGGCTATGCGGACCAAACTCACGCTCCTCTGGTAAAGGGACTGAATGGCCCTTAACAGAAAGCCACCCACCCCATACTCCTGGAGCGTCCCCCACAGGGTGCCCCTGGGGACACGGTCATAAGCCTTCTCCAAATCCACAAAGCACATGTGGATTGGTTGGGCAAACTCCCATGCCCCCTCCATCACCCTTGCAAGGGTATAGAGCTGGTCCACAGTTCCACGGCCAAGACGAAAACCACATTGCTCCTCCTCTATCTGAGATTCAACTATCGATCGGACCCTCCTCTCCAGTACCCTGGAGTAGACCTTTCCAGGGAGGCTGAGGAGTGTGATCCCCCTATAGTTGGAACACACCCTCAGGTCACCCTTCTTAAAGATGGGGACCACCACCCCAGTCTGCCACTCCCTAGGAACTGCCCCCGATGACCACGCAATGTTGCAGAGACGTGTCAACCATGACAGCCCTACAACATCCATAGCCTTGAGATACCCAGGACGAACCTCATCCGCCCCCGGGGCTCCACCGCTGTGTAGTTGTTTGACTACCTCAGCAACTTCTGCCCCCGAGATCGGACAGTCCATCCCCAGGCCTCCCAGCTCTGGTTCCTCCTCGGAATGCGCATTGGTGGGATTGAGGAGCTCCTCAAAGTATTCCTTCCACCGTCCGACTATAGCCTCAGTTGACGTCAGCAGCTCCCCATCCCCACTGTAAACAGTGTGAGCGAGTTGCTGCCTTCCTCTCCTGAGGCGCCGGACAGTTTGCCAGAACCTCTTTGGAGCCGATCGATAGTCTTTCTCCATGGCCTCACCAAACTCCTCCCACGCCCGAGATTTTGCCTTGGCAACTGCCACTGCTGCACCCCGCTTGGCTATCCGGTACCTGTCTGCTGCCTCCGGAGACCCACAGACCAGCCACGCCCTGTAGGCCTCCTTCTTCAGCCTGACGGCTCCCCGAACCTCTGGTGTCCACCAGCGGGTACGGGGGTTGCCACCACGACTGGCACCGGCCACCTTACGACCACAGCTAGCAACAGCCGCCTCGACAATCGCAGAGTGGAACAAGGCCCACTCGGACTCAATGTCCCCCACTGCTCTCGGGACGTGGTCAAAGCTCTGCCGGAGGTGGGAGTTGAAGACCGTCTTGACAGGTTCTTCTGCCAGGCGTTCCCAGCAGACCCTCACTATGCGTTTGGGTCTGCCAGGTCTACGCGGCATGTTCCCTTGCCATCTGATCCAACTCACCACCAGGTGGTGATCAGTTGACAGCTCCGCCCCTCTCTTCACTCGGGTGTCCAAAACATACGGCCGCAGGTCAGATGATACGACTACAAAATCTATCATCGACCTGTGACCTAGGCTGCCCTGGTACCAAGTGTACCGGTGGGCATCCTTATGTTCGAACATGGTGTTCGTTATGGCCAAACTGCGGCTTGCACAGAAGTCCAATAACAAAACACCGCTCGAGTTCTGATCAGGTGGGCCGTTCCTCCCAATCACACCCCTCCAGGTCAAGCTGTCATTGCCCACGTGAGCATTGAAGTCCCCCAGCAGGACAATGGAGTCCCCTGATGGAGCACTATCTAGCACTCGTCCCAGGGACTCCAAAAAGGGTGGGTACTCTGAACTGATATTTGGCCCATAAGCACAAACAACAGTCAGGACCCGTTCCCCGACCCGAAGGCGCAAGGAAGCTACCCTCTTGTCCCCCGGGGTAAACCCCAACACACAGGCAGAGAGTCTCGGGGCTAACAAAAAGCCAACCCCAGCCCTCCGCCTCTCACCCGGAGCAACTCCAGCAAAGTAGAGTGTCCAACCCCTCTCCAGGTCTCGGGTTCCAGAGCCAATGCTATGTGTCGAGGTGAGTCCGACTATATCTAGCCGGTACCGCTCAACCTCTGCCACAAGCTCCGGCTCCTTCCCCGCCAGCGAGGTGACGTTCCATGTCCCAAAAACTAGTTTTCTTGTCCGGGGATTGGACCGCCAAGGCTCCCGCCTTGGTCTGCCACCCGATTCACATTGCACCGGACCCTTCATGTTCCTCCTGCGGGTGGTGGGTCCACAGTTGGACGAGCCCATGTATCCGGTTCGGGCTGGGCCCGGCCGGGCCCCATGGGCGAAAGCCCGGCCACCAGGCGCTCGCTCACGGGCCCCAACCCCAGGCCTGGCTCCAGGGTGGGACCCCGGTAACCCTCCGGGCCGGGTACTCCGACTCTTCGTTTTAACCGCCATGAAAGATCCTTCGAACCGTTCTTTGTCTCACCCTTCACCTAAGACCAATTTGTCATGGGAGACCCTACCAGGGGCACTAAGTGCCCCAGACAACATAGCTCCTAGGATCATTAGGGCACTCAAACTCCTCCACCACGATAAGGTGACGGTTCAAGGACAAACACCCCCCAGAATTCAGTACAAATGGGGCAAGGTGGAGAAACGAGGGCCCGGGCGGGATTTTTTTATTTATTTATTTTTTGGGAGTAAAATTGTGAGACTCTTCCTGACAGTTCTGTGTGAGATGCCACGGCAGACCTTCTCACCTCTGATGAACTTCATACTGCTGACCATGTCAACACTAGGTTCTAATTATTTTAAACAGACTACTGCTGTCGATGTGATCTGCAGCTGCATTGGTTTCTTTACCTGCTTGGAGTCTATGTCATGAAGAGGAGCATCAGAGAAGCAGTGGTGGTGGAAGAGGCCCATCTTCTGGTTGAACAGGCAGAATACAACATGAGCCCGTGCATTCTGCCACTTAATGAGCCGAACCAGGTCGCGGTTCAGAGCAGCGCCCAGGTCCACAGACCAATTATAACTGTACAGGGTCACCTAAAGGAAGGATGAGCATTGTAGCACATTTGTAAATCCACATCTAGATTGTTAATGATTACTCTCAAAAGGCACATAAATAAAAACATCTGAATTCTGACCTGAACGCTATTTAGAGGAAAGGGGAACCCTCTCACCTTTTTGTCCAGGATGCTGAGGAAGAGGAACCTCTGGCGGGGAGCTAGTCCAGTCGCAGCTTGACACGGACTTGCAGGATCACTCTGCTCCAGAGCTTCGAAGCGCTGGAATCCTTTATGAGCTGCGGTCAGGAGAGAGTCAGCTGTGATCTGATTTAACACCGACTCAAAACCAAACTTTAGGACTACAGTCAGAATCACTTCATTTTTGATTTTCACTGCTCCTTTTAAGATCAAAACCTTGTCTGAGAGGTTTAACCAAATACACACAGACAGATACAAAGATGTCAAACAGATCAGCTTTATTCTTTGAACAAGAATACCTAAATTAGAACAAGGCAACAAAAAATACAGCTCATTAAGGAACACGGGCATCAAAGACTGGTTCAACGCCATTTTTGAATGAATGAACATCTGGGTTTGCATCATTTAAATTAAACTCGGTCCTTTATGTCTTTTTTATTAATGTGTGGACTCCATGTTGGGCGACAGATGCAGTCTGACAAAATAGCCTTTTCATTTAAGAACTATCCGAACCTTCCGGAAAAAGCTCTTCATGCAAGCATTTCACTGAAAGTAATCATAAAAATTCTGCATAGGAAAAAACATTTGAAACATGTTGAGCTCAGAGGGAAACTTACGTGTGAACCTATTTAGCACTGGGGAGTTTTCTTCATCTGAACTGTCTTCTGTAGGCAAACAGAGATGGGACAAACAGCAAGGCAGCATGGACAGTGAGACACAGCAAGACATGATGAGACATGATTCGATACGGTGAGACACAGTTTGGCACAAATGTAATAGGATGAGATGTGGTGAGACAGCCAGACATGGTTAGACACAGTAAGGTACAGTGAGACACACATAAGACATGGTGAGACAAGATCAGATACAGTGAGGCAAGGTGAGAAACAGTGAGACAGGAAATCATAGAAGCAAAACAGCAGGTTTTAGCCAGCATGCACATAGAAACAGCATCAGAAAGCAGACCTTCTTCTCTCCCCCTCAACTTCACGTTAGGATGATAACATTTGGCAGGCTGTTCTGTTAGCTCTTTTGACTAAAGTTAAAGTCCCATTAGTTGTCACACACACACACTAGTGTGTGACAAAATGTGTTCTCTGCTTTTGACCCATCCCCTAGGGGAGCAGAGAGCGTGCTTGAGAACCATTTGGTGGTTTAACAACACCCACCCCCCCGGATTCCATTTTTAAAGTCTTTGGTAGGACCCGACCATAGATTTGAACCCACATTCTCCAATAGGCCACTGAGCTTGACCAAATTACAAAAATAATTAAATATTTATTATTCTGTTGTTATTGTTGCATCAAATCTGAGGCTATTTTCCTGAGTTAGGAGTTGAAGTCAGCCACTGCTGCAGATAATGGAGAACCAACTATAACACCAAATAGGACTAAAAACCAGAAGGATCAACCTCAGCCCATTTTGTACATGAATATCCAGCAGAATGTTCGTGGGGTGGGGGATGACTGATCACTGCATTTCTGTGTATATAAGGAGATGATGGTTCCACTAGGAAATCATTGAGAACAGAACCAGTAAATGGGTCAAGCATTTTAAACACAAACTGTGACCTCATCTACTGTTCTTCTGCTACCACGGTGATCTAGCTGTCCTCAGAAAGGAACTGCTTTAATATATAGAAAACACTCCAGTGCACTTGGTGAAGGTGGAAGTAACCTGGCAGAACAAGCCTGTTCAGGAGTTACCTTGCTCTGTGCAGTAGTGCCACTGATGGAAGTTTCGGCCAATGAGAATGAAGCTCTGTGTAGTATCTGGAGGCTGGCTGAAGCTCTGGACCAGAGGAAACGGAACAAAAACATCTCCAGAAGGGGGGCAGCTGTGAAACCCAGAGATTAATTATTGAGGTATGCACCAGAGGTCATGCTAGCCATTTTTGTTGTCCGTCATTTTGACTGACAGGGTTTAAAACAAGACGGTCATGATCTATTTTTTTCCCAGTCACTTTCATTTCTGAAATAATAAACATTCAATACCATTTTATTTTCATTCATTCCTTATTTATATTTTATCCAAAGAAGCAGAGCAGAGTGCCCCAGTGAGATATTGACATTACAAATAATCAACTTCACTTAAAGTAGGAACATTTCACCTGCTGCGGCCCAAACGTACACCTTCCTTCTGCTCTGCGTAAACTGTCCACCTGTTTGTGCGTAATCAAGTGTCTAAGAGGGCTTGCTCAAGCAGCGCTAGTTTTGTGGTTCTCGACTTTTGCCTCAGACAGACTTATGGCTGTTTAAAGGTTCTGGATGATGAATCCACGCTCTGCTGCCACGCAAAAAATAACATGAGCCACTGTCAGCCAAAGTTTAAAATCAGGGAAAATTTCTCTAAATACCCAGAAGTTGGCAAGATTCTTTAAAAGAAGGGTTTCCAGAGCTGGAAAACGTGTTAGCAGTTGTTTTTATAACAGGTGTTCCAACTAATCTCGTAGATCACAACATGCCCTATAGGTTAAAAAATAAATAAAAAAATAAAATTGTAAGTTGCTTTGGGTAAAAGCGTCTGCTAAGCACATAAACATAAACATAACATATGTGCTACTTTGGGGAAATGTGCAGACCGACTACTACGTCACAGGCTGTTTACCTGGACAGATGCGCTACCTCTGGAAGTTGCTATATTACTGCTTGTTATATGTTTACCTGACAGTTAGCTTGTGAGTGGCTTGTAGAATATCGTTTTTATACTGTAAATAATTTCTCACATTGTTTCATGACAAAAACTGGCTTTTTCATGAATAAATCACAACAAACACTGTACATTTTCGCTAATAATTATACTACAGTTCTGTATTTTTGAGTAATATCACCCTAATAAGCATGTTTCTATACTGTAAACAAGAGCAAAACTGTCGTAACATGCTGCGGTAGGAATATTCGATGAGGAAGCACGGATAGTCAGAATACCGGCCTTTGGGAAGGAGCTGTTCTTTTATCTTGACGTCCCCTTATGGAAAATAAACCCAATTAATTAACCTTCATTTCTTGTGTTGTCTTCCCTCCTTCCAACAAACTCACAATATCTGGGGAGTGAAACTGTGCACATGGTCTCTTCTAATGCAGCATCAGTAGTTACTCTTAGGCTAATTTTCCTTTAACCTAGGACAGTCTGTGATTCTCAGTAGAAAGTGTCAGCTCAGACAAAAACTCAACCAGAACCTGCACAAACTCACCTAGTTTTCTCAAAGACCTTGACTGTTGTATCTCCAGCCAGAGAACTGACCAAAGTGACAATCTCTGTCAAGATAGAAGGCAGCAGGAAATGGGATGTGATCTCTGTTGTGCACTTCTGAATGGAGGGGCAGTCTGCTCCCAGGAAGTCCGGTCGCATGGTTCCAGAATGGGGAACAAAGAGGGAAGTCAGCTTGGAAAACATGATGGTCCACGATGCCTCGCAACATGTTAATATCTCGGGAAGGAACTGACCCAGTTTAGCCATGAAGGTGATCCACAGCTCACAGGTCTTCTGATAGACGGGGTGCAACGTTCCTGCATCACCCTCCTCCAGCTGAGACACCCGCCTCCTGGACCCCCCACACACATACATATGAGTATTTACACAGGAATCACACATACTACCCATCAATAAAGTATCAGCATCACACACTCGATATTCTCAGTTCCACACCAGCTTCTTGTCTGTTGTACACGTGTTTACAGTTACCAGTCTGTTGGATATGCTTAGTGGGCATGCTGGGAAGACCCAAATTTGTTTAGATTTTAAATGATGATAATTTTTTTAATCAAAATCTACATAAGGTGTCTCTAAATAATAAAAAAGCGAGTCTAAGTAGAAGAGAATATGATATCCCCTATGTGGATAAAGGGTCTCCGGAGGTTAATGTGAAAATGTTTTTGTTCAAAACCAAAGACATGATCGGCATCCAGATGTTGGTTTAGATGAGTAAATAAAACATGAGCACAGTGAAGCAGGAAATGCCTTTAACAGCACAAATGTTGCTTAAATAGAAGATTAGTTACAACTAAAAACAGGAGAAACAGATGGAGCAATGAGAAGAAAGCCTGGGTTTACATAAGCTGCTTTAGACCATCTCAGCTCTGAGCTGCAGCCGGTCTAAACAACATAATGAGAAACCATGTACTGCTCCTATGGCTGAATAATGCACAGTAGTTTACAACAGGAACTTTACAAAGGGAGCTTCAGATCAATCCATCTGTCCCAGTTGACCCTGAGCTGAGTAATTCCTGCTGTGTGGAAAGGAATCATTTGTATTTCAGTAGGTTGATCCTTAATCCATAAATTAGCTGGTTTTCCTGATTTAATTCGAACTACCAACTGCCGTTAAAGCTCCATTATATCACAGGTGTTTATGTTGACAAGATCAATTTTATTCAGGTGATGTATAAGTTATATGTGATGATGAAACCAGCATTGTAAAACGATTACCAAGAGTAATTCATTCTAATGAACAGCAGGTTGGGAACTGATAAGGTGGTATGGTATGGGATGCTAATTAATTTAACTGCCTGCCCCAATGTTAACTCATCCAGTGGCTCCAAACATCATCCAGTCTTCAGAGGGTGGGTCATTACGAGTCACATTCACAGACTTCCTGAGCTTGACTTGTGATGCAAAGCCCTTTGAGTGGTTTTAAGAAAACAAAAACGCTCCATTTTTTCTTCATGGCAGGCTAGTGTTAAGAACACAAACTTTAGGCATTTTAGACCAAAACAATGATGAATGAATCCCCGCAATGCAAAAGGGGCTGATTTACTGACTAACCTTTGACTTATTTGTTTGTTATTAGCTGGAAAAAAAATACCTAGCGCTTCATACTGTTCGACGTCGAAGGACAGGATAGCTACATGCTGGTGTGGTGGCTAATGGGTAAAGTAGGGTGTTGGTTTGATCCCCCACCTTTGAATCTGGTCCAGATCCACAGCCTTGTCTTGGCTCCACTGCTGCTTTACGTTCTCAGTCTTGTGCCTTCGTCGTGTAGCTTGCCCCTCCTCTCCCTTCTCCTGAACAATGTCATCAGTGGTCTTGGGGCTACTAAGGTCCCCTGAATCAGGCTTACTCTGGAGGAAACATAACCATTCATGTACTGCAACAAATACCTAAGTTGGTTTACCTATAAAATAAATAATATTAATAAACAACAAAGGACAACTCAATCTTAAGAGTATCCAGCTTAGATAATTACTGGAGACCCTGTGGCCAGGTTTTGACCCATGGAGCTCAGCCCAAATGAGATAGGTAGGCTCATCCACCTATGCACCACCTAACTTCAGGAGGAGCACAAAGGACTGTGGATTTTGTAGAAGAACAAGGTGGGAGCTTTGGGGGTCTGATCCATGGAAACAAAAACTGGCAATCCAGACATGCAACCTCACTTAACTGGCAGAGAATGAGGTTGAGCAGAAGTGACTAGTTGTAACAAAAATGAAAAGGGGACAGTATGTTATCTGCCCCTTTTAACTAAAATAACATTTATACAACTGTATAATTGTTTGAAAGCATTCAAACTGTAGTGATCCTGTTTCTCTTTATAGTTAGTTAGTTAGTTAGTTAGTTAGTTAGTTATTCTGCTTCCGTACATTGTTTGGCATTTAACTATTTCCACAGTTCTTCAGCTATTTACACAATTTTGGTATCAAAACATTCAGCTCGTTCAGCTTATGCCGACAAAGACTTCTGGTATTAAAATATTTTATACTTTTTGAGATATTTAGCTTTTTCAGCGATTTTTGGTCCCATTGAAATGAATGGGATAGCTCAATTTTCAGCTAAATCCTATCACCTTTTTGAACTCTTACTCTTATAGGTTAACTTTAACCTAGAGACTTCAATCAAGTTTCAACAATCTCACAAGACTATCAGCTATTACTGGTTAAAAAATCTTTTTGATATCTATTACAGTTTTTCTAAAATCACAGGTAGAATTTGAGGTACGGCTTGAGATTTTCAGAAAAAAAATCACAAAAATTATAATGGGGAAAGATAGGAGCGGTGACCCTCCCTTGTTCCATTTCTGGCACTGTCCCGAGAGAACCGTAGGACAGATTGAAATGAGACGCACGCTGGTTTACAGCTTACGAATATACCTTTGTTTTGAGCTATAATTCATGAATGTACTCCAAACATTGTGGTCGTACGGTTTATTTCTTTGAGAATATTCAAATTTTAAAAAATGCTTCCCACCACTCTATACTGAAAATTTCGCGCACCAACTTTTGACCTTCACATTTTCTGGAAACAACTCTTTCCAACACCCAGACCGTTTGGACTACCGAAACAAATCATATCTCAAAAAGTAGGAATTTTTGTCAGCTTTTCAGAATGGGTTTCATTTTGTCCTTAAGTGTTACATTTCTTTCTCTTCCTGAAGAGACCCCATGGTCAGCCTAGGTCTATGGAGGGATTATATCCCTAGGCTGACCTGGGAATGCCTTGGGATCCCACTAGAAGAGCAAACGAAAGTGGTCTTAAGTCTGAGCTTCCATGCTAGGGTCCTTGTCCCAATGACCAGGATAAGCAGATGAAGACGAGTATAAGGAGTATCACAAGTAACTAGACATTATTATTCTTGGCAATTTTATTCTAAGAAAAACGGCAGCTCTACTGAAAGTTTTGAACTGACCAGTATATCCCAGAAGCTCCGGCGTGTGCTCTTGTTGGTGGGTGTGGTGGATTCGGGGGTGATTGTCCCCGTCACAGGGGTAGCACCTACAGTCTGGATTGGGATGATCGGAGACGGGCTGCTTTTGAAGACACGGGAACCACTGCGCTGCCTCTGACTGTCTTTACCTTCCTTCCCCTCAGAGAAGAAAATCCCCTGTCCTAAACACATGGGTCAGAATTAGATCAAGTCAACGGGAAGTTTCAGCACTGTAAGTGTCTTATCATCAAGCAGCTAAAAAGAGGTCAAACAGTTTTCACTGTTTATGAAATTAATGAGAAACTAATACAGAATTATCTAGCTGAAGCAGCACAAGCATTCTTCAGTTCTTTAATTTACATCAACATTGTCTTTCTGTATTTTTGATCAGTTTTTATTTAAAGTTGGTGATTAGAGTGAAAACAAAGACCTGTCAGTGTGTCAGATCTTTTGGGGGGGTGAACTTATCCGATCTAACCTTTGGACTCTTCCATCTGAGTTTTACTTGCTGAGACCCCAACACACAGAGGATGCGGAAGGACTCTGGTCTCCATGACAACATCACAGATTGCATGGCGCAGTGCCCCCTGTAGTTTATGACTGAGCTGTAAGGGGCTGATGTTGCCTTGTTCCCAGATGTCGAAGCGTACGTACAGCTGTGGCGCTGTTAGGATGAGAACAACAGAGTCAAAACTCGGTGGCTTCTAGAAAAATACACTTTAAGATTTTCAGAGCTGAGCAAAAAAAAAAACCACTTCAAATTTTTACAGGAGGAAAAATACACTTTTTTGGATTTCAGGGCTTCCGTTGCATCATGCTGTGATCTGTGTTCTCATGTTGTTTTTGATTGTTCTCATAAATACATTTGACTTTGACTGTGCAGTATAAGTTGTACCTGAACCTTGGCTCATACTCATGGTCTCCATTTTAACCACGCGTGTCAGCTCCTCAAAGTGTTCTGGGTGGAGTGGGGGGCTGCAGTTCTCTAGGCCAGAACACTCCTGAGCTGCAACCTGAACAGGCCGACCTTGAACATCCACAAAGGAAAGGGCAATGCAGGCGATCCCTGTAAGAGAGCAGGAAAAACATCAGCAGGTATCAGGGATCAGGTTTCAACAGAGTTCAGCCTCAAAAAGAAAAAGGTCCTTCAGACATCAGATTTCATTTCTTCAGACTTCCTAAGTAGACCGATTATGAACCGATACTGCAGACTTCGGTTCCTCTGAGCAGGTTAGTGAGATAGGATTGCCTCAGTGATCACTGAAATTGGTAAGAGTTTGTTCACTTCAGGTCAGTGCTTGGACTCCCCTTGAGCCTCTTCTGGGAGACCTCCACTAAGTTGCGTGCACATCTTTAAGGAGTTTAAGGTCATGGCAACAGGGGTTGAATGAACTAGTCGACTAGTCGACTTCACTGCTCTGTAGAGACTTTTAATGCCTGTCATCGACTAGTCGCTGTCACGTGATAATGACAAGATGCGGTCCTCGGAAAAGACGGCAGGTGACGAGCCCCTGCGCGTCTGGATCGAGGCGGAGGCGACGCGCTGTGCCAGAGCGTCGGTACTGACACCCGCCGTAAAACGGACATTTAACCAAATTGTGACCTTTTCCCTCTCGCAATTTAACCTTCCCCTCACCCCCATCCTAATCTTAACCAGCTTGCGCATGCAAAGCTCTGATTGTTGACGCGCTCCAGACATCTGCGTCCTGAGCACGGCCACAGTAACATTATCAAATCAGGTGTCACCACTCAAAAACAAATGTAACGCGATTGTTCATGTCGGCTTATTTACTTTTATGTTTTCTGTCTTTAATTTTTGCCTGATGCGCCCCGCTGCTGTGGAGCGGGGCGCATCATCTCTTTTGTCCTCCGGTGACGCACTGCGGCCGGCAAGCAGCGAGCACTCCGCTGTTTTTGCGGTCGGTAGATCTTTTAGAACTGCAGTTCAAAGGTAACTCATAAGGTGAATATATATGAACCCAGGTAGCAGTTTTTCTTTAGGACTGAGAGGAGATGCAGGGAGATAATAAACAGGCAGGACAGAAAAATAGTCAAATAAAAACAATTTAGTTTTTGTACCTGGTGGTTGCAACAAACAGACACCATTGAAGGTAATCAGAAGTGAGGAACAGAAAATGAAATAATTGTTTTAATGTTTAGAGCAGCAGGAACTCCGAGAGGCTGCAGGCGCATCAGTGAGTTTGTGGCCGCTGCGCAGGGGGAGGGGGGAGAGGGCTGAAGCAGAAACTACCGTTGTTAAAAGAAATGTGTTTAACTTTGAAAATGTGGGCACAATTTTAATTGTCAAAAACTCCAGTGAACCAACCAGTCCTTTTACCTCATCACTTCACATAAGGACAGTTCCAGAAAAATCTAGAGCTGGTTATTATAGAAGGATTAGACATAGTTGAGCTCCAACTCAACAGGTTACTCTAGGGTGAAACCATGTTCCAATCTGGGTCATTCACCCTTTAGTTCTGCTAGGCTGTGGGTCAACTGATCCCTTATTTTAATGTTTCATTAGCCACCTTCTTCACTCTGAAGGTATTCCATTAGCCTAAATAACAATTTTTTCATCATCTTTCCCACATCCAGTATTCCAGTCCTGCTGTTACCTTTGCCTCCTGTACCCTGGCCTCCAGGTTTATTGTAGAGGTAGATATCCCCATCAGCCAGCTCATAGTCTAGATGAAAGTAGTGCTGCAGACAGAAAGAACAAAGTGAGTTCCTAAAACACTAACCACCATGTTTCAGCATTAATGATATTACATTTCTTTGATCCAGGTCAAAGAAAGTTCCTGTGATGTTGGAATTTACACCTATCAATGAACAAAGCATCTGTAGATTACAAGGAATGAAGGGAATGATAAATGAGTTGCCTCATGACTGGAGGATTGTGGGATCGATTCCAGCTCCTACCAGGGGTATTCTGTTATTGTGTCCTTGGAGAAGACACTTACCTGTGTTAGTCAGATGGGCTGATGGCGCAAATGTACTATAGCTGCAGGGCAGCTGCAGCCACATAGTAGCTTACCATCACTAGTAGTGTGTGAATGTGAGTGCCTGAATAATGGAAATCGCATTGACTGCCTAGAAAAGCATCATATATATTCAATCCTTAATATTATGAATGGATACAGAGGTGCACCTGAAAGGTTGAGACACAAGTTTATTTAAAGGAGTGGACTGGTGAATCCCACTACAGCTGGTGTGCTCTAGAGGTCGTGGGTGTACTTAGGGCCGGTGTCAGCAACACCCCCCCCCACCCACACACACACACACAACATCAAAAGACAGAGCAGGCTGCAGTAACGTCTTTCTTGCCCCCCGCTCGCAGAACTGACTTCATGAGAGATTTCCACCAGTGGCAGAACACACGGATCAGCTGATCTAAAGCTCCACCAGTCGGAAAATAATAAAAAAAACCTTGTTTCTTGTGATAATTTATTACAATGTATAATTTATTTTGCTCGGGGGGAATTAATTGGTTGCAAATACTCCGAATAAACGGATCAGGTTTAGAGGCATGATGTGAAATAAGACGTAACTGTACCTTGAAGTGATGTGCTGTGTTGCTGTCTGTGTACTTGGGAATGTGTAGGAAGATGAGAAGGTTCTGTCTGAGGTAGTGGGCCACTGCAGGCAGCCAAGACACACAGTAAGGTGGGAGGCTGTAAATCATCAACTCTGTAGCTGGAGATCCTGATGGCTGGATGAACTAACGAGACATTTACCCAGAGAGAACACAGCGTATTTAGGAGTCCCAAAGCGAGTTAGCACAAGAACATGTAGCAGGAGAAAATGACCGTCTGCAGAAGAATGAAAGAGCAGTTTACCTCCACATCGGCTGGCGTCAGCTTGCAGTTCCTCACGAGCATCACTGTGATGATGTCCAACGTAGTCTCATCCAGGCGTTTCCGTAGCAACTTCACCAGCTCATCTGTGATCTCTGGACCTGGAAAAATGAATGGAAGTGAGCTTCATCTCTACAAATGCTCCTAAATCTGAAGGAAAACCGAGAGCCTCAAGCTGAACTGCAGGAGTCTCTGTAAGAGCAGGATGAAACTTGTGGGGCAAGAGTTCTTTCAATTCAATTCAAGTTTATTTATATAGCGCCAAATCGCGACAAGAGTCGTCTCAAGGCACTTCACATAATAAACATTCCAATTCAGGTCAGTTCATTAAGCCAATCAGAAATAATGTTTCCTATATAAGGAACCCAGCAAATTGCATCAAGTCACTGACTAGTGTCAGTAACTTTACAGCAATCCTCATACTAAGCAAGCATAAAGCGACAGTGGAGAGGAAAACTCCCTTTTAACAGGAAGAAACCTCCAGAGAATCCTGGCTCAGTATAAGCAGCCATCCTCCACGACTCACTGGGGATCGAGAAGACAGAGCAGGCGCACACACACACACACACACACACACACACACACACACACACACACACACACACACACACACACACACACACACACACACACACACACACACACACACACACACAGGACAAAGTAATGTGTCTATAGTTATATTGAGATTTCTTAGTAAATATTCTATTTGGCGAGAGATAAACTTTATTGTATTTATCCTAGTGGATCTATAATTAAACGGATAAACTAGTAGTAGCACATCCAACGTCAAGGAAAGCAAAAAGTTATCAGCTGTACAGAAATAATTTAAGGCATTTGTCAAAAGAACCATCATGCACTGCATCCTAAGCTGACTGTGCATGCTATGTAAAGTGACTGATCAGTTTGGCTAACATGAACATTTCCATCCATATGTGTGTTGAGTTACACCAGCAGCTCAGATCCAGACATCCTGTTCTCCACCAGGGACTATTAGTCTGACACAACCAATATGACTGAATGACACGCAGAAAATAAAGATTTAAGAATAATTGTTAAAACTGTTGCATCCATCTCTGTTTGTAACATTAGTTTTATTGTTCCCAGCTCCTACCTGCATTGCCCACTCCATGCACCAACAGCAGGATGTGCTTGTCTACTTGTCCAATCGGTCGAGAGCCCTCCAAAGAACACCTGGAGCCCTGAAAAACGATTCAACAAAACAATATGGTGAAAACATTCCAACTGAGAAACAAACAAACAAATTTAAAAAATGAGTGCTTCTATTGTCTCAGTCTGAGAACTTATGTTAAATTAACATGAAATAATCTTTTTCTGGCAGAAGAACCAGTCTACTCCAGAACCATTTGGAGTTTTTGACGTGGGTCAAAACCAGCGGTTCCAAACCTTTCATGGCCCTCAAGGTGGAATGGACGGGATGGTTATCATTTATTATCTAAAATCCAAATGTTATAATCTATAAAGCTGGATGTGTCTACAAGCAGGATGGTAATGTGATCGGTATTAAATCAAAAGAACATTATGCGTATGTTTGCTTACCGTAAGGTCTTCAGAATATGAAGGCTCCTGACTCCTGATGAGCCCAATGGAACGGGTCGTGTGGTTGTTTCCTTCCACATCTGAATACTTCCCTGTCAGGGAGGTCTCACACAGTCTATAAAACCCAATCAGAAGGTAGGAGGATTAGCACCTACAGCCAAAGAGTAATCAGGTTAATAATGCCGATTAGGGGTTTATGGCATTTTTACATCTGGCCCAGCCCGGTCTGGTCTTGCTTGGGTCGGCAATCACAAACAGTTTTCGTTTACTCCATGATGTCTGTGGGTCACACCATTTTCTCTTTGATCCACGATAAAACAATAACGTACTGATTTCCCACATAATTCTACATACTTAAAGGTTGAATATGGAATACTGACAATGGCGAATACTCTGGTGAACTCTGGTGGTCAGAGGTGGTATTGCAACAACAGGACTAATTTTCCAGCCGCTGGGATGTTGGTTCACTGCTGAAGCGTTCCAGGCCCATGTTCAGAGACAAATCATACAGGATAAGGACTCATTTCTAGTAATATTTACCGTTAGAACATCTTCTGGGCTCAGAATCAGCTGCTTGACTTGTCAAGACTGCCATTTTACACAGTCTCAACCTTGCCTTGCTGAGAGGACTTTTTAGCGCAACTAGTGGCTGGTAGGTATAAACTTAAACACAGTGTTGTGCTCGACAGAATAAAAATGTGAATATTTATCTTTTTAAATGTAGTTTTAAAAGGAGAAACTGTACATTCATTCTGCTCACCTCTGAACGCTCCGTGGAGGTATTATTTTTTTAATATAGCTTTTTATTAAAATGTTCTATATTCTAACTTTAATTATAATGTTGAATGTTATTGAAAAGCTAATGTGTGTCACCAACATTTTAATATTAAATATGTCAATTTAACCCTTAAACATCAATTGTTTCATATCTATACAGGGATTTATTGGTTTATAAGAGCTCTTGCTTTTTAATAATTTTAACAAGATTTGGATTTTCCTCAAAAAGCTGCTTTATTGAATCGTGAACATGTTTTCTGCCCTCTGGTGGAAGCTTAAGTTGTATTAAGTCTTATTGTTGTAAAAGTAAATTCAAATTCAATTCAAAGATACTTTATTAATCCCAGGGGGAAATTAGAGTTTTCCTGTATTAATAAGATTATTGCTGTATTAATATTTGTCAAAAAAAACTTCACATTTTAAAAATAAATAAATATCATTTTTCTGATTATTTCATGTGTCAGGCTTTAAAGAACTAACTGTCTCTTTAGGCTGATAATATCATTGCACAAGGCTGCAGATTTCTCTCTCAGGGTCTGAATGGAAGTTAGACTAGGAGAGAAAGAGAACCATGATTAACATGGTTAGTTCTCTTTCATATAACGGTGAATTATCAGGTAAATCTGTAGCTGCTGTGCGCTGAGCGCTAAAGCCTAGCACTGCCAATAATGTTATTATAATGAACTCATTTCATTAGCAAACTTATCTAAGTGACTAACGCCGGGGACACACCGGCCGCGGAAGCACCGAGAAGCGAATCGCTCACGAAATTCGGCCGCTGATCGCCGCTCCTCAGTTCAGATCAGACGCGCCCCAGTCGAGGCGCGCCTCGGCTCAGCTGTAGTTTTTCTTTTAAACACTTGGTGTCCTCCATTTCCTCTCTGCCTTTTCTCAGCTCTTTTCCTCTACGTTTGAGTGTTTGTACGTGTGTGTGTGTGTGTGTGTGTGTGTGTGTGTGTGTGTGTGTGTGTGTGTGTGTGTGTGTGTGTGTGTGTGTGAGAACCTAGGGTATGAACCAGTTGTTTCTGCCAGTTGAATCTCTTGGACCCCGCTCCAATTCTGCAGCTGTATCCTAGCAGTTTCTTCCAAAATGGGTACGTAAATAATCGTGTTTTTCAGGGGTCGTACAGCTCCTTGTGTTTCTCAGCTTCCATAATTAATTTAAAGTCATCCATCTTAACTGCTTGCCTCAGACTTTCTGCCTCTCTGTCCTGTTTGCTCCGGTGAAAAGACACCCAAAACCACACACCCCTTCACGTGGTCACACACGCACACAAGTTCGATGTGTGTGTGTGTTCGTGTGGTTTTTCTGCAGTGTCTGATTACGAACACATTTGACTATTGCGGAATTTTATTTTGAAATGCTTTATTTTGTTAAATTTACCGGCCTGCCTCCTATGTCTAGGTTTGACTTCCTGCCAGAATTGACGCGATTCACTCGCGAAAAAATAGAGCAGACGCCGAAATGATGGCTGCACGGCGCGGGCTGGAGCGCCAGCGTGCGCCGGCGCAAGGTGATTCGCGGCGCTTCGGCGGCCCATGTGGTCTATAGAATAGCTTAACAAGGACGCCGAATGAAGGCGGTCCCATTTTCGCAGCGCTTCCGTGGCCGGTGTGTCCCCGGCGTTACACGTTTCTTTGGAAAATAGGTCCTTATGTCCTGAACCGTCTTCTTTTTAGCCTCCATCCTCATGTAAACCACTTTTGTGAGACTCATTTTGATTCATACAGTCAGAGAGGATGTGGTGTACAGCGCTTTCATTGTGACGACCGGAAGTGTGTGGGTTGGTTGTGGGGGAACTTGACTGATGAAATGTGAAGTGACGGTGGCGTTAATAAAAGAGCCTCTCGAGTTCATGGCTGTTGTCCTCTCTTCCTGTGCAGCTTTTATACAGCTAGCGTCATCCTCTCAGGACCCTCGATTGCCCCAAACACAGGAGTCTTGCATATGACTGGAACGTTTTCCTTCAACCTTTGACGCTGCTAACAACTGGCGTAATTTAGTCTCATGTGAGTCTCACCTGACAGCATGCACAGCCAGTCACACTAGCCATATGCGTTATGGGGGAAGGACTCAAGGAGAGAACGTCATTTAACCCTTTCTGCACCTCTAGGGTAACAAGACATTGAATGGTTTGTTGTTTTTTAGCGGAGGCGGTCAAATTATTAGTGAGGACTATTTGTTCATTGCTCGATATTGGTGGGGACTCGTCACCTCCGTCCATGCCAACGCTACACCCTTGGTTCACACAGCCTTCTCAGGAACATGGATGTCTCCGAGCATATGGGCGGGGAAAAAGACACGTGGAGAAGTCCATGGAGTTAGTAAACTAAAGGGGTTGTGAGCAGTGTTGCTTTTGGATATTCTGACATAAAGCATGCAGCTTCCTACGCTCTCACTGAGCGGCGGTGCTACACAGCAGTCGGTCCTCGTGCTTCTGCAGCTGGAGCAGTGGTTCCAAGCTGCAGTCAGAGAAGATGTTCACTCCACTGCATCTAGAATAATGATGAATAGCGCACGTGGGAAGCTGCTGCTGGCCAGTTCTACCAACCAGAGACTCCCACTAGTAGGTAGGCGTGAACTTCAGCTGACCAATCAGTTGGTGGTGGATGTGTTGGGTTGACTGAGCACAAAGCTGACCGTTGAAAAAAACGATCAGCTGAACACAGATTCCTCAGATGTGAACCCAATTACCAAAGCAGAGCTAGACCAGGCTGACCCAGGTGTGAAAGCGCCATTCGAGAAGGACTTGGGTCGGTTATCTCTGCTTCATGTTGAAAGGGTGGGATGCTGATGCAGGATGGAATATAAATTTATGGTTTCTGAAGGTAAATGAATGGCATGAAACCAAGTTCACCTGAGGTAGAAGACCGATTTGGTCGTCCGTTCTTGGTAAACAAACATGTTCTTCCTGTTGACCACGGAGAAAGAATTCAGCACGGATCGAAGAGCCTGGATAGCTGAAGGGAAGGAGGACACGGAAGTTATTCAATCCAACGTGTTTGGGAAACACGGAGCAAGTCCGTAAACAAATTTAAAAACATACAAAAGAAGTTTAAAATGAAAACAGGCAGTAAGTGCGGTGAGGTTAAAACAGGAGTGACGTGTTCCCTCCTGCGTGTGCCTGTTAAAAGCCGACACTCGGTGGGCTAAAACTTGACAAGACAAAGTGATTAAATACATAACAGATGGACCTAATTAGCTTCAGAAATGACCAAGATATGAAAACTTAACACAATTACACAATGAGCTGCTCAGTGAGAGACCCGCTAACCAGGCCCGCAGCAGGAAGCACCAGCTCTGAGGCGGAGCTCAGCTCGCAAACTTACATTTTAGTTTGCATGAACGTTTTCAACAGGAAGGTCAGGTCACTCAGTCCTATAAGAAAAGTTCTAGTTCTGTTTAGAAGCTGCTGCATCAAACAGCTCAGACTCACATGTATGAATACCGACCTAATAATATAAAAGGGAGACAAGGTTAGGTGAAACTTTGTTACGACGACATGACAAACTCTGAAACTCACCCCGGGACACGCCCATGTTGGGTCCCATTTTGAGGCGTGGATGAATGTGGATGATGGTGCTCCACACTACATCGCATGCAAAATGTCCTGGAATGAACTGCATGGTGGCTGCCAGGTAGTCTCTGGCCTGGTAGCTCTCCTCTGTGTTGTAATCTAAGTGGTGAATGAAGACAGATGATGTCAGCTGTTGCCGTTGACGCTGAGAAGACGTTGTGATGTGTTCACTTACCTTCAGTGGTGCTCAGCTTCTGCTTATACAGTGACTCGTTTTTCCAGATGTCCTCCTCACTCTCAGCCACCAGCAGCTTGTTACACATGTGTCTGTCGTGCAGGTCCTGCAGCAGCATGCGCTAAAACACACACATCCCACAATAAACAGCCAACAGGAGCCTTCTGACAAGAAGGATCTCAAGTACCGTATGTTACGTTTATGGGTTCTTCTGTGTAAAAATCCTTATCGTGATCGGTGGGGTCATCTGAACTGTCAACTCTATAATAAACTGGTGAAGGTTCTCGGTCATCCAGGTCATGGTAATGCTAAAGGGGTCAAATGAAGGCAACTGGACTTCTTCGGTTACTTGGAGATGTTTCTCTTCTCATCCGGGGAGTTTTGTCAACTCTGACTAGAATATGGGAGGGTCAGCTATAAGCTTGACAGCTCCACAGACAAATGTAGCTTTGGATCAGGTGTTTCTACCCGACTCAGGGAAATCTGATGTCCCGTTTATCTACAAGTCTGCTCAATTTACTACTCAAAAAGTTAGCTTAGTTTCAGTCACAGCACTCTATCTGAACCTCTGTGAGACGTCGAAAGAATCCTCACAAAAGCAGCAAAAGCAAAGTAAAACCTATAAGATTAATTTAAAACATATTAAACTCAAGTGGAAAGTTTTATGGTAGTTTTCCTGCTTGTCCTGATAGAATGATACGTTCTAAAATGAAGCAGAGAGAGAGCTAAAGCCCACACTGACCCCATCACGAACAGTACCTGGTTGACGATTCTGCAGATCTCTCCGATCTTCCTGACCATCCACTTGTGCAGCTGGAGAGATTCGGGAAGCTCCTGCTCTTCCTCTTTCTTCTCTAACTCATCTCCTGTAACTTCTCTTCCTTCTGTAAAGCATCTGCAAACAAAGGTGGTCCAAGGAAACCCGCTCCGATTAGGAGAGAACCGACTACACAGGAGCATCTAAATCAGACCATTTCCACGTCTACTGCCTCACTGATGATGGATTTGAGGAGGAAACCTTTAATCTGTTATTTTCTGTTTTGCTCCTCAGCTGACTTGTTGTGAGCTGGAACTTTGTAAAAATGAATGAATGAATGAATGAATGAATGAAGGAAGGAGGGAGGGAGGGAGGGAGGGAGGGAGGGAGGGAGGGAGGGAGGGAGGGAGGAAGGAAGGAAGGAAGGAAGGAAGGAAGGAAGGAAGGAGGGAGGGAGGGAGGGAAGGAAGGAAGGAAGGAAGGAAGGAAGGAAGGAAGGAAGGAAGGAAGGAGGGAGGGAGGGAAGGAAGGAAGGAAGGAGGGAAGGAGGGAGGAAGGAAGGAAGGAAGGAGGGAGGGAAGGAGGGAGGAAGGAAGGAAGGAGGGAGGGAGGGAGGGAGGGAGGGAGGGAGGGAGGGATGGGAGGGAGGGAGGGAGGGAGGGAAGGAAGGAAGGAAGGAAGGAAGGAAGGAAGGAAGGAAGGAAGGAAGGAAGGAGGGAGGGAGGGAAGGAAGGAAGGAAGGAAGGAAGGAAGGAGGGAGGGAGGGAAGGAAGGAAGTAAGGAGGGAGGGAGGGAGGGAGGGAGGGAGGGAGGGAGGGAGGGAGGGAGGAAGGAAGGAAGGAAGGAGGGAAGGAGGGAAGGAGGGAGGAAGGAAGGAAGGAAGGAAGGAAGGAAGGAGGGAAGGAAGGAAGGAAGGAAGGAAGGAAGGAAGGAGGGAGGGAAGGAAGGAAGTAAGGAGGGAGGGAGGGAGGGAGGGAGGGAGGGAGGAAGGAAGGAAGGAAGGAAGGAAGGAAGGAGGGAAGGAGGGGAGGAAGGAAGGAAGGAAGGAAGGAAGGAGGGAGGGAGGGAAGGAAGGAAGGAAGGAAGGAAGGAAGGAAGGAAGGAGGGAGGGAGGGAGGGAGGGAGGGAGGGAAGGAAGGAAGGAAGGAAGGAAGGAGGGAGGGAGGGAAGGAAGGAAGTAAGGAGGGAGGGAGGGAGGGAGGGAGGGAGGGAGGGAAGGAAGGAAGGAAGGAGGGAGGGAGGGAAGGAAGGAAGTAAGGAAGTAAGGAGGGAGGGAGGGAGGGAGGGAGGGAGGGAGGGAGGGAGGGAGGAGGGAGGGAGGGAAGGAAGGAAAGAAGGAAGGAAGGAAGGAAGGAAGGAAGGAAGGAAGAAACTGGCCTAGACAAAATCACAAAGACGTACTATAAATGAAAGTACTCATCAGCTGTTTCTGATTATCTGCAGAAGGTAAGTGGAAGAGAAGAGAAACATTTTAGAGACAAAGACAAAACCAAGTTCTGACCTGGAATGGGAGTAGACCTTCACTTTGTCCTGGTAGATCCTCACAATCAGCCAGAAGTCTGGCATCAGAGAAGGCTGACCCTCCTGCTCGTCCAGGATGGGGCTCTCACACTCCGAGTCGCTGCTGCTGCCGCCGTCGTAGCCTTCAGAGATAGAGCATTTTGGGACATGGATGACTGGGATAAATCTGCAGAAGGTTCTGAAGCTCGGATCTGTAAGGAAAACCCGTTTCCTGAGGCAACATTAAATAACTATTAGTTAATTGATGTCGAGAAAGGGGTGGGATTAAAGAAGCTGATGCTTCATCCTACTCCCATTTTGAACATGTGTATAAAAAATTAAAATAAACCAGAAGGAGAAGTTACTTTTGTGTGTATTACTATACATATGTACGCATGTTCAAAATAAAAGACAAAGACAATGCTGTTCATCACCTGATAACCTTCTCAGCCATCGTGGAGGCATTAAAACATGAAGCTATCACAGCAGCTGGTGTTGGTCAGCATGTGGACCTCAGCAGAAGGTTCTGTTAGGCAGCAGAACTTACCTTGCATGTCTGAGTCCATGCTGCCCTGGCTGGAAACCACACTCTGGACGCGGCTGGGTCTGAGCCTGCTGCTGCCTGAGGAAAAGAGAAAGTTTCTTTGTGATTTTAGTCATGATTTAACTTTAGAATAGACTTCATTGATCCCACAGTGGGGAAATTCACTTGCTACAGCAGCACAGACACTTGGAGAAAAGGAGGATGAAAAATAATTTGAAATAATCCAAGAAGGATAGAGAAAACTCTGACTCCAACAGTGGCCCCGTGGCCCATCCTGGGTCATGTGAGGAGAAGAACACAGCTTTGTGTTTGAGCTGGTCCAGGTTCTCCCAGCAGGTCTGAAACCATGTTCCATGTTTACTTAGATATTATCTAGAGTTTTGTATTCTAATTATAAACTCCTAGAGTTTTGTATTCTAATTATAAACTCAAGACATGACTTTTAATGTTTCTCCAGCTGGTAAGAATTAATTCTTTACTTTGTAAAAGATACATTGTTAACTAGAATAATCTTTGTTTTTAATGTTCTCCTCTCAGATCTTCAGCCACGGGTCATCTTCAGCAGCGGGTGCTCCAGACTGTGTGCAGGACTCACTGTGAGAGGTGGACTGCACCGACTCAGCCAGGCTGACGCTAGAAGCCATGTGGGGGGGTGAGCTGGGTTCTGCGCAGCTTTGCGTCTGAAGCTGGAGGGGGCTGGGGTGACATCTGTCCCCGCCGGTGCTGACAGCGTCATCTGCTTCAGGCCTCTGGACCTCCACCGGCTTGTCACCAGAAACATCAGCAGTGAGACGAATGGACTTCCTGTCATCACTCTGCAGACGGAGTGAGCTCGAGTCAAAACCTCTCGTCTCATCTAAAACGTTTCTGTGACTAAATAAGTGCACAACATCCAACATGTAAACCAAATAAATGATAAAAATATATATATATAGAAATTAGAAAATAAATGAAAACAAGTAAATCTGGGAGGAGTTTGTTTGATTTTCTAATTCCTAAATTGTTTTTGGTTTTAAAATTTGTTTTTATTCAAATAAAGACTTTGTTCCTTGAAGTATGTGAAAATTTACTCAGATTTTCTTTGCCTTCTGTGTTCCAGACTAGTTTCTGTCTGTCAGCGTGGTCCCTCAGGCTGAACTGCATCTAAAGGAGAACTCTTGGTTTATTCACCAGAAACAATCGGAGGTTTACTGCCTGGCCTTCCTCTTCCAGTGTTGAGATCAGAACCTTGTTAGTTTGCATCGTGATCAAGAACTGAGAGGATGATATGAACCTGATCGCACCCTGAAGATGATGAAGAAGAAGAAGAAGAAGAAGATATAATTTCTATAGCGCCACTCAAGATAAAATTCACGAGGCGCTTCACAAAAACAAAAAATGTAAAACATTATTCAGAAAATGATTAAAAATATTTTTAAAATGAGTAAAAAATAGACAATTGTGATTATAAAATGTTAAGAAAGAGAGAGAGTGAACAGGAAAGAGGGAAATCAGTGAATCCTGAGGAAGGTGGAATAGGTGGGGAGAGCAGAACAAGGAGAGGGTGATGAAGGTCACACCAAAGCCAGCTTGAACAAGTGAGTCTTCAGCTGCTTTTTAAAGGAGACCACTGAGTCCACTGATATCAGGCTCAGGGGGAGAGAGTTCCAGAGTCTGGGGGCCACAGCAGCAAATGATATGTCACCTTTGACCTTTAGCCTGGTGCGTTGCACAACCAGTAGGCTTTGATCACTGGACCTCAGGGACCTGCTGGGGGTGTAGGGACTAAGAAGATCACCAATGTAAGATGGTGCTTGTCCATGTAAGGCCCTATAGACCAGAACCAGGATCTTGAAATGAGCCCTGAAGTTGACTGGCAGCCAGTGAAGCTGGAGGAGAAGCGGGGTGATGTGGGTGTGTTTGGAGGACTTGGTTAGAAGCCGAGCACAGGCATTCTGAACCACCTGTAGACGGTCCAGGGAGGTTCTGCTCAGACACGTGAAAAAAGATTTACAGTTGTCTAAGAGTGAGGAGATGAAGGTGTGGAGAACTGTCTCAAGTTCAGAGCGGGACAGAATGGGACTCAGCTTAGCAATGTTCCTGAGATGGAAGAAGGAAGATCGAACAAGAGAACTGACATGAGAATCCAGGGTGAGAGCTGGGTCAAAGGTCACGCCAAGATTCCTGACGGAAGGTTTGGTGTGAGAAGTAAGCTGACCAAGAGAGTCTCTGACTTTGGGAACCAGCTTGTCTGGGGCACAGATGAGGATCTCAGTCTTATCTTCATTCAGCTGTAGAAAGCTCCCAGCCATCCAGGTTTTGATAGAGTCTAAGCAGGTGTGTAACAGCTGCAGCTTAGACATCTCATGGGGCTTAAAGGAGATGTACAGTTGGATGTCATCTGCATAAAGATGGTAGGAGATTCACCCTGCAGGTGCAGTATTGTGTAATAAAGTCTTCCACAAGTTAGAACTCATTCATAACCTAGGTCTTGTCAATATAAAATATTACTTGCTGGTGAACACGGGCCTGAATACTTCAGGTAGTTTTAATGTCCACCATGAAACCACTTCTAAAGAAGTCAAGTAAAGAAAGTAGTAGTAAGGTGATTAGAGCAGCTGAGTTCTTTAACTTTAGACTTTATGTTAATATCCTCCATGACGACGCCTCCCATTGGTCTGCCCGTACCTCTACTTGGCTCTCCAGCACCATGACCTCCCTGGGATCCCTAGCACTGTAAGGGTGGGGGAGCTGTTGGGGGTCTGCAGGGCTCTCTGACAGCCTCTGGGCAGCCTGGATCCTCCGAGGGTGAAGCCTGCTCAGGGACATGTAGTAGAAGTTGTCCTGCTCCGCATTTAAACTGTAGCCAGAAAACGATATCCTGCGAAACTCCTGAAAATAAATAAATAAATACTATGATGAAACACATTTGTTCATGTATTTTTATGCATCTGAGCTCTAATATCATCTACATGCTCTGTGATATATATCAGCCAACATGAACTGGAACTCTACAGGCAGACCTCTCCAGGTGTTCTCACCAGGATCTGACTTAACCAGGGCACTGACCGTCGGTGAGCTCAGAACATCTGGTTGAAATTCAAATACAACACGCTTTATTACCGACTGTGTGTTCTTGCCTCTTTGAATTTCTCCAGAGACAGTTCAGGCCCGAAGACAAACTGAAGAGGGACGTCTTCACAGTGACAGTGCGGCCGACTGTTAGAGCAGAAGACATGTTCTGCTACTTTGTGCAGCGTGGCTGAGCTGATGACCCGAGAGTGACGCAGAGCAGAAACAATCTCGTCCTCCAGCAGCCAGCGGATCTGGATCGCAACAAGAAAAGCTCAGCACTGCGTCAAAGCAAGTCAAAAAGTTGGTGCTGCTGAAACCTTCACCCCCAACTTAAGTCTGCAAGCAACTTCCTAAGAGCCTAATGCTACTGGGGGACTCTAGAGAAAAAACAACAAAAACAAGGCTAAAAATATTGTCTGTGCACAATAAACTAAGGATAAAACATGTAAAATTACAAAACTACTATTTTTAAATACACTCTTTATAAACTTCCATTAGCTGATGATCACACCCACACTCACTTCTAGAGACAATCTGCTTCTAGCACTATTTAATGGCCAATGTGTTCCTCTCCAGACTCTGTATACGTGGTTTGGCTCACCTCATCTATGGTGGCTAAAATGGCGAATTTGTGGGGAAGTGGCAGTTTGGATAACGGATCACCAGCAACACTGAGGAAGAACGGAGACCATCTCAAATACAGGTGTGCACAGCAATGGTCCTTTGTTACACAGCAAAGCTGAGCGGTGAACAAACCCACCCAATGGAGCCTGCTGCTTTCAGACTATCCAGCTCCTCGTCAGAGTGGTAGGAGGAGGGCTGTGCCGGTGAGCGATTCAGAGACACGCTGCTCTCTGAGGTGTACCTTCACACAAACACATCACAGGTACTGTTAACTTGGAAACATGCCCTGAACCCACATTTAAGAGGCAGTGGTTCCGGGTCAAATACAGACTGTGTCATGGTCTGTGTCTGCATCTCCCCTCATGTGTCTCCTTGTGTCCTCCATTCGTTCTCTAGGTGCTCCTTGTGTCCTAGCGCCCTCGTGTGTCATGTCTGCGTCTTCCTCATGTGTCTTCTGGTTTTCCCCATTTGCCCCTAGATCTCCAGCCCTCTCGGTTTCTCAAGCCATTTCCTTTAGTTACAGCCTTTCATGATTTAGTATGTTTTTTCCATCAGTGTTTATTATTTTTCTCCCCCCTCCCTTTGAATTGTAGTTATGTTTCCTGCTCTTTTGTATTAGGTTTTATTCTTAGGTTAAGTTAGTTTCTCCTCTGATTAGTCACTGCCTTCACCTGGTCCTCCTCCCACACCCCACACACCTGCAGCTCATCTCCCTCTCATCCTCCCTGTGTATTTAAGCCCTGTCTTGTCTCAGTATCTTGTCGGTCCATTGTTTGTATTCTGTCTGCGTTTGTTCGTGCTCTTTATTCCATTCCATTCCATTTATTTGATAAAGCACATTTAAAAACAGCATGTGAGCTGACCAAAGTGCTGTACAGGGGTAAAAACATATAGGGTTAAAAGAATATGAGCTTTTTGTCTCGTCCCCAGACTTTGTGCTCTAGGTGAGCTTCTGTTTCAAAGTCTTTGGTCTTCGTGCTCTTTGAGAGCTTTGGGTGTCCTGTGCTCCAGGACTTTGGACTTTAGGCTCGTTGCCTTGGATTTATTTTTGTTCATTCTCTAATAAAAGGATTTTTTCCTTATATCTACTCCTGCCTCGTGTCCTCCTTGGTATCTGCATATATGGGTCCTAAACCTCCCCGAAACGTGACAGACTGGCCTACTGCAGCTAGTATATGAGGAATGGTTTATTTATTGACATCAGACTAGGCTTAAACACCTGATGAAATTCCCATTTTTCCATATAGGATGAGAAGTGGCATCAGCCAGTGTTACACATAGCATGCTGATCCAAAGGCAGAAGGCCAAGCGTAGGGTATTAAAGATGATGTATACAGACGCTACAGCTACTCTGTGAATGGCCATACTTGTGGATTTTTTTAAGGGGTCAGGCCTGTGTTTTTTTATTGGTAAATAAATAATAAATAAATAATAGCATGTGAATATTACAGTGGAGAAGTGCTGGATCCCAGGATAAAAGGTTTTTCATTAATCCACTGCAACTGTCGGGAGTCTTTATGGTAATTTTCTAAAGTCAAAGAGTTCCAGAATACGTTTGCACTTGTGGCAACTTCAGAAATATGGTTGAATGATGATAAAGAACTGCAGGATGAACTAGCGGGTTATGAAACGTGTTGGCATGTGTTGCCATGTTTGTCATTTTGGGTCTTAAATGTAAAGTTGTTAACAATTTGACTGATTGATCATTTGATGTAATGTTTAACCATTAAAATCCATGTGGCAAGATCTAAAAACATATCAGTTGCACTGATCATACACCTGAATCCTGTTTAGACCAGTTTAACAAATACATTTCTGTAATATTAGAAAAACACAAAGAGAAGGTGACCTTTTATGTGGTGATTTTAACATTGATCTATTGAAGGCAGATGACCATAAGACTGCAGAATTTATTGATATTATGTTTAGTTTGGGTTCTGCCGGTTGATTGTGAAGCCCAGCAGAATAATGAAGGATAGAGCCACTTTGGTCAACAATATCTTTGTCAGTAGGATAGAGGGGAAGATATAGTGGACTATATGCTGGTCATCCAGGTCATGGTAATCGAAAGGGTTCAAATGAAGGCAACTGGACTTCTTTGGTTTCTTGAAGACGTTTCGCTTCTCATCCGACGAGCTTTGTCAGTTTTGACTGGAATATGGGAGAGTCGCGTTTATAAGCTGTAGATGTCGGTTGTTATTTAACGAGCAAATAATGGGCAGTTTCTCTAAAAGACAGCAGGCTGAAGTAGATACGTCTATTTTGGTGGTAAAACTGCAGAGTTGTGGTCTTTTATACGTTCACTCACCTGTTGTGATGAAAATCGGTCATGACTTCGATGTCCAATGGTAGAGTCAGAACAAAAACATCCAGGGTGACTGAGAGCTCACTCAGATCGACAGACGATAGGACATTAGAATTCTCCAGGCAGGAAATAATCTCCCCTGCAAGCACAGCAATGGAATGAGGGCAGCAACAAACGACACCTATGTGTCTCACTAAGAGAGCGCCCTAAACCTTTTCAGAAGGTCCTTTCTCACACCCACCAGGCAGGATTGGTTAGAAACAAGCCTGTGAGTGCCAAGGAGGCTGGGGGAGGGGGGGGGGGGTGTCCCAGTTTTTATGGGGAAAAGTCCAGCCCTGCACAGACAGTCTATTCAATCATTTTTCCTGTTATGAGCATACGTTTTCATTCCTTTCCCCAGCTAGCTGTAGCTTAGCTCAACTGTCCAGAGATAGGGTGCAGACTTTGTAGCCTCGCCCTTTGATCTAGGCTTCCAGTTTCTTCCACGGGACATCTCTCATACTAGTTTGTCTCCAAAGTGTGAGCTCCCAACTGTAAAGAGAAGCTTCACAGCTTGGTTCAGGCTGGACCCCTCTTCTCCCCATTTTATGAGACCTCTCTATGTGAATCCCCAATTAAGGGTTTTCTTTATAAATCTCTTGTACGTCTGGTGATTATTGGAACATTTTGACTTTGAAGGAAAGATTTTCTGCATGTGCGACCAACAAAAGCTGTTGTGTTACTTTACTAGACACAGGCAGGAATACTTGACAACCCTAACAGCCCTCTGTATGTTACCTCAGTAGCAATATTCCCACTGTGCCAGCTACTGAGGGACAAACTAAAACACATCCTTACCCTCCTAATTACATAGGTTCAAGCGGGAATAAAGATTCGAGTTGAGATACTCGCCAACTGTTTGTGATACATCTCTGTCTCAAACACAGTCTGACACCCTACACCTTAAAGCTTCTATAGCAAATTTGGGATAATAATAACACGGTTCGGACCAAAAGCAACTACTGGACCTAGGGACATCCCGTTACGATATTGATATCGGTCCAAAAACACTATCTGATTATATCGGACTGCATCAAAAATCTCCGATATTAGCAGTACGTTCCGCTTTAAATTCCATTCCATCAGCGCCCAGATCCAGCATGCAAAATCCACATGATCAGAGCATTGTGTGCTAGCAAAGTAGCAAGGAACAACGTCGGCAATGTGGCTGTTCAGCGGCATTGAAGTCACGGACAACAAAAGATGTTTAGACCTACAAAACAGTGACTGGTGTTAAGAACTATCTCATTTCTTCTGGCAATGCAAGTGTCTGGTTCCGGCAGAAGCATTTCCGGGAAGATTCCCAAGGGGAGGGGTTAGTGTTCCATGACTGTGTTTGGGTTCAAAGCCTAGCTTGTTCTGTAGATTCGCTATAGCAGCTTTAATGGAACACCGGCCAATCCACATCCACGGTGTCATGGTCGAAAGGGTCAGCAGCTTCAAGTTCCTTGGAGTCAACATCACTGAGGACTTCTCCTGGACCCTCCATACAGACGCTGTTATCAAGAAAGCTTGCCAGCGGCTTTACTTCCTCAGGAGGCTAAGGAAGTTTGGCATGAACACGAGTATCATCTCAAAGTTCTACAGGTGTGCTTTTGAGAGCTTGCTGTCGAGCTGCATCACAGTTTGGTATGGAAGCTGCTCTGCCAGCAGCCGTAAATCACTACAGAGGGTGGTGAAAGCAGCAGAGCACATCACTGGCACAAGGCTTCCTGCCATTCGGGACATTTATCTCCAGCGATGACTCCGGAAAGCACACAGCATCATCAAGGACCACAGCCACCCAGCGCATCAGCTGTTCTCCTCGTTACCATCTGGCAGGCGTTACAGGAGTCTGCCTGCTCGGACTACGAGACTTAAAAACAGTTTCTACCACCAAGCCATACGACACCTCAACCATTACACTTAAACACACACTTAAACACACACAACACAGGATACAGATGTTACCCTGCAGCTCCACAAGTAAAATTTAACCTGCACTGGTTACTTCATTTTAATGTTACTACTCACTTTTTTTTATATATATTTATATTTAGTCATCTATACTTACGTATCTATTTAGTAAGCTTTTAGCATGACTCTCTAATATTTTGCTTTTACTGTATTATACCTTGTTCTTTTTTCTATTGTATTATGCTGCTGAGAGGCCGCTGCTCATCAAACACATTTCATTGCAATGTTGACCCTGTGCTAACTTGCATATGACAAATAAACTAAACTAAACTAAACTAATGGTTTCTGTGGCAACCGACAAATAGACAGGGGACCGATGCTTGTCATGAGATGGAACCTGGACAAAGCTGGGACACAACACTCAATGTTATTGACTCTTTGCTGTTGGGAGAAAACAGACTACAGGCTTACGGTCAGTTCACCGGGTTATCACAGGACAGAAAAGATTTAGATGCGTGGGCGGTGCCAGCTTGAGATCACTAAAGCAAGACAGGCTCCTGCCCCAATCTTTTCAGCCAAGCAAAACCGTAACAACCCCAACTCCTGAACACACTCCCAACCTCCACCCCAAAAGACAGAGTGGCCGCAGCTCAGCGCTCAGGTCCATCAGGACTGTCAGAAACTTTAAAGCAGCTAATAAATAATTTACATCTTAGTCCCCAGTCTCACATCTGTAATATCCTCTAATAAGGCCAAAGCTGTTGTTATTTAAAGGGATGTTCTGATCCACTTTGCTCATGCTTTAATATCTACTGTATTTAAGCTACTATGGAGAATCTGCAAACAAGCTAGGTTTTTAATGCAAACATGGTCGTGAAACACTCACCCCTCCCCTCGGGTATCTTCCTTGAAACACTTCTGCCAGAACCAGAAACCCTCGATGCCGGAGGAAAGAAGTCCAAAATATATTTATAGCTATTTTATGTTAGGACGTTGTTAAGAGCCATGAAAAAATGTTTTAAGCTAATTTGATTTTCAAATTTGCTCTTGCAGCTTTAAAGTTAAAGTCCCATTAGTTGTCACACACACAGGTGTGTGTGCGCAATTTGTTCTCCGCATTTGACCCATCCCCTGGGGGAGCGGTGAGCTGCAGACAAGCCGCGCTCGGGAAATATTTGGTGGTTTAACCCCCCAATCCAACGCCTTAATGCTGAGTGTCAAGTAGGGAGGCATTGGGTCCCATTTTTTCAAAGTCTTTGGTATGACCCGACCAGGAATCGAACCCCTGATCTCCCAGTCTCAGGGCGGACACGCTACCACTAGGCCACTGAGACTGTAATGGTTTAATGGTTCTTCGTGTGATTCAGTGTGAAAATGAACACATATTTACCTTAATAATGACCTGGTGAATATTCCGTGTCCGGACTTCTAAAATCCTTTACTAGCCAACACGCCATAACCACAGACTTAAACAATAAGTTTCTCTTTAGAGATCTAGTTAAATGCTCTCCTCACCGAGACAGGTAGGCAGTGTCTGGATGGGCATGGAGCCGTGGCTGCTCTTCATGTTAACGGAACATGTGACATGAACAAACAGTGGGGGCATGTCCAGCTGGGGCGCCTCAGGCTCCAGCAGCGAGTCCCCATCCAAGATGCTGAAGGAATCCTGGTCCTGGTTTACCGTGTTGGAGTCTGACAGGGAGCGGTCTTCACCCTCCCCATGAGAGTTGATGTCTTGATGCTCCACGTACTCCACCACAAGGTCTGTGTCGCTCTCCGACATGATGCAGCAGCCGGACATGTGCTCTGGACAAAAGGGAGACATACCATCCTATCAGCTTCTAAAAGCACCACAGCTTAATCAGACAAGTTTTCATATTCTTCTCTCAGGTTTTACCAGAGCTCCAGCACGGTTTCCAAATCATTGATCACGTGCCACTTCTGCTAGATCTCATCACATTTGTAAAAGAAACAACTCGTGGTAGGCGTTAACTGACTACTACTTTCTTCTACAATCTGCTCTTTAACTGTACTATTTTCTGCAATTTCAGCTGTTAACTTTATTTTCTCTCTAAGTGTTTTTCTCCCCAGAAGAAGCTACAACGATGTTCTGCTGAGCTGTGGTGGCCTCATGGAGGGGGCCATCGTCTAGCACACTGCTGCTAACCACTTAAACTTTCTCCCTCTCCTGATAATAACTTTTTGCTTTCCTTGACGTTGGATGTGCTACTGCTAGTTTATCCATTTAATTATAGATTCACTAGGATAAATACAATAAAGTTTATCTCTCGCCAAATAGAATATTTACTAAGAAATCACAATATAACTATAGACACATTACTTGTCTTTGTGTGTGTGCGTGCGTGTGTGCGTGCGTGCGTGCGTGTGTGTGTGTGTGTGTGTGTGTGTGTCTGCTCTGTCTTCTCGATCCCCAGTGAGTCGTGGAGGATGGCTGCTTATACTGAGCCAGGTTTCTCTGGAGGTTTCTTCCTGTTAAAAGGGAGTTTTCCTCTCCACTGTCGCTATATGCTTGCTTAGTATGAGGACTGCTGTATAGTCACTGACACTAGTCAGTGACTTGATGCTATTTGCTGGGTTCCTTATATAGCAAACATTATTTCTGATTGGCTTAATGAACTGACCTGAATTGGAATGTTTATTATGTGAGGTGCCTTGAGACGACTCTTGTTGTGATTTGGCGCTATATAAATAAACTTGAATTGAATTGAACTGAATGTTGTAGCTGCAAAGGATTGTGGAGCAGTGTTTTCTTTATTTTTGCTCGATGTGCATCAGTAAAACAAAGCATTTGATTTAACTTTGTGAAATTTTACGTTAAATTAGATAAAAAATCCTGAGGGACCACCATAGATGGGTCTTTTCGTCTCCTTCTCTCTTTGGTTTTAGACCGAAACCTCTGGCCTCCTCCCAGTTAAAAAACGCAAACTATCCTCAGAATAAAAACTTGGACCCAGTCTAACTGGTTAGGACTGATCTTCCTCACCATCTTCAGTCGCAGGCTCAGCCTCTGACAGCAGCTCTTCACTGGGTCTTCTCTCCGTTTCTTCATCCTCTGAGTCCACCTAAGTCCAAAATCACAACACAAAGGGCATAGACAAAGCAGTCGCAAACAAAAACACAAAAATATGGGATCCATCAAAATGACTCGCCTCTTTCTTGGATGATGCGGGACAATAGAAGAAGTAGTGAGGATTGGAAGGGACACATTTGAAGTACTGGGACAGGATGTCCATGAACTTTTCCTGTTTGAATAAAAGATGAAAATATACTTTAGCTGTCAGAGAAACTGATGGTAAACAATGAGACAAACACTGAAGAATACACCGACAACAGTTCAAGTTTCAGGACACGACAGGATAACGTCAGAACAGACTCGGCAATCTGACCAGAGCAGTGGACAACACCAGAGACAGAACTCACAGGACAAGTCCTACATCTATGAAAGTGCTTCTTGTGGTCCCAGATCAACACAGATGGATCATGTATAAGGAGAGTCAGTACCTGAATGATAGTGTGCACATCTGGATGCACTGCACACCTGGGCTGCGTCTGCAGTAGGCTCAGAGGGAACTCTGGTGTTCTGGACTCATTCACGTCCGGTGGAGACGTGGGAGCAGAGACCATCCCTCTAGATTCTGCTTCACAGGCATCTTCCACTTCCACACTACTGCTAAAACAACACAAACATTAATAATAATAACAATAACAACAATGGTGTCTCAATAATACGTCACTCAGAGGAACAGATCTAATGTCAGAGGCAGCAGAACCACTCAGACTGGACCTAAAGGACAGCAGGATCAGTGAAGTACAGTTAGATCATCAGGACCAGGCTAAGCTGGACCACAGCACCATCTAGAGAACACTTCCTGTTACTACTGAGCTAAAGACTACACTCCTCACACCCTCCAGACTGAGTCCTCCTTCCAGATTCTACGACCCTGAATAGAAAAAAAGTAAACCAGCCAGACCCAAAAACCCACAGACTTGATGTACAGACCAGAAAACAGCAGGAACAGCCTAACTGAAGCCATAAAATCTATTCTGTTGATCAAAGCTCTAAGAGAAATCCGAACCTGTCCCAGAAGGTCAGTGCGGTACTAGAATCTGTACGTGCCTCACACCATCAATGCTTCTGCGTTTGCATCTCTGGTCTTTATTTTTGATGGACCTCACCTGGATGAGGAGGCTACTGCTGCCCTGCCTTCTGCCTGATCCTGATCAGCTTCTCCAATAACAAAGGTAGCAGGGCTTCTTAAAGGTTTGAGACTTGGCCTTGGCCCAGGAGTCATCCTACTCGTCCTGAAGGTCCTTATGTGTCCACAGAGGGCCTGAAGGAAGGCAGTGATGTCAATCTCCTGCAGCGACTCTTCACAGTAGTCCATTGCCATCAGGACATCCTGAGAGCTGATGCAGTAGGACTGCTGCAGGCTTCGGTACACACCTGAAGAGCACAGAGTCCAGCATCAACACATGTCCAACCACTGCGTTCAGTTTAACTGGAACATAACTCCTTTCGAGCTTGGATTTGTCTTCATCATGTGTGTTAAAGCGGCAATAACAAATCTACAGGGCAAGCTAGCTTTTAAACACAAACATGGTCCCAGAACACTCAGCCCTCCTGTCAGCTATCATTCCCAGGCCACATTCGCCTGATAGTGGAAACGAGGTAGAAAAAGGCGACTGGTTTTTAACACTACGTCCAAGCATCTTCTGTCGTCCGTGACTTTGATGTTTTTCTTTTTGAGAATCTGGTAGTTTGTCCTAAAGTTAAAGAGTCAGCAGCCGGCTGTTTCTCCTTTTCTGATATTGAGCAGAGAACCTCTCACACACCAGTGGTGTTCTGTTGCTAAATATGCAATGTGTGGAGGACCTAGAGAAGTGTGGAAGTGTGATAAGCCGTGTTCGAGATGAGCCAGTTCTGCGCAGATTCGATCACCGGTGATCGGCGAACAGTGCATGCCGGTTAGATTTGTGTCCGACTTGACGCCGACTTGCTCGGACGTCATGCATACGTAGGCAACGATAACCTCGTGAGATCAAGGCGGCCGCAGACTTTGGAGCAAGGCGCTGCAGTTGCCCTCCACCGGCTGTAAAACCTAGAGGATGACGGGAAACGCCTGGCTCTCACCTGATCTAAGATCTGATTGGTTCATATTTTGATCCAAACATCCGGTGGTAGAACATGAAATGTTAGTTGGTCGCATGGTTTTTATATATTGTCTGGTTTCATTTAAAAAGCACTGAAAGGAAGGTTTTGCATTAGAAAATTTCGACTTATGTATATGAAATTTAGCTAATAATATCAATAAATTAATCAAATAAAATTCAAACCAAACAACATTCTCAAAATTTGAAAGCTGTCAAAACCATAAACTTATGTTCCATGTTCAATATCATGTGATTCTCTGTTAAACTGTTGTTTTCCCACAGAACCCCGCTGACATTGTGCTTGCTATTTCTTTGTAGTTGTATTATGTGCTTTGTCAATAAAGCGTATTCAAGGAGAAAAAAAATGATAGTTGGTCACATGTATTCTGTAAATCATGTAACGTTGATGATGACAACTATATAGGCCATAAAGAGAAATGTGTTTTGTGTTCTTTTGTCACGTTTCCTATGAACACACTAAACCTACAGCTGATAACCTTTACTTATTATTACAGCCAGGTCTCCATATACAATATATGATATCCACAAACACGTGAGGATGTGTTTCAGCTGCTAACAGGCACCAGAATTAAAATAAATAATTAAACAAGTATGAACTCTAACGGGGTATCTTCAGCCATCGTGACCCCCGAGCTACACATGTAGGGAAATCTGTCCGACTTAAACGCCGGCTTTCAGCCACTCCCCCTGCTGCTTCCGTCTGCTCTCGTCTGTTTTCCAGGCGAGGCGCAGCTCAACTCGAACACGGCCATAGTTTGACGGGACCGAAAACCGGATGGTCGAATAGTTGCTTTCGGTCCGAGCCGCGTTATAGGGCAGTGTTTCCCAGCCCTGGTCCTCGAGGCACAGTGTCCTGCATGTTTTCCATGTTGCCTTTGTAAACACCAGTGTTTCCCTGCTGCCACACCCCTGACTTAAATGAATGAGTAATTAACAGGCATATGCAGCACTTTATGTCCTCCTGAGGAGCCAATGCAATTCAGGTGTGTACTGAAGCAGAGACATGGACAACATGCAGGTCAGTGTGCCCTGAGGACCAGGGTTGGGAAACACTGTTATAGGGAGCCTACGTCTCCTCCCTTTCTGGTCGGCTCATGGGCCCCCGGATGAAAGAAAAAATGAGTATAAGTCAATGGAGCTAAAAGAGCTATTTTCAAATACGCTTTGCCTTAAGCCCTGGATAGCACATATATTATACTTCTATTTAGATGAAAAGTAATGAAGTGTGTTTCGACCATGCCTGTCATGTACTTTGAGGTCTATCAGCTTGTAAAAGTCTGTAATTAGCAAGACTACAAATCAGACATCAGCACGTTGCATGTATGATGTCACCACATAATCTCCTCTCCACTAGCGTAGCTGCTACTTGCCAAATGACCATATTTATGGTGGTTCTTTCCTCCTTAACGGGACTTTACGGAGTTTTGAATTTTATGCTTGCGATTGCCCCTTCAAGCCAAAAGCGTAACGGCAGCTTCAATAGTAGGCTCGTGCACGAGGCGCGCATGCTGTACGTGCACACTCCTTAACGAAAATAACAGCTGAGACAGTCCCGTGTGTGTGTGTGTATGTGTATGTGTATGTGTGTGTGTGTGTGTGTGTGTGTGTGTGTGTGTGTGTGTGTGTGTGTGTGTGTGTGTGTGTGTGTGTGTGTGTGTGTGTGTGTGTGTGTGTGTGTGTGTGTGTGTGGTGTGTGTGTGTGTGTGTGTGTGTCCCGGAGGACAGAGGACAGGAGAACGTGCAGCTAATTAATTAAATAACTTGGTTCTGTATCTTTCTCTTCAGCACAGCCGACAAAGGTTTAAGATGGGTCAGTCCTCCTGCATGCTCAGATCATTCCCTTCCCCTGCTTGAAAAATTGTTCCAAAATGAAAGTTGAACCCACATCTTTTTTATCTGTGAATTCAAAGCCGTTCGGCGAGTCTCAAATAAAAATTTGGGCATCTTACCCCCAAATTCCACTACCTCCGCTCCGCTCCGCTCCGACACGAACGCCGGAGCAAAATCGATCGGCAGTGCGGCGCAGTGCGCCGCTCTCTGTTCCGGCGTCCGGCAAAAATAGAATCGATCCTATTTTTGCAGGATGCCGGAGCACCTCCGCAGTAAATGGACAGAAATCACAACCGCCCAACAGGAAAAGGAGCAAGCACAACTTCCGTTTTTCACAACAAATCGATAAACAAAAGGCGTTTTTTGTTTCATATGCACAGGTTTAACAACTTTTAACAACTATCAATGGCGGCTGAAGTTTAAATGCACAAAAATAAGCCATAAATACAGTTTCCACTATCAAAGTAGTCACACTTTGTTGATCCAAACACTGCTGATCTCTCAACACAAATGATGGGCAGATTAAACAGCTCATTTCGATGCTTCTCCCACACAACGGGTGTTTGGATCTAACTTCCGCGTTTATTGCTCGGACTGTATCGCAAGATCTCGAAAATCCTGCGCATGCTTGTTTGCCCACCTCAGGTTTCCGCACCGGAGCGGAGCCGTTGTAGAGCGGGTAGCAGTAAAAATTGAGTTCGGAAGCAAGCGGCTGCGGAAGGCGGGGGCGGAGCGGAGCGGAGGTAGTGGAATTTGGGGGTTACTGTAAAAATATACCATTAATGTAAAAATGAAACTAATTCCCATCCAGAATCGAACCCGGGTTCTCTGCATGAAAATCCATTGTCTTACTAGGCGAGCTAAAGCAACAATGACGTCCCTTGTAGTTGTAACATTTATACCATTGATGATAACTGAAACAACGTTCAAAGAACGGTTCGGAGGGCTATGCCTGAGCGTGAACGCGCATGAAGCAGCCTGCTCGACCCGAGCATCTCTCTTTTTCTGTGATTTTACAGAAAAACAGGCAATCACAGTAAAAATGCCAGGGCTCATTCTACAGGACCAGGGCATTGCAGGAGAATGTCTGAAGAAGAAATTTATTATTTCTACATGTTTTTGCTGTCAAACTTCCATAATGCCCCTTTAAGGAAGGATTTGAAGTTTGTTAACAGCCATTTTCCCTCTGTTTTTCTCCGTGTCTGGTTCGATGATGTCACTTTGGTGAAGCGCATTCGTAGTCCTGGACGTATTTTCACACAAAACATAAAATAATGTTTCCCCCATTTGAAAATAGCATTTTCTTGGTATCAAAAAGCTTCTTTAAAATTCACAGACATCATATGTGAAATCCATGGCACAAACAAGCGGAATTAGAAAATAGCGTTTTTAGGCCCATTGGCTTGAATTCATTTTTTAGTTGTCCCCGGGACCCGTGGTCCAGAAGTAGATGGGCGTGACTTAGGCTCCCTATTAGCGTAGGTTTTTATACAAATGCAATTAGATACTAGATATTATATTAGATATATAATCCTCTGACCAAGGCCTGCTCGCTGTCCCTCGTTCTAGGTGTCGTACTCGTGGGGACTGGGCTTTCTCAGTCCTAGCACCGTCTCTCTGGAACCAGTTGCCACCCTCAGTTAGGCTGTCCCCATCTCTGCCAGCCTTTAAGAGTCACCTAAAAACACACCTTCTCCGCTTGGCGTTTCCTGAATATGTTTGATTCGGCCCTCTTTTACGTTGAATTTCTTTCACAGTTTTCATTGGTTCACTCTATCCCTTGTTTTACCCATCTGTCCTGTACTAGAGTGTTTCACCTTTTTTGTATTTAGTAATTTAATTTGCTTTTATTTTTGATTTATTCACTATATTTGTACTTCTACTGTACCATGTTCAGCGCCTTGGGCTTCCTGACAGGGTTGCGGAAGGCGCTTTATAAATAAAGCTTTGATTGATTGATTGATTGACTGATTGATATTAATTTTTTCTTTTTTTCTCACTTCCACAATACATGTATAGCTATACCACAGCTAGAATTTTGTTAAGAGGTATAAAAAAAAATAATGTTTTAAGCTAGCTTGTTTTGCAGATTTGTCATTGTAGCTTTAAACCTCTGGTGGAGAAGCCTTCGTCACATGTAGCTAGGCTGTTGAGACACCTCATTGTGATATCACACCGTGTGTTTACCTAAACTATGACCAGTTTAGGTTTCCTCAACTGAAACATGCTGCAGTCACAAGATTCCCATCTGAAACAACCTGAGGAGTTACCTTTAACAAAGCTTTGGTGATAGTGTTCCTGCAGCAGGCTGCAGTAGTTAGCCAGCTCTTTATGTTTGTGAGGCTGAGCCAGGAGCTCCGTCCAGGGAGATGGACTGCTGCGGTCCTGAGACAGAGATCTGATGAGGATAAACGCAAACAAGCATGGATTAAGATCAGATCAGCAGAAACATCCATGCTGATTTAAAGAAACTAAGTGTCTAAAGATAAAAAGTCCACAAGTCGTGTTATCCAGAAACAGCAAAGTCTTGCTGAAAACTTGTTTTGTTTTTGATGAACTTCAGAACAAACGCTTTGATTCAAAAGTTATTTTTTAATACCGAGAGAAACTGTTGAGAAACGGAGAGGGGGGAGATCCAGATTACGGGACATCAGATGAACCTGGAGCTGCTTGTTAAATAAAATCCTCCAGGTGTCATCTTTTCATTATGAAACAACACAAGACATCTTCAGAAGATGTACTGTGACTCAGTGAAACATGGAACTGGACCACAAGCAGAAGCAGCCATGATCTGGCTGGTCTGATGGTGTTCTGCATGAAGGTGAGCACCTTACCTGAAGAAGACGTCTTTGGGCTGGTGGATGGAGTTGGGCTGCACTAGCTTCTCCTTAAGTTGCTCCAGGGAGCAGTTGTAGATGTAAACTGGGCATTTTAAAGAGTTGCTGTTGGTGCTGTGCTGTGAAACCTGCCTGCTGAAGCTGATGTGCACATCCACCTTCTGTGGTTCTGAAAACTGGACTCCCTCTTTTCCTCCAAGACCTGGAAAAGTGAGAATAAGAGTTACATTCCCCAGACAATGCCTCAAGTTGGTGCTGCTCCTCTTTGATAGCAAACCACACTACTGTGGCTTTTAAACCCACCTGAGCTTGGTGTGCCAAATTCTTTGTCTGACAGTCTGCCAACCAAACTGTCAGGGTCTAAACTCAAAGACTCAACAGACTCGGTGTGGATCTCAGAAGCCTGTGAGGGGGGAGGTGACTTGATTGGGAAGAGTCCGCTGCTGGATGTCCTGTGGCCGGACTCAGACCTGTCTAGACCACTGGTGGAGCTCGACAAGGAGTCTGCCTGAGACTTGTTGCTGGGAGTCAGGGTATCATCCTCCTGTGCACTGAAGGTTCTCTGAGGCTCAGTCTCATCTACTGATCCCATCAACATCAGAACATCTGCAAAATCAGAATAAAACCCACATCTTATTCCTCAGAGCATCTGCTTCTGCCTGAGAGCAGAAGGACAAACTTCAGCTGTACCTGCAAAGGAAGCAGGAAGAAAGGTGAGGAGCAGCTGCTGGGAGCTGATGTACTTGGTGTAACACCTCCACTGTGGTGTAGAGAAGCTCCTCCCCAACAGCGAGGGCTCTTCATCTACAAGGTCCGCATTACTGAAGCTCTGTCAGACACCAGGAGGAAATTAGTTACAGGTCAGCATGAGGGGTTTAAAAGTCCCAAAGCACATTTGTTCTACAAGAAAACCCTCTGTTTATCAAAAAGGAGACATGAACAAGAGACAAAATAATCTTTTACCTCAGACGTTTGATTAATAGGACAAAACAAAGCCTGAACAGTGTCCAAGAATAAGGTTTAACAACTGGAAACCATTCTTTGAGCTTCTAGAAAGCATATGAAACTCTGTTGGGGCTCACAATGACCCAGGAGCCCTGGAACCCGAGCAAACAAAACCCCATGAATTAGTCCTACAACGAAAAGGCACAAAAGTCGAGTGGGTGGGGAAAACCCACTAGACCAGGACAGGAATGTTAACTAACTATTTGTAGTGTGTGTGTGTAGTGTGTGTGCGTGTGTGTGTGCGTGTGTGTGTGTGTGTGCGTGTGTGCGTGCGTGTGTGTGTGTGTGTGTGTTTGTGTGTGTGTGTGTGTGTGTGTGTGTGTGTGTGTGTGTGCGTGCGTGTGTGCGTGCGTGTGTGCGTGTGTGTGTGTGTGTGTGTGTGTGTAACTCACTATGGGAACATTTTTTCATGTTTAACCTATAACATGGGGACACGTGAAATCGTGGGGACATATGGCTGATCCCCTAAATGAAATAAATAAATAAATAAAATAACTTGGTTTTACTGGTATTGACCCTTTGCACGTGACGTCATGCAACTCAAGTGACCACCCCCTTCGCCATGATGGACGGCAAAAAGGCCGTTTACACCCGTGGAAACTCAACTGAAGGTAGTCAAAACAAGCCAGTTTGTAGCCTTTTATCGCTTTTATTTAGTTGATTTAACAGTAAAATGGTTTTAGCTTGCTGCGTGGTCGGCTGCACTAACAGACAAGGACGTAAACTCAACTCGTTTTGTTTTTTTTAATAACTTTGATGGAGACTGAGGACGGAGATGAACTGCAGCGGACTAGCAGGCCTCAGATTTGCAGCGAACATGTTTTTACCGGGTAAGATTAACGTTTATTTATTTCACGAGGAAGACGGGGACAGGGATAAATGATGTGCTTATACTAGTTATTGATAATCTTGATGGACGGGTATTTCACCACGGAGGCTGCGTGCCGTCCACTGTAGTGTAAAGCGAGACATTTATTAACAATATTAAAGCTCCGATGTATGATTACGTGTGTTAAAATTCAGTTTTTTATTTATATGAGCGTTGGCGTTCAGAAATCTTCTCATTCCGGTGAGAGAGCAGCAGCTGAACCCGGGAACACCACCAGCTTTTTAAAAATCAGCTTTGGTGTAAAGTGAAACGCTGTTTACAACATAAACTTATAAATCCAGCGGGGTGAATTTAGGCAAAGTCAGCAACGTGTTTACATCGGTGAAGAGCTGCAGAGAGAACGTAAGCTAACGTTGGTAAGCTAGTTAACACACCGCTCTCTGTGAGCCCCCGCTAGCTGCGCTACTTCTTCTGATAACTGAACTGGGCATGAACTAGTGGAAGGAATGCTGGAGGAGTTTTGTTTTTCTTTTGATCGCAAAAACAATGTCAGGCTCTACTTTTCCCTTTGTTTAGTACTCGTGTCGCTCACTGTTTACATGCTTTTGCCGTCCAGCATGGTGGACCCACGTGATTAGGTGACGTCGGTGCAAAGGGTCAATAGTGTAAAATAACGTTTAGTTAGGATTGACGTTAGGAGTAGACCAGTATTGGTTAGGGTCAGCTCAGACAAGAAAAGGCCCTGTGACATGACATCCTGCTGAGTGGGTTGTTCTCAACTCGGATCACCTGTAAAGTGCTTGTAGATCCCATCACCTCCTTACTGCTGCTGGTGGTGTGAAATGATGTCACAGTATCCTGTCTGTCTGGAGCTTTAATACTTTCCTCTGAAATACGAACAAAAGAAAAAGAACTAGATTATGAGACATTAGAGGATGTGTGCCGCCGCTATAGATGACCCATCTGACCTTTAATAACAGATAAAGAGAACGGAGCCACGTGCCCATCTCGCTCTCGCTCCAAGATGTGATGCATGAAGGCAACATGGTCACTGGCTGCTAGTGGGACCTCTCTGTCGCTCAGCTCCTGCTCCAGGCTGCTGTGGAAGAGGCTGAGCAGGAGCTCGTTGGGCAGATTTGAGGAGCTAGGGGCCTCTTCCTCGCTCTCTACACCTAAAGAAAACAGGAAACCTCAGATTTGTCTAAAATTTCCTTCAGGTTTAGAACACATAGCACCTATTTGATGCTGGGTACAACAGACCTGAGTAAAAACAGGGATATTCTGGAAACTAAGTAAGTAAAAGTTTATTTATAGAGCGCCTTTCACAGATATAAATCACAAAGCGCTGTACAACATGATAAAGATCAGGGCAAATACCTCTAACCAATAAAAACTTCAGAAAAACAATAGCAGTGATAAAGTAGAAAATAAAATCATGAGTATAAACAAAGTGAAGGTGTGAACCCGAACAAAGCCATCTTTTAGAACATTTAGGGAGGGAACGCCTGGATGAAAAGGTGAGTTTTTAGATGATTTTTAAAGACCTCTACAGTGTTAGAGAGACGGAGATTTGAAGGCAGACTGTTCCAAAGTCTGGGTGCAATAGTCTGAAAGGCCCTGTCCCCTTTGGTTTTCAGTCTGGTTCGAGGAACAGCCAGGAGGTTTTCAGATGTGGATCTAAGGTTCCGAGAGGTGGTGTGTGGGGATAAAAGCTCAGATAGGTAGCTTGGAGCCTGGTTGTTGAGAGCTCTATAAGTCAGGACTAAAACTTTAAACTGAATTCTATATTCTACCGGGAGCCAGTGGAGGGACTGTAAAACCGGAGTGATGTGAGCTCGTCTGCTGGATTTGGTTAGGAGTCTGGCTGCTGCATTTTGGATGGCTTGAAGGCGTGAGAGGGAGGTTTTGCTGAGACCAGTAAAAAGAGCGTTACAGTAGTCTAAGCGTGATGACACAAAGGCATGAAAGGTACCTGCACTGAATGTGAAGAAGAAGAGTTCAACCTGCTGACAGTTAGGGAGGAGCTGGATGAGATCAAATTGGAAAGGAACCATCTGGATGTTGTCCTCAGAGGCCAGGACTTCTACCAACATAAACAGGAAGTCCAACCATCAATTCAGAAATCAAAAACTAAAAAAATCACTTCCTGAAATGTGGTGGCTTTTACGTTTATGCAGTAATTCACTTTGACGCCTTTTACTAATGTTAACTAACATTTATTACCCTGCAAATCCTTGAATCCAACAGGCAGCGCGCAAACCTGGTTCTTATTCTGACACAGCTGGCTCAAATACTCAAACGTCATCATGGTGGACATACACGCTAGATCTGTTGGGAAGATCTACAACAAGGCAGCAGGTCACATTTGGTTATTACAGTCCCAAAACAGACACAACAGCAAACAGCACTCTGTTTCATGCCGGGTGTGTTGTGTAGCTACAGGAGAGAACGTGTACACACCGCTTGTGGGACCTCCTGGTACTTGAGGCCCTGGAAGTGTCGCTGCTGATCCATGCAGTTCATCACGATGCCGCTCTGTGGCTCCACCCAGCACTCCGTCACCAGGTTCAGTTCTGTGTCCACATCCACAGCCTCCACCTCTGTGTCGTTGTCATCATCGGTGGAGAAGCTGCCATGACATTCTGTCAGACGCCTCTGCTCCATCACAACCCCTCGCACGTCATTAGACCAAGGTGTTGAGCCAGTCCTACCTGTCCTTGCTGGTGGTTGAGTGGGGTGGAAACAGGATGTACTGGACAAGGCAGGAGTGACTCTCTCGGCCAGTGTCTTCTGACATGCTCTGATCAGACAAAAGAGCCAAAATCATGTCAACTAAGGGCAGATGTTACAACTGTGGGAGTCAAAAGTGTCCAGTTGTTGTTCACCTTCATTGGCAGCTCAATCACCATGTTCATGATACCCTCTCCACTGGCAGCAAAATGAAAACCTTCTGAAACACGAATCCTACAAAGATATTAAAACACATCTACAAATGACTGTTTCCACTGCAACAGATCACACAGCTGGAACATCTGGAAGCATCCCAGAGCTGAATGGCACCAAAGCAGCTTTTCTTCATAAGTCTTATAAAAACTAGGGATGCACCGATGGATCTGCATTTGATCGTAATCGGCCGATAGCGCCCCTATCGGTTTTGATCGGAATTTTCAAAATAGATCAAAGCAGACCGATCAGGTAGGGTTGTCACGGTAACCGGTGTAGCGGTAAACCCCGGTAAAAAAAAAGTTGACAATAATGATAACCGTCTTGTTTTTTAAAAAAACTGTATTATCTTGGTGGGATTACTGTGGCTGCGGTGTAGGCGCGGTGACCCTTACCAGCCACCGTATCATCGGCTGAAGTTGCCGGCGGCACATGCGCGCTTTGTTGTTTACAACCAAAACTTTCTTGAAGATAAAGCTGAAATAATGGTCAAAGGAGGAGACGGCAGCGCTCAGGAGGACATTTTTTATCCCTCAAAGAAGACAAAGTGGGAAGTACGGGCATCTTTTAGATATTTGAAGAATGCCGAGGGAGTTTATAGAAGACGGTATCCTGTTTGCAGCACGTGCAGAAAAAGTGTCTGTGACAGGCAGCAACGCTTCAAATCTCAGGACACATCTGCGTGACCATCACCCACAACTCTACAGTCAACGCAAGGCAAGCTAACGTTAGCGTTTTAGCTAAAATGCGTGATCCGAGGATTTGGGTTGAGGGAGAACGCAACGAGTCGCTATATAAAGCAGCCACAGCGCCGCTACCTGCATATAAACCGTGTCGCGGAAACCCCCATGAAATGACGCTATGCATTACGGGGCTCCCAGGGGCAGATAAGAGTTGGTCTCTCTCCGAGAATAATTATGAATTTAACAATCATTACTGCCTGATGACATTTTCCCACATCTGCAAAGCTCACTGGAAGGACACAAACCGAGGACAATATTTTCCTGATATAGGGTTTATTACTCAAGTAAGGGTAAAAAAGTATCTGATTAGAAGGCTACTTAAGTACTGAGTATCATCTGAGCTAATATTTTTAAAATGATGACATCAAACAGACATAAAATAAGAAGTTATGGGCAAATATTGGTATTTTAAAGACTAAAGGGGAAAAATGTAAACAAACAAACAACATAATTACAAAATAACACATTTTAGGCAAAATTTAGACACAAACCGAGGACAATATTTCCTGACATACAGGGTTTAATTAATTGTGTGAAAATGTAGCACGTTTAAAAAAAATACCGCGATAATACCGAAAACCGTGGTAATTTTGGTCACAATAACCGTGAGATTAAATTTTCACACCGTGACAACCTTAATACAGACCATTTTAGATTAGGTTACATTTCCTTTATTCCCAGATTATGTAGTTTGTACCACTCATTATAATGTTGTAGAAAATTTCTGGCCAATCCACGTGATCGGTATCGGTGATCGGTATCAGCATTCTTTGATATCGGTATCGGTGATCGGCAGCAAAAAACCTGATCGGTGCATCCCTAATAAAAACATGCTAGTAATTTTCAACAAAGACATCTTTCTAGGCTCAAATTGTTAATTTCCAGCTATTTTTAGGGGTTTTGCCCCTATTACAAGTGGGCCTTCGTGTCAAGATTAGAACCGCCTAAATGCATGACTGCAGAGGTGTTAAAGAGAGACTGTAATGGTAAGATGTCCAGATTAAGGCATGTTTCTGTGTCAAATTTAAAACTCAGCAAACTCACTCAGACAGCATTGACAGGATGTGGGCGACCGCCTGCATGGTTACCGCCGGTCCGTGACCACTCTGCACGGCCCACACCCACCGCCGGTGGAGAAAGTAACGGGAGAGCGAAGCCAGGGTGGAGGAGGCTGTGCGGTTGGCTGCCATGCTGAGAGGCACGGCACTATTGGAAGGCACTGGAAAGTTCTCCATGTTGAAAATGAAGGGAGTCCTAAAGTCCAAAGGCAGCTTCTCATACCTGTAACACATATTGGGATCATTTAGCCTCTTTGTCAAGCTGACAGAAAATAGTGCAAGCTAAGATCTAACTGGTTAATAATCGGCTGTTTGATTAGATAATAATTAGGTGTTGGTGTTTTGACCTGATTAGCAGCTTTTCCAGAGGCTTGTTAAGCACCACAACACAGGGTCTGTCTGACAGGGCAGGCTTGGCAGCAGTGGTAGGGGGACACTTAGATGGAGATGCGTTACCAACAATCTTCCTCTTGGTTTTTGGTGTGGCTTCTTTGTTTTGAACACGATGAGGAAAGCGGAGCTTGAGGATCTGCTGTCGGAGTTCATCCACAATCTGATGGATAAAAATCTTTGGTGAGCTAAACTCGGAACTTGATTTGCCAACAAACCGTGAGGGAGACGCTTTCACCCCTCTCCAATGTGGTTTGGACAAGACCTGTTGCATGCACTGGTTTTCAGTACCTTGTTTCTGACATTGGCTGGTGTTCCGATAGGAAAGCCCAGACGCAGAACCATGCAGGGGGTCTTGGAGATGACACGAACCAGGTAGAAGGAGGTGGGAGTCTGGTCAGATGAACTGTGGAGTCGCATGAATTCAGTTTTAGATTCCTAAGCTGTTTGTTTCAGTAGATCAGGTGTAAGATCTTGTTTCACAGATTAGTTTTAACACTACTTGCATTGTCTTAATTCAACAAAAACTCATTAAACTACAGAAAATCTCCATGAAGGTGTGTCTGGGAGATCAACGATACAGACTGTTTTAACTAGAAATACTGGGGGGAAAAAAACCCAAAGAGCCATAGCCAGGACTCAAAGATCAGAAAAAATGACCTACTGGTTCAGAAACTCAGTACCAAAACCTTCAATCACATTTTGCATGTAAACAGGAAACAGAGAGAAATAAAGGTGAAAGTCGTCCCACCTGTAAATGAGTTTTACGTAGGAGTAACCCTCCACCAACACAAAGCTGCTGCAGTCCTTCAGCAGGGATGTCAGAGCGGAGTGGGAGATGCGACACTGAATGGTGCTGTAACGGCCATTATTTCCAGCTGTGTGCAGATGTTTGGGGATAGGTCTGCAGAGATGAGACCACATCATGAGTAAGTAGAGTAAACAAGTCTGCTTGATGGATACAAACAGAATTTTAAACACTATAACCAACAGAGAATAAAGTTGGTTTTAACATGCACTTTTTATCTTAGATTTGACCAAAACAACTGGAGCTCCATAATTTTTCAACACTAGAAGGGCTCCCTTTAAACTCTGGATAAAACAAGGTGGTTTGCATGCCTTCACGGAATGATGTGACTTTTTCATTTCCTCTGCCACCGTTGGACCTAATCACAGTATGGCTGATGCACACCTCAAACAAACATGAGGGACTCACAAATCATGCTCCAAGATGATAGTGATGCGATGCATGTGTAGCCATCGCTGCCAGAAGTTGGTATCCATGGAGAGGATGGGCTTCCAGTACAAAGCAAACTGGGACTGAGAGGAATCCTTGGACCCACTGTGCTGCAGAGACAGAACCTAAAACAGAACCAGATCATTCTGTTAGAGAGGAAAGGCTGAGTGGGTCCAGCTGAAACAGGTGAGGCAGAGTGGTATTGACCTGCCTCACACCAGGACCAGGTTTTAGAAAAGACTGGCTTTTAATAAACTCTAGCTCCACAGGTTCTACTAAATGCAACTGTGTGTGTGTGTGTGTGTGTGTGTGTGTGTGTGTGTGTGTGTGTGTGTGTGTGTGTGTGTGTGTGTGTGTGTGTGTGTGTGTGTGTGTGTGTGTGTGTGTGTGTGTGTGTGTGTGTGTGTGTACTTGTCTTTATGGGTTTGTGTGGACCAACCCCTGACGGGAGACCAACATTGTGTGGACATTCACCATTGTGTGGACATTTACCCGGTCCACACAACCAAAATCCTAGAGGAAGCTTCCTTTGTCCCACCTAGAGTTAAACATAATTTCTGCACCATTCTGGCTATAGTGGAAGTCAGGGTCCACACAAACAACTCAGAAAACGTAGTACACACAAACCCATAAAAACGTGTGTGTGTGTGTGTGTGTGTGTGTGTGTGTGTGTGTGTGTGTGTGTGTGTGTGTGTGTGTGTGTGTGTTTGTTGGGGGGGGGTCTATGTACACGTGTCTTAAATCCGTCATCCGTCATGCTACCATTTCATCGGCTGTTGCCAGCCTCCCCATCTTACACCAGGTCCAAAGTCTGCTGACAGTTGTGCACATTTTCCCATCAAGTTTTTCTTTATAAATCACAGAGACTGTGTAGAAGAAGACTTACGCAATTTACTGACCCCATTTTGTGAATAAGCAAGCTTTCAAAATGAGGCCCTTGCTGTGTATTGTAGCAAGGAAACAACTAAAACGTGCTGGATAGTGGTCCTCTTCCTGTAAACTATCTCACAGCATGTTTTCGGGTACAGTGATCCCTCGTTTATCGCGGTAGATGCGTTCCAGACCTGGCCGCGATAGGTGAAAATCCGCAAAGTAGGGACACCATATTTACAGTACAGCACATTCTCTTTTTGTGGGTAAAACTCAAGAAAGAAATGTTTTACTTGGTTTTTTTATAGTTTTATTACAAAAAGTGCATTTTATGATGAAACTGATGAAAAAAAATCAGGAATTTCTTGATATTTCGCATAGAAAAACGCCGCGAATCAGTGAAAAATACCGCGAATCTGCGGATTTCCCTTGAATAAGGCTCCAAAGAAAAAATCCGCGAAGTCATGAATCCGCGGTAAAAGAACCGCGAAGTAGCGAGGGATCACTATATTACCACATCCGTTTGCTCAGACCTTCATGTTTCTGATGTGTGATGTTTACAACTTGCATGTGAACATTCATAGAACCACGGGATGTGGTTATGATAAATGACCCGCAGTTGTGTAGCACCTTTCAGAGTCAGAGGACTCCAAAGCACTTTACCCTACAGTGTATCATTCATCCATTCATCCACACACTGGTTCTGATTGAAGACGCAACCGTACCGGGGTGGTTGAGCCTGGAGGTATGTAGAACAGGGGCACTCCATTTTTGGTGCTTTCTGGAATCATGTAGTTCTCAGGAATAGAGTTAAAGGACTGCAGATGTACCAACATCTGATCGGTCTGGTTGATGCTGGAAAACAACGTACAGCACATGTAAATGCGTTACAGCCCAGCAGGCATGGAAGATGAACTGTTGTCTCTGGAGAACCAGAGAAGACCCGGTACCTCTGAAGTGTGTTCCAGAAGCGGCGGATGACAGAGGTTCGGTATGGACTGGTGATGGGCTTCCTTTGGGTGCAGCTGATATCGTGCAGGATGTCGTAGCTGCCCTCCATCGTCACCTCTACCCTGGTGGTTCTGTTAGAGGCACCCAGAGGCCAGGAGGCGGCTGCTAGGTACTCTATATGCATGTTATGTTTCCACAACAGAACCAACTTTACCTCCAGCTGGGTCCCACCTAAGAAAAGCAATGGGCCAGTTACCACTCTGTTCCATTAGGTTTCACTCAGGTCCAGGTCAGTGGTTTTACCTTTGGTGAGGCTGATGTCCCTGATGGTGTAGCCCTCTCTGAGGCGAACTGACACCACGCTGATCAGATGAGCATGAACCTCTTTTTCTGTGTGCTTCTTCCTCCTCATGACCAGGGCGGGATTGCCGCTGGCCGACACCAGGTGCTCATTGAACAGTTTGTCCTGAGAAACTACAAAACTATCAAGTGTTTACTACGATTCACCAGAGCCGTTACAGACGTACATTTTTATTCCTCCAAATATTGTCAGAGTACTAGCTCAGAAAACCAAAACCATCAGTGCTGGTAAATCACTGGCAAGAACTTTTAAGTTTTAGTATGTTGTCCACTAGGGATGTGTATTCGTGAAATTCTGGTGATTCGATACGTATCATGATACGGGGAGACGATACGATATATCACGATATATTGCGATACATTCAGCTATATTAACAATTTTTTAGACTGAATTTATTGTACAAAAATTCAACACACAGTCGAAACTGATACTTAACATGTTTAACATGAGGATCTGAACCATGACAGAGGGATTTACATGTCAGTGGTGGAAACAAAACCCATTGCACACTGCTGCCAACTAATGTTCGGCTTTGAATTGCACCAAAAGAAAAGAAAATATACAAATGTTTGAATGCAAATTCTTCCAAAAATTCGATTCATAGCTTTTAAATATTGATATAATATTGCGTGAAAAAATATCACTATATATTGTCATATCGATATTTTCTTACATCCCTATTGTCCACCAGTCGGAAGATCTTGAGCAGGTTTAATGAGACTCAACTCTCCAGTAGCGCCACCACTTGCATCAGTACCATTCAGACAGAAACAATTGAATAGGAAGAATGAGATGAGAATATGAAAAGTTGACTCACCACAGAAGTACTCAGAGTTCAGAGACTCAGGGGTCTTCAGGAAGGAGTAGGTTAAAAATGCCTTGTGGTAAGAATTAATCTCCTGACTGTTCTGGTCCACGTCTGGACAACTGGACAAGTAGGAACCAAAGGTGGCTAATGATATGAACTTCATCAGCTCCACATTTGGGATGTAGCCAAAGCTGCAGTCGTACGAGTACGCCCCACCAACCTGGAATGAGACAGCAAGCGTTCTGAATCAGGAGGACTGAAGTCCAAGAAGATCTAGGACCAGATGTGGGGCAGAGCGTTTGGTTCTCGGTCCTGGTGGTTTAGCTGGTCCAGCTTCCTGTTTGAGTACAGGACTCTCACAAATGTGAAACTAACAAACCTGGGTTGATATTTTAATAGATTTCAACTGTTTTGTTTTATTTGTTGATATATTTATCATTAAACACACAGAGGGGCATAAAAAGTGTTTAGTCAAAATGATTAGAGTGGTGAGCAGAAATCCAAGAGCTACATGGGGGGCCTAGTGAATGACCTGCAGAGAGCTGGGACCAAAGTAACAAAGGGTACCATCAGTAACACATTCGCCACCAGAGACTCAAATCCTGCAGTGCCAGACGTGCCCCCCTGCTTAAGCCAGTGCATGTGCAGGCCCATCTGAAGTTTGCTACAGAGCATATGGATGATCCAGAAGAGGACTAGGACAATGTCATATGGTCAGATGAAACCAAAATAGAACTTTTTAGTAAAAACTCTACTCAAGTCTGAAGGATAAAGAATGCCGAGTTGCATATAAAGAACAACATACCAACTGTAAAGCACGGGGGAGGAAACATCATGACTTGGGGCTGTTTTTTCTGCTAAGGGACCAGGACGACTGATCCGTGTAAAGGGAAGAATGAATGGGGCCATGGATTCTCAGACTTAGAGTGAAAACCTCCTTCCACCAGCAAGGACATTGAGAATGAAACATGGCTGGGTCTTTCAGCATGACCATGATCCCAAACACACCGCCCAGGTAACCTTTTCAGTGGCCTAGTGGTATGAATGCCCACCCTGAGACTGGGAGATCATGGGCTCAAATCCACAGTCGGGTCATACCAAAGACTTTAAAAAAAGTAGCCAATGTCTCCTTGCTTGACACATTAAGGGACTGGATTGGGGGACAAATTACCAAATAGTTCCCGACCACGGACATGTCCGCGTGGGGATGGATTCAATGCAGAGATGTAATTTTACCAGTGTGTGATGACTAATGAGACTTTATAGCCTGGCAAGTCAGACTAAATAAATATGTTATTTAACTTTGCACTCCTCCTTGAACCGTCACCTTATCGTGGTGGAGGAGTTTGAGTGCCCTAATGATCCTAGGAGCTATGTTGTCTGGGGCACTTAGTGCCCCTGGTAGGGTCTCCCATGACAAATTGGTCTTAGGTGAAGGGTGAGACAAAGAACGGTTCGAAGGATCTTTCATGGCGGTGAAAACGAAGAGTCGGAGTACCCGGCCCGGAGGGTTACCGGGGTCCCACCCTGGAGCCAGGCCTGGGGTTGGGGCCCGTGAGCGAGCGCCTGGTGGCCGGGCTTTCGCCCATGGGGCCCGGCCGGGCCCAGCCCGAACCGGATACATGGGCTCGTCCAACTGTGGACCCACCACCCGCAGGAGGAACATGAAGGGTCCGGTGCAATGTGAATCGGGTGGCAGACCAAGGCGGGAGCCTTGGCGGTCCAATCCCCGGACAAGAAAACTAGTTTTTGGGACATGGAACGTCACCTCGCTGGCGGGGAAGGAGCCGGAGCTTGTGGCAGAGGTTGAGCGGTACCGGCTAGATATAGTCGGACTCACCTCGACACATTGCATTGGCTCTGGAACCCGAGACCTGGAGAGGGGTTGGACACTCTACTTTGCTGGAGTTGCTCCGGGTGAGAGGCGGAGGGCTGGGGTTGGCTTTTTGTTAGCCCCGAGACTCTCTGCCTGTGTGTTGGGGTTTACCCCGGGGGACAAGAGGGTAGCTTCCTTGTGCCTTCGGGTCGGGGAACGGGTCCTGACTGTTGTTTGTGCTTATGGGCCAAATATCAGTTCAGAGTACCCACCCTTTTTGGAGTCCCTGGGACGAGTGCTAGATAGTGCTCCATCAGGGGACTCCATTGTCCTGCTGGGGGACTTCAATGCTCACGTGGGCAATGACAGCTTGACCTGGAGGGGTGTGATTGGGAGGAACGGCCCACCTGATCAGAACTCGAGCGGTGTTTTGTTATTGGACTTCTGTGCAAGCCGCAGTTTGGCCATAACGAACACCATGTTCGAACATAAGGATGCCCACCGGTACACTTGGTACCAGGGCAGCCTAGGTCACAGGTCGATGATAGATTTTGTAGTCGTATCATCTGACCTGCGGCCGTATGTTTTGGACACCCGAGTGAAGAGAGGGGCGGAGCTGTCAACTGATCACCACCTGGTGGTGAGTTGGATCAGATGGCAAGGGAACATGCCGCGTAGACCTGGCAGACCCAAACGCATAGTGAGGGTCTGCTGGGAACGCCTGGCAGAAGAACCTGTCAAGACGGTCTTCAACTCCCACCTCCGGCAGAGCTTTGACCACGTCCCGAGAGCAGTGGGGGACATTGAGTCCGAGTGGGCCTTGTTCCACTCTGCGATTGTCGAGGCGGCTGTTGCTAGCTGTGGTCGTAAGGTGGCCGGTGCCAGTCGTGGTGGCAACCCCCGTACCCGCTGGTGGACACCAGAGGTTCGGGGAGCCGTCAGGCTGAAGAAGGAGGCCTACAGGGCGTGGCTGGTCTGTGGGTCTCCGGAGGCAGCAGACAGGTACCGGATAGCCAAGCGGGGTGCAGCAGTGGCAGTTGCCGAGGCAAAATCTCGGGCGTGGGAGGAGTTTGGTGAGGCCATGGAGAAAGACTAGCGATCGGCTCCAAAGAGGTTCTGGCAAACCGTCCGGCGCCTCAGGAGAGGAAGGCAGCAACTCGCTCACACTGTTTACAGTGGGGAGGGGGAGCTGCTGACGTCAACTGAGGCTATAGTCGGACGGTGGAAGGAATACTTTGAGGAGCTCCTCAATCCCACCAATGCGCATTCCGAGGAGGAACCAGAGCTGGGAGGCCTGGGGATGGACTGTCCGATCTCGGGGGCAGAAGTTGCTGAGGTAGTCAAACAACTACACAGCGGCGGAGCCCCGGGGGCGGATGAGGTTCGTCCTGGGTATCTCAAGGCTATGGATGTTGTAGGGCTGTCATGGTTGACACGTCTCTACAACATTGCGTGGTCATCGGGGGCAGTTCCTAGGGAGTGGCAGACCGGGGTGGTGGTCCCCATCTTTAAGAAGGGTGACCTGAGGGTGTGTTCCAACTATAGGGGGATCACACTCCTCAGCCTCCCTGGAAAGGTCTACGCCAAGGTACTGGAGAGGAGGGTCCGATCGATAGTTGAATCTCAGATAGAGGAGGAGCAATGTGGTTTTCGTCCTGGCCGTGGAACTGTGGACCAGCTCTATACCCTTGCAAGGGTGATGGAGGGGGCATGGGAGTTTGCCCAACCAATCCACATATGCTTTGTGGATTTGGAGAAGGCTTATGACCGTGTCCCCAGGGGCACCCTGTGGGGGACGCTCCAGGAGTATGGGGTGGGTGGCTTTCTGTTGAGGGCCATTCAGTCCCTTTACCAGAGGAGCGTGAGTTTGGTCCGCATAGCCGGTAGTAAGTCGGACCTGTTCCCAGTGAGGGTTGGACTCCGCCAGGGCTGCCCTTTGTCACCGGTTCTGTTCATCACTTTTATGGACAGAATTTCTAGACGCAGCCGTGGTGTGGAGTGTGTCGAGTTTGGTGGCAGGAGAATCTCGTCTCTGCTTTTTGCGGATGATGTGGTCCTCCTAGCTTCATCCAGCTCTGACCTTCAGCTCTTGCTGGGTAGGTTCGCGGCCGAATGTGAAGCGGCTGGGATGAGGATCAGCACCTCCAAATCTGAGACCATGGTTCTCGACCGGAAAAGGGTGGCTTGCCACCTCCGGGTCGGGGGAGAGGTCCTACCTCAAGTGGAGGAGTTTAAGTATCTCGGGGTCTTGTTCACGAGTGAGGGTAGGAGGGATCGGGAGATCGACAGGCGGATTGGTTCGGCGTCTGCAGTGATGCGGACGCTGAGCCGATCTGTCGTGGGGAAGAGGGAGCTGAGCCAGAAAGCCAGGCTCTCGATTTACCGGTCGATCTACGTCCCAATCCTCACCTATGGTCATGAGCTTTGGGTAATGACCGAAAGAACGAGATCGCGGATACAAGCGGCCGAAATGAGTTTCCTCCGTAGGGTGGCCGGGCTCAGCCTTAGAGATAGGGTGAGGAGCTCGGACATTCGGGAGGGACTCGGAGTAGAACCGCTGCTCCTCCGGATCGAAAGGAGCCAGTTGAGGTGGTTTGGGCATCTGGTCAGGATGCCTCCTGGACGCCTCCCCGGGGAGGTGTTTCGGGCATGTCCTGCCGGCAGAAGGCCCCCGGGTCGACCCAGGACACGTTGGAGAAGTTACATCTCCAATCTGGTCCGGGAACGCCTTGGGGTCCTGCCGGAGGAGCTGGTGGACAAGGCCGGGGAGAGGACGGCCTGGAGCTCCCTAGTTGGGATGCTGCCCCCGCGACCCGGACCCGGATAAGCGGAGGAAGACGACGACGACAACTTTGCAAAGCAAGAATTTGGTCTAGTTCACTAGGCTAGGGACTTTAACTTTACCAAAGGAGTGGCTTCATACGAAGCATTTCAATATCCTGGAGTGGCCTAGCCCGTCTCCAGTTCTCAACCCTATAAAAAAAATCTTTGAAGGGAGTTAAAAGTCTGCGTTGTCCAACGACAGCCCAAAAACATCACCGGTCTAGAGGAGAACTTCATGGAGGAATGGGCCAAAATATCAGCAGCAATGTGTGAAAGTCTTGTGAAGACTTACAGAAAATGTTTGACCTCTGTCATTGCCAACAAAGGGTATATAACAAAGTACTGAGATGGACTTTTGTTATTTGACCAAATACTTATTTTACCCCATAATATGCAAATGTGATTTTCTGGAGTTTTCCCCCCTAATTTGATCTCTAATAGTTGAGATGAACATTACAGGCCTCATCTCAAGTGGAAGAACTTGCACAGTTGGAGGCTGACTAAATACTTTTTTGCCCCGCTGTATTTATCCCTGCTATTATGTATTTATGTCATGTACATTTACACTATTAACAGAGGATCTGGGAAAACACTGAGTTTGGGTTTTATTTGTAAAAAAACTGAGCTGAGTTCTAACCCCTGACCTTACATAACATGAACACTGAACAGGAAATGTTACCATGGTTACCTGCACAAAGGAACATGCAATAGTTCCACTCCTGAGCTGGTTCAGCAGCGTTTCACACACGGCCACATCAGGAACACTCGTCACACCGTCTGTGATGATAATGATGCCTAAAACAAACACAGGTTCAGGGGTCAACTCTGTCCAACCAGGGACAGCCAGCCCAACGTCTTCATCAGAGGCTGGCTGTCGCCCTGCTTGCTGCAGGATCAGCCGGGGGACACCGGCCGCCAAAGCGCCGGGAAGCGAAGCGCTCACGAAATTCGGCGGCTGCTCGCTGCTCCTCAGTTCAGACCAGACGCTTGTTTCTCCGCTCTGGTCGAGGCGCGCCTCGTAGTTTTTCTTTTAACCACTTGGTGTCCTCCATTTCCTCTCTGCCTTTTCTCTGCTCTTTTCCTCTACACCCCCCTCCCCCTTGCTGTTTGTGTGCGTTTGTCCGCATGTGTGTGAACCTATGGTGTGAACCAGTTCTTAATAGCTGGCCTACGACTTTCTGCCTCTCTGTCCTGTTTGCTCCGGTTGAAAGACACCCAAAACCACACCCCCTTCACACACACACACACACACACACACACACACGTTCGCTGTGTGTGTGTGTGTGGTTTTTCTGCAGTGTCTGATTACGAACATATTTGACTATCGCGGAATTGTATTTTGAAATGCTTTATTTTGTTAAATTTACCGGCCTGCCTCTTATGTCTAGGTTTGACTTCCTGCTAGAACTGACGCAGTCCACCCGCGGCTCGCGAAAAAAATAGAGCAGACGCCGAAACGATCGCTGCACGGCGCGGGCTGGAGCGCCGAATGAAGGCGGCCCCAATTTCGCGGCGCTTCTGCGGCCGGTGTGTCCCCGGCGTTAAGAGTTTGTTAGACACTGAGAGTTCAAACAAGAATAGCTGGTTTTTGCAGCACAGGGGATGCTTGTTATGAAGATGTTTAGAAGAATTCTCATTTCCAAAGGAGACAAATAGCATTGGTTTGGAGACTTAAGGAGAGCTCACCTGCGCTGGAATTTGGGGGCAGCAGCTGTAAGGCCAGAATTCCCTGTCGTACCATGCTGACCAGACCCATATCTGGGGTCACCACGGACATGCTCTGCTTCCTTAGAGTCTGGCCTTCCAAGTTCTCTCTCTGCTGCGCTGGTTCTGGGGACTACGAACACAGAAATGCATCTCAGAGACATCCCAGTGCACAATACCTCAAAATAATCAGCAGTGTGTGGGGAATTCACACTCATTAGGTCTGCAATGAAAACCAGCTGTTGACTTGCATTGCTTGGCTCTTTTAGAACACAGAAATCCTGAGCTTTCATTGTGTTTTAAAAGAATAAAGCAATGCAAGTTGACAAAATACACAGAATGAACGTACAGACAATGTTGAACTATTAAGCTGCAGAGATGAACTCACCTCATGAGGACTGACCTGGTCCTGTTGCTGGTGAAGGACTTCTGCAGTGCTGCTCTCCAGCGCTCTGAGCTGCTGGTAGATCTGATTCAGGAACTCGTTGAGGTCGATTCTATCAAGCTGACATCCTTGCACTAAAACCTGCCCAGAATAATCATCAAACACTAAATCAGTATAAAAGAAACATTGTGCAGGTGTGCCGAAACGGGCTTCAGAAGAACGTCATCACCGCCTGAGTGAAAGGTGGACATGCTGTTAGCTCTATTTGCTGGAAGACCACTGGATAACTGAGTTCCATAGATGTTCTCTAAGGTTGGTTCCTTTGGGCTGCAGCAGTTCACATGTGAACACGCTCATGTTTAATCAGGAAGGACTTCTACACTCGGCTCGGGGTGAAGAACATAATGCAGAATGGCATGTGACCTGATGTGAGGTGAGGCCGATAATGGACGAATACACCAAGATGGTGATGAAGATCTTGGGTTTGAAGAGCTGATCTGTTCCAGGGACTCTGAAGGGTTGAGCCAGACCAGCCAGACATCGGGACAGCGCATGAAACACCTCATCAAAGATCATCTCTCCTGTGCTGTCGTCCTGCGGGACAGAAAACATCCAGCCATAGAAATCCCCACACAAACACCCTTTATCAGAGTTTATAATAAACTTATGACGACATGTGATCTGTTGGTTTGCACTGTGTGTGTGCACGGGGAGGGGGGGACTCTCAGCCCCAAATTCAGCGTGCTCCAACTGTGATTCTTATACCGCAACATGGCAGAACCTAACTTTTCTGTAAGAGTAGAAGCCAGAGCCACCTGGTCGGTCTTCATCTGGTCTATGGCAGTGGTTCCCAACCTTTTTCCCAAGGGACCCCGTTTTTTACCAGTAAAATTTTTGACGATCCCCTCCCATTCTCTCTTCCAGTACAAACATTATTAAGAAATGATAAAATTGTTCAAGCACATTTTAATATGCTTTGATTCAATAGATAACAGTAATAGTAGGCTCCAGTACAGAACAAAGTTATTAACAAAACCAAACAGAGCATAATGTGCTTGACAGTTTGTTTTACTTTTCTGAACACATTGTTTCTTGTAAACACTGATAATTCAATCATTCCTTTCAATAAACGTTTGACACATAAAAAATACACTGAGCAAAATGTACTTAAATGTGTATATTACTGTTTATACTAGATTATTTACTGTAAAGGCTGTGATTAATCAACCAGTCTTATCTTTAATGAACTTTTGACACTTGAAAATAAAACAGCGAGCTGAGCAAAATGTTCTTAAAAGTGTGTTACTCTTTCTGTACTAATTATTTCCTGTCTTAATATCAGTAAACTTTTCACTCATGAAAAAAATGTGAGCAAAATGTAGGCTATAAACAAGTAATAATTTAAGTTTTAACCCCTTAAAGTGGAGAGGTCCTGGCGACCCACTGAGAGGCTTTGGCGCCCCCTTGTGGGGGTCGGGACCCCCAGGTTAGGAACCGCTGGTCTATGGTCTTACCACAATTCCTGTGGAGGGGCTGAGGTCCAGCTCGATGATGAAGCGGTACCTGCGAGCCAGAAAGGTAGCCCGGGTAGATGGCATTAGAACACACGGGTGTGTGCTGGGGGGGCTCTCTGGCTGCCATCCTTTAGGTAAGGCACTCAGCAGATCCAGCTCGTTTCCCGAGCTCAGCTGGAGGAGAGGCGTAAAAGGCAGCATCGTGAAACATGGTCAGCATTTACCGAGTCTCAACTTGTTAATACCAGTTATTTATTGTTTTTATTCTGTTGAACAACATTGCAGAAAAGGACAATTTTACTGTGCTTCAAGCTCGTTCAATTGATTTATAAGAAATCACACATTTCCCACACTGCTGGTGACGGTAGCCAACATGAAACCATCTCAGTGGCCTAGTGGTAAGAGCGTCTGCCCTGGGACTGGGAGATCGAGGTTCAAATCCCTGTCGGGTCATATCAAAGACTTTAAAAGTGGGACCCAATGCCTCCCTGCTTGACACTCAGCTTTAAGGGCTTGGATTGAGGGTTTAACCACCAAATAGTCCCAGAGCGCACAGCTGCAGCTCACCTCTCCCCATGGAGTGGGTCAAATGAGGAGATGTCATATTTTAACAATGTACCGTTCGATATATTTTGTGATTATTTCTTTTATTTCTTGTGTAAACTTGTGTGTCTTGTATTGGAGTCATGATGGAACCTGTTTACGTATTTTTTAAGCGGATTCAGTGTAACTGGGCGGGTGGGGATGGGGCTGTGGTTTGGTTGTTTTGTCTGGTGAAAATTGTAAATGTTCAAAAAAAGTGTATGCCTTCAATCTGAAAAAAAAGAAAAAGAAAAACAAAGGAAGAACATTTCCCAAAACAAAAGTTGCTACTTAGCACTGCCACAGCCAAAGGCCCGCGTGGTGAGTGGTGTTTTCTAGAAGTATCATCAGTTAGGATGTTTTCAAGCAGAGTTTAAAACTTTAAGCGTTTCACAAAACAAAACAGACATTGCAGATGGGAGTTAAACCCAAATAACCATTTTAGCGGTACTGTTAACTCACTATGGATGTGTAATGGTGACACGAGGTATCTGAACCATAACAGAGGGATTTACAGTTCAGTGTTGAAAAAAAAAACCATCGAACACTGCTGCCAACTAGCAGCCGTGTTAAAATTGCACCAAAAGAAAAGAAAATCCACAAATGTTTGCATGTAAAATCTTCCAAAAATTAGATACACGACTTTTGATTATAGATGTAATATCACATGAAAAAATGTTCACGATATATTACCACATCGATATTTTCTTACATCCCTATAACTCACCACTTCAGGCATCGAGGCTGGCCAGATCACATGGTTGAGTTTACCGAGGAACCACGCCAGGCGCACATTTCTAGAGATCCGGTAGTCCTCCTTCATGAGCAGGTAGATCTGGTCCGCCTCCTCTACCTTAGAGTAAAAACAGAGCAGGAAATACTTCTGCTGTAAACAAATGTGATATTATATTACCCCACCCCTCTCCCTCTGGTGGTACACAGAGGAATTTCTAATGCTATACAAGCTAAAAGGATGAGATAACTCAAACAATCTGTGTCTTGTTTATTTTGACTCATGCTAATCCAAAGGGATTCGAATGAAGGCAACTGGACTTCTTTTGACCCCCTACGATGACCTGGATTACTGAGAGCCTTCACCAGCATTTGATCCATGATCATAATAAGACTTTACCACACTAGCATAGGGAGAACAGGCTAACCCCATGCAGACAGGATTCTAACCAGCAATGATCTTGCTGCAAGGCAGCGCTGCAATAAAACTGGATCTTTATGTGAAATCAGCCACACATGAGGAACAAGTAGGTTCTACGTTTAAGAACCCTTGATTTATTAGGTTTTGTTAAAGTTAAGTGAAATTAAACTGCCTTAGTAACATGTTAACTCTACACAGCGAGCTACACAAAAGATTAGGTTTGAGGATTCAGCGGCAGCTTTGCCTCTGTCAGTGTGCACACCCTGGACTGTTTATTTTCTAAAATTCTTATTGAAAGTTTGTTTAAGATAAGAAACACAAAACAAAATCAATAAGGTGTCTCATTTGAGCACTAAAAAAATCCAATAAAGATTTCACAATCACAAAACATTCCAACAATTTTGCTTTGAGACTCTAGAACAATCTAGTCCAGGTCTGAAAAGCCTAGAGATGATCCAGATGATTTAGAAATCCATGAAAACCTCAGAATTTAACTGCATTCTAGCTAACTACAGACCTATCTCTAAGAGTCCATTTATCTCAAATATACGTGAAAAGGTTGTGTATACACAGCTCCTTAATTTTACGACTGATAAAGATTTTATGGAAACATTTCAGTCGAGGTTTAGGCCACGGCAAAACACTGTAAGCACTCTTCTGATGGTTCTAAACAGCATCTTTTTACATCGTGATGCGGGCAATGCTGCCGTCCTACTTTTACTGAATCTGCCACAATCGATCACAAAATCTTATTGGATCAGTTGCAGCACTGGGTTGAGATTACAAGCTTGGCCATCCAGTGGATGCAATCACACCTTCATAATACAAGCTTGTGTTTGGACGGGGGAAACCCTGAATGCCTGGGAGAACCTTAAATGGGGGGCTCATCGTTGGCCTTGCTCACTTCTGGTGCCAGCCCCTAGCGGATGAGAGTGGAACTGCAACTTTTGTCACCTCAGTTGGATTCACAGCTTTCAAAAAAAAAATTACTACCCCTTAGATTAGAAAGCTCGTCATTCTTGACTTCTAATTTACAACACATGCAAACATATAAAACACATCCTTGTGTGTGTGTGTGTGTGTGTGTGTGTGTGTGTGTGTGTGTGTGTGTGTGTGTGTGTGTGTGTGTGTGTGTGTGTGTGTGTGTGTATATATATATATATATATACACACACACACACACACACACACACACACACACACACACACACACACACAAGGATATGTTGATGTACGCTCAACAAAAATATAAATGCAACACCTTTGTTTCTGCTCCGATTTTTCATGAGATGGACTCAAAGATCTAAAATTCATTCCAGATACACAATATTACAATTTCTCTCAAACATTGTTCACAAATCAGTCTAAATGTGTGATAATGAGCACCTGTGCTTTGCTGAGATAATCCATCCCACCTCACAGGTGTGCCACATCAAGATCCTGATCTGACATCATGAGTAGTGCACAGGTGTACCTTATACTGCCCACAATAAAAGGCCACCCTGAAATGTGCAGTTTTTTGCTTTATTGGGGGTCTGAGAACTCAGAACCGGTCAGAATCTGGTGTGACCACCATTTGCCTCATGCAGTGCAACACATCTTCTTCGCATAGAGTTTATCAGATTGTCAATTGTGGTCTGTGGAATGTTGGTCCACTCCTCTTCAATGGCTGCGTGAAGTTGTTGGATATTAGTGGGAACTGGTACACGCTGTCATATACGCCGGTCAAGCACATCCCAAACATGCTCAACAGGTGACATGTCCGGTGAGTATGCTGGCTATGCAAGAACTGGGACATTTTCAGCTACCAAGAATTGTGTACAGATCCTTGCAACATGGGGCCGTGCATTATCTTGCTGAAACATGAGGTGATGTTAATGGATGTACGGCACAACAATGGGCCTCAGGATCTCATCACGGTATCTCTGTGCATTCAAAATGCCATCAATAAAATGCACCTGTGTTCTTCATCCATAACAGATGCCTGCCCATACCATAACCCCACCACCACCATGGGCCACTCGATCCACAACATTGACATCAGCAAAGCGCTCACCCACACGACGTCACACACTCTGTCTGCCATCTGCCCTGAACAATGTAAACCGAGATTCATCCGTGAAGAGAACACCTCTCCAACGTGCCAGACGCCATCGAATGCGAGCATTTTCCCACTCAAGTCTGTTACGGCGACGAGCTGGAGTCAGGTCAAGACCCCGATGAGGATGACGAGCATGCAGTTGAGCTTCCTTGAGACAGTTCCTGACAGTTTGTGCAGAAATTGCTTGGTTATGCAAACCAATTGTTTCAGCAGCTGTCTGAGTGGCTGGTCTCAGACGATCTTGGAGGTGAACCTGCTGGATGTGGAGGTCCTGGGCTGGTGTGGTTACATGTCATCTGCGGTTGTGAGGCCGGTTGGATGTACTGCCGCCTTTGGAGACAGCTTATGGTGGAGAAATGAACATTCAATGCACGAACAACCGATCTGGTTGACATTCCTGCTGTCAGCATGCCAATTGCACGCTCCCTCAGTGCTTGTGGCATCTGTGACATTTTGCTGTGAGACAAAACTGCACATTCCAGGGTGGCCTTTTATTGTGGGCAGTATAAGGTACACCTGTGCACTACTCATGATGTGTGATTAGCATCTTGATGTGGCACACCGGTGAGGTGGGATGGATTATCTCAGCAAAGCAGAAGTGCTCATTATCACAAATTTAGACTGATTTGTGAACAATGTTTGAGAGAAATGGTAATATTGTGTATCTGGAATGAATTTTAGATCTTTAAGTCCATCTCATGAAAAATCGGAGCAGAAACAAAGGTGTTGAGTTTATATTTTTGTTGTGTGTGTGTGTGTGTGTGTGTGTGTTTACACAGATGTATGTACTGTATGTGTGCTTGTGTGTACAAATATAAAATTGGCATGTACCTAGGCATATGTTCACGTGTAAATGTATCTTCCTATTTAGAATATAGCACTACATTGTGGAACAGTACTGGAAAACTTTTATTTAAAACATTTTTCATAAGAAAAAGTGCTATACAGTTAAAGGAAGAACAATAAAGTCATGTATAGCTAAATTTATGATAAAAATGTGTATAAGAATATGTTTACAGAAAATTGCACTAAGGGCTAGATAACCACCACCATCTCTTGTTCAGCTAAGAGTTGGTGCTAGGTTCGGCACCGGTTCAGAACCACAAAACTGGTGCTTTGGCTGTTGAAAACCAAGGAACCGTTCAGGCGCTGGCACAGAACCAACTCTGGAACCAGCTTGGTTGAAAAACCTCACCAGTGTCCCACTGAGCTGCAGTTGGTGCTAAATGCTCCAGAAAGTATGTGACCCTCCAGCACGGGGTTCACATTAAACCGGAGTTGTTCATTTCTGCATAGAACATGGTGAAAAAGTAATTTCCTGTTTTATCTAGTCATGAATGTTACCTCATTTTCCAGTCTGTCTGCCATAGCCTCGGCATGGAGTCGGCGGGGGGTCAGCTGGTCTACGGACGGAGCTGATTATTTTCTTTAATTTGAGTTTTTTAAAAAAACACCCTTTTTAACACTTGTTTACAATCTGCTCGCACGGTGTATCACCATGATCCGCTCCTCTGAGTTTCCGGTAGAACGTTTCAAAATAAAACGACGCCGACTAGAACCGTCTTTTCCTCATTTTCAGAGTAGGACTGTGCATTTTCAAGATATTTCGAATTACTTCGTCAGCAAACTTTGTCAGACATTAACATTTTGAGAAATGTTTTGTAGGTTTACAACAAGGTGTACTGGTACGCTTTTTTCTCACAACCGGTGATTAAAAACTTTAGCTATTTTTGTAGTTATATATATTTTTCTTTTCTTTTTTCTTTTTTACAAAACTCTCAATGTAAGCGTATGAATTGGTGTATGAATGAATGGATGGATGGATGATACACTGTAGTGTAAAGCGCTTTGGCGTCCCCTGACTATGAAAGGCGCGGGTCATTTATCATTTTGGTTGATGTAAGGTTTTATTTGTACTTTATTTTGACACCAAAATTAAGACGTTTCCGGCAACCGTCCCCTTTCATTCCGGAAGTGGTGCCGCCTCCCAATTTAATCCGTTAGAAACGGTTTATAAAATATTGATAAATGTGGTGAAAAGCCCGATGAATGTTTGAGGAACTTCTAAACACAAACATTTTTGCAGTTTTTTCAAGACGGAGAAAGTCTTCAAGCCGCTAGTTTAAGAAACCATTGAAAGAAGAATGTGGAACTGAAACTAAATCAGGAGGGAACAAACAACAGAACCATTATAAATTTGAATTGAATTGAACTGAAGTCAAATCATTTGCTCATTTCAACCCGAAAAATACTAATTTAAGCCATCACCACCAACAACAATGCAACTACAAAATGGGAAATAAAAAGAGACATTTTCTAGATTTCAGCATCATTTTTTGCAGTTAGTTGAAAAGTATACCTTAAGCTCATTTAACATTGATGAATGTAGGCCTAACTGTTTAGTTGTTTCCCATTTTTGAAGATAGTATTTCCTCACTAAAGTGCAACAATATTCACTAAACACTGGTGTCAAAAGACTGAATATTTTCCACGTTGATGCTTATGAAAAACCCGCATTCACAATCTCAGTTAGGATTTTGTGAAAAGGTTCCATATGTGTCACACTCGTCGTCGTCTTCCTCCGCTTATCCGGTTCCGGGTTGAGGGGGCAGCATCCCAGTTAGGGAGCTCCAGACCGTCCTCTCCCCGGCCACCTCCACCAGCTCCTCCGGCAGGACCCCAAGGCGTTCCCGGACCAGATTGGAGATGTAACCTCTCCAACGTGTCCTGGGTCGACCCGGGGGCCTCCTGCCGGCAGGACATGCCCGAAACACCTCCCCAGGGAGGCGTCCAGGAGGCATCCTGACCAGATGCCCAAACCACCCCAACTGACTGCTTTCGATCCGGAGGAGCAGCGGTTCCACTCCGAGTCCCTCTCGAATGTCCAAGCTCCTCACCCTATCTCTAAGGCTGAGCCCGGCCACCCTACGGAGGAAACTCATTTTGGCCGCTTGTATCCGCGATCTCGTTCTTTCGGTCATTACCCAAAGCTCATGACCATAGGTGAGGATTGGAACGTAGATCGACTGGTAAATCGAGAGCCTGGCTTTCTGGCTCAGCTCCCTCTTCACCACGACAGATCGGCTCAGCGTCCGCATGACTGCAGACGCTGAACTAATCCGCCTGTCGATCCCCCGATCCCTTCTACCCTCACTCGTGAACAAGACCCCGAGATACTTAAACTCCTCTTCTTGAGGTAGTACCTCTCTCCCGACCCCGAGAGTTGGCAAGCCACCCTTTTCCGGTCGAGAACCATGGTCTCAGATTTGGAGGTGCTGATCCTCATCCCAGCCGCTTCACACTCGGCTGTGAACCTACCCAGCAAGAGCTGAAGGTCAGAGCTGGATGAAGCTGGAGCACATCATCCGCAAAAAGCAGAGACGAGATTCTCCTGCCACCAAACTCGACACACTCCACACCACGGCTGCGCCTAGAAATTCTGTCCATAAAGGTAATGAACAGAACCGGTGACAAGGGGCAGCCCTGGCGGAGTCCAACCCTCACTGGGAAAAGGTCCGACTTACTACCGGCTATGCGGACCAAACTCACGCTCCTCTGGTAAAGGGACTGAATGGTCCTTAACAGAAAGCCACCCACCCCATACTCCTGGAGCGTCCCCCACAGGGTGCCCCTGGGGACACGGTCATAAGCCTTCTCCAAATCCACAAAACACATGTGGATTGGTTGGGCAAACTCCCACTGTGTCACACTCTAATCAGCTAATGAATGAAGCCTTTAGATGGTCTCTCAGTCTAAATTGGATTATCAGGGCGTTTTCACATCTAGAGAACTGACTTTTTGAAATGATTGGTTTCACGTTGAACTTGTTGCGTTTCAAGATGATTTCAATTGGTTTTTAAATAAAGTTTGATTTAAAAAAATACGTCGCAGTGTGACGACGTCATGTAATGCGCGACGCACAGCTGCTTCCTAGCACACGCTGAAAACGCAGCCTGTATCGCAAATACGTCTTGTACTGTTTAAAGTAATGGAGGGGAAAGGATTGAGCTCTGGTGGGAGAAAGGCAGGAAGAAGCGTGGATCCTGTGAAAGGTTTCGCGAGGTGGAAGAAGAAGTACATGAAGACAAAAACCCGAGTGAAGCAGCACAAAGCGCAGACCAAGAAGCCGGCGTGGTGCGTGGAGCGGGACGACATTAACCGGCTGGTGGACAGGTATGAAAATATCAACATCAAAGACGTTCTCAAGTTCTCGGACTTCCCCATCTCGAAGAAAACCTTGCTGGGTCTGCAAGAGGCTCAGTTCCGACAGCCCACCGAGATTCAGAAGCAGACCATCGGCCTCGCTCTGAGGGGGAGAGACGTCCTCGGTGCGGCCAAGACGGGCTCTGGGAAGACGTTAGCCTTCCTCATCCCAGTGCTGGAGTGTCTGTACCGCAATCAATGGAGCTCCGTGGATGGCCTCGGGGCCCTCATTATATCGCCTACACGGGAGCTGGCCTATCAGACCTTTGAAGTCCTCCGAAAAGTGGGAAAGAACCACGAGTTCTCTGCTGGGCTCGTCATTGGTGGCAAAGACCTCCAGAGCGAATCAGAGAGGATCTCCCGCACCAACATCGTGATCTGCACCCCGGGACGCTTGCTCCAGCACCTGGACCAGACTGCCTCCTTCCATGCCAGTAACCTGCTCATGCTGGTTTTGGACGAGGCAGACCGCATCCTGGACATGGGCTTTGCAGACACACTCAACGCCATAGTGGAGAACCTCCCTAGGACCAGACAGACCCTGCTGTTCTCCGCCACGCAGACAAAGTCTGTGAAAGACTTGGCTCGGCTCAGCCTGAAGGATCCGGAGTACGTCTGGGTTCACGAGAGGTCAAAGTTCAGCACGCCAGCCACGCTGGAGCAGAGCTACATGGTGTGTGAGCTTCACCAGAAGGTCAACATGCTGTTCTCTTTCATCAGAAGCCACCTTAAAAAAAAGGTTATGGTGTTCTTTTCCTGTTGCAAAGAGGTCCAGTACCTGTTCCGGGTCTTCTGTCGCCTCAGACCCGGGACACCCATCTTAGCCCTGCATGGGAAACAGCCCCAGATGAAGCGGGTGGAGGTCTACAATGACTTCCTCAGGAAGCAGAGCGCCGTGCTCTTTGCCACAGACATAGCCGCTAGAGGCCTGGACTTCCCAGCAGTCCACTGGGTTCTGCAGTTTGACTGTCCTGAGGACTCGGACACCTACATCCACAGAGTGGGCCGGACCGCCCGATACAAGGAGGGGGGTCAGGCCCTGCTGCTGCTGCTGCCTTCTGAGGAGACGGCCATGCTGAAACAGCTTCAGAAGAAGAAGGTTCCCATCAGCAAGATCCAGGTCTCTCTCTCTCTCTCACACACACACACACACACACATAGTGTGGAAGCAGTTTACATCTAACAAAGCATCTTTATTTTCTACTGCTTGTATATTGCAGCATATTAATGTGCGGTAAACGCAGATGTATAATGGTGTGTAACATTGTACAGGTGATCCCTCGTTTATCGCGGTAGATGCGTTCCAGACCTGGCCGCGATAGGTGAAATTCCGCGAAGTAGGGACACCATATTTACAGTATTTATTTAACAGGTACGTATGCAGTATTCCGACGTTTAAAACCCTCCCTTTACATAGTACTGTATTTTTACTTGTGTTTTTTATAGTTTTGTTACAAAAAGTGCATTTTATGATGAAATTGATGGAAAAAAATAGGAATTTCTTGATATTTCGCATAGAAAAATACCGCGAATCTGTGAAAAATGCAGCAAATCGGCGAATTTCCCTTGAATAAGGCTCCAAAGAAAAAATCCGAAGTCGTGAATCCGCGATAAACGAACCGCGAAGTAGCGAGGGATCACTGTATTTTATTATATCAGCAGAAAATGCTCCATATTTTCTCGAGAACAACTGAAGAAAAACATTGAGCATGTTTGTTTTGATCTGTCTCAGGTGAACCCAGATAAAGTGCAGAACGTCCAGCAAAAGCTGGAAGCCTTTCTGGCCCAGGAGAAGGAGCAGAAGGAGCGGGCCCAGAGATGTTTCGTTTCCTACCTGCGCTCAGTCTACCTGATGAAGAACAAAGAGGTGTTTGATGTTTTTAAACTCCAGCTACAGGAGTACGCTGTGTCCTTGGGCCTCGCCGTGGCTCCCAGGGTGCGCTTCCTGCTTAAATCCCAGGCTCAAAAGGCAGAGAGAGAAGGCCAAGAAGAAGGGCCGCAGTCTGAGGAAGAAGAGGAGCTTAGGAGCTTTAAGAGTCAGCTGAAGGGGGACACGTCTCAGGAGGACAGTGACAGCTCAGAGGTCGGTGAAGATGAGGTTCAGAGCTCTACAGCACTCTTAGGTGCAAATGACAACAGTGATGATGATGATGATGAGCTGCGTGACTTGGACCTGCTGACAGTCAAAAGAAAGGATGTCTTTAATCTGACTGGAGACCAGCAGAGTGCAGAGGAAGCCTTTGAGGCCTCCAAGAAAAACACAGGGAAGGAAACAAAATACAGTGATGCCAAGAAGGCCCTCAAGAGAAACTTTAAAGTCAACACCAAAGTGACTTTTGGTGATGAAGGACAGGCTGTGCAGTTGTGGCCTCCGGTGCAGAGAGCAGTGACTGATGTAGGCCAGGAGGAAGAGGACGAGGATTCAGGGATTAATGTGGAAAAAGCAAAAGAGAGGCTGAAACGTGAGGACCAGGAGTTTGATAAGCAGGAGTACAGCCGCAAGGTGAAGGCCAAACACCGGGAGCAGAGACTGAAGGCCAGGGCCGCCCGCCAAGAGTCAAAGAAGCATCGAGATGAGTCTGATTCTGAAACGAAGTCCTGGCTTACTTGGCCAATCACAGCGACGACGAGTTCGACCCCGCCACGCTACCAGACCCTGATAAGCTGCTGTCATCTGATCAGGAAGAGGAGGAGCAGATGAAGTCTGCCAAACGACGACACAATCCAGCAGACAGAGAAAGATGGAGAGAAGGAGCTCACATTGAAGAAAAGGAAGAAAGAGAAGGAACTGGAGGGAAGAGCATGCTGCTCTGGATACTGGACTCTCTCTGGCTGAGGATGAGGAGCTGGTGTTGCATTTGCTGGGAGGGCGAAGATGAAGAGTACGTCCACTTCTGAAAAAATGTGTTTGTGTTGTTCCTCAATGGAAAACTTAGACATGAAAAACAGAAGGGGGGGGGGGGGGGCACTTCAACCGACCTGCTAACTCTGCAAAGCACATCGGGATTTGTAGTCTTTTGGCAAATGCACTGGCAGGCCAGTTTAAACGTGTATTTGATCTCAAGGGCCAAATACAAGTTGACCGTAGGCCAGAATATCTCTCTCTCTCTCTCTCTCTCTCGCTCTCTCTCTCTCGCTCTCTCTCTCTCTCTCTCTCTCTCTCTCTCTCTCTCTCTCTCTCTCTCTCTCTCTCTCTCTCTCGCTCTCTCTCTCTCTCTCGCTCTCTCTCTCTCTCTCGCTCTCTCTCTCTCTCTCTCTCTCTCTCTCTCTCTCTCTCTCTCCTCTCTCTCTCTCTCTCTCTTCTCTCCTCCTCTCTCTCTCTCTCTCTCTCTCTCTCTCTCTCTCTTCTCATCTCTCTCTCTCCTCTCTCTCTCTCTCTCTCTCTCTCTCTCTCCTCTCTCTCTCTCTCTCTCTCTCTCTCTCTCTCTCTCTCTCACACACACACACACACACACACACACACACCTGTCAGCTATAAAGCAGCCCTTTTTGCCTGTTTATGCTGGACAGTTCATGTTGACACAATGGGAGAGGTCAAATGTTTTTATAATAAAATGAAAAGACTGGATTTAAATGGCGCTTGTCGGGGTGACACAATCCTAAACTTGGCTTTGAATGAAAGGGAGGTTTTGGGGGTTTTCTGGAGCAAAAATCAGTTAATATTTCAGGGAATACAAAATTCTTTTGTCATATTGTCTTCATTCTTATGCTGGATTTTCCATCTGCTTCATCTCTGTGCTTCTCTGAGCTACTAATGTGTAGATCTTTTACAGGCAGACTCTAAGCTGCTTTTTCCTCTGATTGTGGAACCAGATTAGAGTTAACTGATCCACCATAATCTGTGCTGGGATTAGACTTTCTAATGTCTTTCATTAACTCATAACTCAAGTGTTCTAATCCTTTATTAGTGTTGAACATTTCCTTTAGCCCACCCTATTTCCCCGGGGTGTTATCTGAAAGCGTCTCTGTTCTTTTCTTTGACGCTTGGGCGTCGCTTGTCTGCTTATACATTTGTTCCTCTAACGATTGAGTTTATTAATCAGATGGACTGAAATGAAACATTATCTTTATGTGAATAAAATCATTTATGGTCAAAGACGTTATCAGTTTTCATTTAAAGACATGATCCCACTGGGGGCTCTATCCCGCTCACAGAAACACTGCAGTCCCAAGCAAGTCAAACGTCAGACTTTGTTTCATAACTTCCTGTTCTGAGTGATCAAGGGGATGTAGTTTAGTTCTAAACTGCATTTGTGCACCAACTCTTCAAGTGGGTGACTGATTGAAAAAGTATTCACAGAATCTAATTTTTGTAAAGCAATCTGCAACATGTTAAACAGAATATGAGAAAGATGTAGCACATTTTTATTATTTAAAATTAGTTGTCTGATTTAATAGCTGTTGTGTTGATCTTACACAAGAGCCTGCCTGAACTTTACCATCAACGTTCTGTCCGAAGCCAAATGTAACAGCCCCCTGGTCGCTGCTGCAGAACCGATCCTGCACTGGAGTTTCTGGCTGATAAGTTTATCACTTTCATTCAGATCAATAAACCAGTGGCTTTAGAAAATAACGTATCTGATTATGACATTTAGGACGTAAGTTCTGAGTAATGAACGAACATTTATTTCACTTTAATGAAGAGGTTCACCAGATAACCTAGGTATCTGATGTGCACATCACAGTGAGTTTGGGAGGATTCTGTTCATTTTCTCCTTCTAAAGGTATACTTAACAAAAAAATAACTAAAACATTTATTTTGAAAAACGCTGTAAAAGTGCAACGTAGCATTTTTGGTGTGGAAACATAGATATACAACTTAAATAAAACCAGGGTCACCAAGGCTCTGGAGCTGGAGGAAAAACAGCTGCAGGTCCCACCCAGGTCTTCTTTAGAATCTTCTTAGGTCAAGATGCTTCTTAAAGGAGGTGCAGTTAGTTTGTTTACATAGTTATAATTTATTTTCCTCTTTGAAATTTGAAACATAAATGTTTTTAGTTTTGTTCACTCTTGTCTTACATTGTGTATGTGCCGGTATTCTGACGTTTCTTGTGTATGTTGAGGCTGGTTGCATAATCCCATTGCTGCTCACATCTTGTGGAAAAACATTTTAGAATCTGAGTGCAGTTCCAGATTTGGGCTTCTGCCTGTCTGTGTGTGTGTCCTTGTGAGGGTTTATAGGGCAAAAACCTAATTGTTAAACAGAGTTCTATAGACAGTTTTTTTTAAACTGGTGATTATGTTCATAATTGTTCAATTTACCGGACTCAATTACACAGCAAAATGTATCAACAAATATTTTTTTCTATAAAGATCATTTCAGAAGTATATCAATCAATCAATCAAAGCTTTATTTATAAAGCGCCTTCTGTCAGGGAGCCCAAGGTGCTGTACACAGTACATAAGAAATGTAAATTTCAATGAAAAAGTAGATAATAAAAGCAATTAAAATAGTGCAAAGAGGGTTAGAACACTGAAGTAGAAACAAATAGATAAAACAAGGGATAAAGTGAGCAAAAAAAAAAACAGAAAATAAAATAAACATAAAAGAGGGCTGACCTCAAACATGGTCAGGGAATGCCAAGCGGAAGAAGTGGGTTTTCAGGCGACTCCTAAAAACCGGCAGAGATGGGGATAGCCTAACTGAGGGTGGCAACTGGTTCCAAAGTGACAGAGCCAGGACTGAGAAAGCCCGGTCCCCACGTGTCCAACACCTAGAACGGGGGACAGCGAGCAGGCCTTGGTCAGAAGAGCGTAGAGCGCGTGATGAAGAAGGTCTGTTCAGGTACGTGGCTAGATGGGGGGGGGGGGGGTGCACCGGGGGCACCCTAACCACCCTGGAAGACATTGAAAACAAAAACCAAGAGTTTAAAACAAGAATTATAAAAGACCGGAAGCCAGTGCAGCGAGGCCAGAACCGGACTGATGTGGTCCCATTTCCTGGTCCGAGTCAGAAACCTGGCAGCGGTGCACTACCTGTAGGCGACACAGTGATGACTGACACAGCCTTGCATGTAGAGAGTTGCAGTAATCAAGCCTAGGAATTACAAAAGCATGGAGTACCTGCTCCAGGTGGGCTCTCGACAGCATAGGCTTAATTTTTGAAAGGCGTATCAGATGAAACAAACAGGACAGGATCACAGAGTTGATATGAGCATCAAATTTAAGTCCAGAGTCAATTTTCACCCTCAAACTAGTGACAACTGGTTTTGAGTAGGGAGAAAGAGGGCCGAGGTCAACATAATGACCCACAGCCCTGCTGTTGGGGTGAAAAACAATTAGCTCTGTCTTTCCCTCATTCTAATGCAGATAGTTGGCCATCAGCCAAGACTTCACTTCATTGAGACAGAACACAAAGCACTGGATAGAGAGACCTTTCTCTTGACACAATGGAGAGTAAATCTGGCAATTGCCAGCATAAAGGTGGAACACTAAGCCATGTTTACAAAAGATTGACCCCAGAGGAAGCAGAAAAATGGCAAACAAAAGTGGACCAAGGATCGATCCCTGTGGGACCCCCCAGCGGAGCCCCTCCCTAGAAGATAAGACATCCCCCAATTTAACACAGAATGTCCTATTGTGGAGATATGATCTGTGATATAACATATGATCCATGGCTGATCTAATGGATCACAACTGCAAACCCCTAGAAAACATACATGACCAAACTTTCAGATCCAATTACCACAGGCAAAAAGCACCAGCACACGATCTGATAAACCATCCTTCAGAAAACATTTCAATTTATGTATTATAAAGCACCTTCCTGCCACTAATCAAGGTGCTGTACACAATGCAGAAATTTCTCCCGACCTCACTGCTCAGCGTTCATCCATTCCTTTTTGCCATATTTGGATTTAACCACTGGGAAAACTGTCTCTCTCATTCCCGTGCGCCTGAACGCCTCACGGTGCTAGTACGCTCTTTGAGTTAGCACTGAACTTCTCTGACGGTGTCGAAGGCGTATCCAGTTGAAATCCAGGTAAAAATACTACAGATTTGGTAAATAAACGGCGAAGTCCAAAAAACTAGCAAGAAATGTTCGGGCAATGTATATTTTTAATGTCTTGTTAATTAATAATATGTTTAAGCTGAAACCAACTCCGTGTTGCTAGCTAGTTAGCTATCTGTGTGAACATTTTTTTTTTTTTACTTTACTTTACCAAAGCTTGTAACACAATACATTTAAAATGTTTCGGTAAACTGTACGCAAATAAACCTCTTTAAGATGAAGTGAAAATTTGAAGCTTTGGGTTGGAATCGAAAACTAGCAAAGCTAATGGGTTTTTAACCAAACTGGACATCCGGGTTCAGGGGTTTCCATTAGTTTCTCATCTGAATACAATTATATTTGAGGACAAAAACTGCCAATTTTCACCAACCTGTTTTAACTTATATCAACATTTTGTTTGTCTCAGAAAATATTATGGCCACTAATAAAGTTGCCCCAGGTTCCGATGACTCTTGTGGGGCTGCTAAGAATCAAGACACTTCTATCCAAGTCCGGTTTCTACAGGTTCCACTCAAAGGTGGGCCCATCACCACCCAACACACTGCCCCAAAAGGCGAACGTGTCAGTCCTCCACAGGAAGTCATGTCCATGGGCCAGGGGTCCCAACCAGCATCTTGCCCTGGTAATGCCCTGGTCGCCACTCGCACCACCCCTTCTTCTGTGATGGTGGTGTCAAAACCCTCAACACAAGGAGGGGTGAGACTTTCCAATCCCACCCCAGGGAGGACAGTGACAATAACTGTACCCAGATCAGCCGCTTCACAACTAGTTGCCCCTGCACAACCTCGTGCCTCAGCACCACAGCTACCAACCAATGTTCAAATACCAGCAGGTGAGCTGATGACATGAAGTGTACTCTCATTATCTGTATGTTTGTCCTCTTTTGGAACTGCATGTGTAAATGGTAATGGTAAATGACCTGTATTTGATATAGTGCCTTCTAGAGTCCTAGAACCCCTCAAGGCGCTTTACAACACAATCAGTCATTCATCCATTCACACACACATTCACACACTGGTGGGGATGAGCTACAATGTAGCCACAGCTGCCCTGGGGCGCGCTGACAGAGGCGAGGCTGCCGAGCACAGGCGCCACCGGTCCCTCCGACCACCACCAGCAGGCAACGTGGGTTAAGTGTCTTGCCCAAGGACACAGCGACAGACTGAGCGGGGCTCAAACCTGCAACCTTCCGGTTATGGGGCGAGCACTTAACTCCTGTGCCACCGTCGCCCTGTGTCACAGTTTACATGTCTGCAGAGAGCTCCCACGGTGGACCTTTACCCGTTAACAGTTCAGAAAACCAAATGAAAATGAAGATGCATCTCTCTGTCTTCCATTCTCAAATTCATTGCTATTATCGAGTACAATCAGAGGAGTCTCAATTCAGACTTCATCAGGCCTATTAATAATGGGCTGTAAGTGTGTGAGTGACTTATCTCTGTAGTTAGGTGCACATCCTGTTTAAAGCACTACACAGATGTCTGTATCAAACACACTGAGCTATTTGAGGGTTGTTTGTATTTAGACAGTAGCTGTTTCAGTTAAATTAGTTTAGTTGAGTATTTCCCCTATGGCTGGTAAAAATCTAATATTTTCTGTCAACACATAAAAATTTTCTTTGTTTTGAAAACTATCTTAGATTTATTGATTCAGTTTCTTCTCTTGAAATTAAGAAGACATAACTGACTCACCTTGGTCATTCTTACATCACGTGCAGTCAGACTCACTGTGAGGCTGTAGCTGACAGAAAAGAGTGAAAACCAACATTATTTGGTCTTATTAGTTCTATAGCAAGTAGGTGTTTATTTCAGCAGTAATATTCTCCTGTAAGTTTCCACAACTCCCAATATACACAAGTTCTGTCTCTTGTAATGGAAAGTTACCCATCTTTCTAATAGTACTTATTGATGTTTGATCTCCTGCTTGTGTTAGGTATGATGCTGATCAGCAGTGACAGTGGTCAGCTAATGCTGGTTTCTCAGCAAGCAATAATGCAGGCTCAACAGGGGGCAAGAATTGTGAGCAGTCAAGCACCCAGAGTCACGACCCAACAGGTGTGTCCACTGCTTCTCTTTGCTTCTTAGATTTCTGTTTCTAAATGGAAAGAATAAATTCTAATGTTTTACTGATTTTTGTTGTTGTTGTTGCTCTGGCTGCCATGTTTATAATGCAGATATCTACAGCTGTGGGAAGCAAAAGTAATGAGAAAGTAACAATGATCAGGAGGGCAGCCCCATCCACCTTCCACACTGCACCACTTCAGGAGACAGCTTTGGTAAAGTTATCACTCACTCACTCACTCACTCACTCACTCACTCACTCACTCACTCACTCACTCACTCACTCCCTGGATTGCATCGTTTCCATTCTACCTGTGGGCATAAGCATGTCATACTGCTGTGGAAAATATACTTTAAAAAAAAAACTTTAATGTTGGTGTTGTGTTCAGATATCACACGTCTGCTTACAGTCACTGTATTATTTAAATACCAAGAAAGTTTTGTGTTTATTATTAAAAGCTCAAGCCGGTTGAATTGAATCCGACAGATATTCACAGAATAGAATAGACGTCATTGATCCCACAATGGGCAAATTCACTTGTTACAGCAGCACCAACACTTAAGGGAATAAATTGAAGAAAAATAATTACAAAGGAACATGTATATACACATAGACAGTAACATAGTATTCAATCACTAAAATCCATGAATATCAATGAAAAACATGGGTTCTAGAACTGTGTAGCCTACTGTAAGGGGCACAGACATACTAAGTAAATCTGGTACTGCTCAAGTTTTGAACACATAGGACTGCTCGATTGTGGCAAAAATGATAATCATGATTATTTTGACTGATATTGAGATCTTGATTATTTAAGATGATTTTTAAATTATTGTTGATTGTCAATCAATCAATCAAATTTTATTTGTAGAGCACCTTCCACAACGTTATCGGAAGCCCAAGGTGCTGAACAGCATCATCACAAGAAAAACATTCCCAGTACATGGGCATACAAGCAAGATAAAAACATAAAACCATAAAATATCAAGCAAACAATATTACAAAGAAAGAGAGATAACGGAATAACACTAATCGATCAAAAACAAATGGTGGACAAAATAAAATCAAGCATCTGGGTTAAAAAGAAGAAGAATTAAAACCATAATGTCAAGCCAATTCAAAGAACCCTAGCGCTAAAACGCAATCAAATAAAAATGAGTCTTTAAACGAGACTTAAAGACTTGAAGGGATGGTGCCTGCCTAATGCTCAGTGGCAATTCGTTCCACAGAGTTGGAGCCAAAACAGAAAAAGCACGACAACTCCTCGATCGATATTTCGACCAGGGGACCACCAGAAGTTCCTGCTTGGCTGAGCGAAGAGACCGAGATGGAGCATACCTCTGCAAAATTGCAGTAATGTACGAGGGGGCACTGCCCTGGAGGGCCTTATAAATGAGAGTTAAGATTTTAAACTTAGCTCGATATTGCACCGGGAGCCAGTGCAGAGCAGCCAGCACTGGGGTAATGTGCTCTCGACATCTAGTACCTGTCAGGAACCTAGCCACAAAGTTCTGCACAAACTGGAGCCGTGCAACTGTGCACTGGGCCAGACCAGCATACAGAGCGTTGCAGTAGTCCAGCCGGGACAGGACAAAAGCATGCAACACAGACTCCAGATGAGCTCTGGACAGCAGAGGCCTGATCCTGGATAATTCTTTCAGGTTAAAGAAACAGGACCTCACCACTGTATTTACATGAGTGTCAAGATTAAGGGATGAGTCGATTTTAATCCCCAAATTACTGACCATTTCCTTTTCATAGGGGTCAATGGGCCAAGGTCAATATCAGCACCAGAGCCATTTCTTCTGCCAGGACTAAGTATTATGACTTCCGTTTTGCTCTCATTTAGGTGCAAAAAATTAGAAGCCATCCAACATTTTATGTCTTTCAAACAATCCAGTAAAGAAGAAACAGATCTATCCTCCCCACGTCGAAGAGGGAGATAGATTGTGTTTATGTATTTATTCATTCAGTCATCAAATTGCACAGGGCACAATCAGGACTAAATAAATAAGAAAAAGAAACAAGATGGTCACAAAAACAATTCCTGATTTCTAGTGTTAAAAGGTCAATACACTTGCTCATAGTTTATGACCCAAGGGCTATAGGCTGAGGTTCAACTTATTTAATCCTACCCAATACAGACCCAAATATCCAACCAATATCTTGCAAATACTGACAGAAAGAAACACATATGGTGCTGCAGGGAAGTGTTCCAGCAACGTGTCGCTCAGAGAGATAAATTATTATTTATCAACATGAGAAACGTATTTCTAACTTATTTCTTAACTATTTATTTGCAGGTCCCATCAGTTAATGTAATAATTGTCTCAGGCAAAGCGATCAGAGGTGTGCTGCAACCCCCCCCCCCCTCCCAACCTGGTCTCACAGCAATCAAGGGAACGCTGCGTGTGTTTGGTGCACCGTGCACTTACATTTTGCTGTTTTATAGTGGCTCAGGAGCCTGCAAGTACATTTCGTGTCACTCACTTGGGCTAATACAGGAGGAAGCCGGCTCTGAGAGCCGTTTCTTTCGCGACCAACACATGATTCCCTTTCCTAATGTTCAGAGCGCAGACTGAGTGTTTTGCTAACCTGCAGGAAATGTCGACGACAGTTATCCAGAAAGTAGTTGAGGGTTACCAGAAACATTTCTAGGTTGTTTTCTATGTATCTTTAGGATTTAAAAGGTCAAGAAGGGGGGCCTGGATAGCTTTTAGAAATAGTGACAAAGTCGCTAAATTGACAACATTTTGGGAGGAGCGTTTCATTTGCAACTCGGAGCAGTGCAAGTGGGAGGAGCAAATAATCTGCTCGTTTTGTTTTTAAAGTTGTTCAAAACTCAAATCGTAGTTGTGATTAAAATTCAATTATTGAGCAGCTCTACGTACTGAGTATTGCATAGATGTTATTTTGTCTCCTTTGTGTCGAACAAATCGGGTTTTGTCCATCAGAGAGGAGTGTGTAGGGACCATCAATAAAGTGCAACACCTTTCTACTGAAACTTTATATGAGTTAATTCTGACTTATCCTCTAAATTTCCTGACCAGGATATTTGTGACTCATCAGCTTTTCCTTTTATTTTTGGTGCAGGTGCTAAAGACTGGGCAGGTATGTACAGCTGAGTGAGAGAACCACATGAAACTCTGGCCAGCCTGAGAGCATTTAGTCTTTAACAGTCTTAAACTTTCTGTGTTTCTGTGGACATTTTCCACTCAATCAGCCTGAAGGTAGGTGAGTTCTTCATACGCTGAGATGTTCTCAGTCCTTTTATACTGGGAATTAAACAACTCTTGACTCCTTTAAAGGTGTGGGACACTCATTTAATCGATACATTTGCAGCCGTCTTTAGTAGAATTTATTGCCTTGTAAGTTGCACTCTGAGGAAACAAAGCTCCGGTGCACCATTATCAGGAACTAGCAGAATGCAATATCACAGCTGAGCTTCAAAAGGCAGGATTTTGAGTCTTATTTCCTGATATTTGGACATCTCACCTCAGATTGGATAACAGCAAAGTGACTCTACCACTGACCGTTTGCTCTGCAACGTTGTTTTACCTCCTCAAATAACACAAGCATGAAGGAGTTCTGCTGTGTTGTGGAGTTGTTATGGTGTAACAGTTAGCTTTTATTAGCCCAGACGTTCTCTGCTGTTTTCTGGACACTAAAATGACAACAACCTTTCCCTTCGCGAGTCAAGATGGGTGAGTCCATGAATGTTAAGTGACAGTGTGACATACATCTGTCAGGATTTTCAATTACTAGAGTTTCACCATCTATTTTCTATCAGAAGCTAAAGCAGGATATAGGTGGAGACTATTTTTCATGTTCAGCCTGCATGAAAAACTCAGAGTGTCCCATTATAATCAGAAATAATCATTAATAATGTTTTTTTAATGTTCAACACCTTTAATAAGGTGTAAATGTTAAGTGACTTATTTCATCTGGCAGCAGAGCTGGTTCAGAAAGACATGAGATTACACATGTAAATCCGAGTGCACAGACCAATGCTGTTTATGATTTTTTGCCGTTATGTGGAATTTGGGTTCAGTCAGGAACACATCAGCCTTTTGTGCAAAGATCTGTTTCCACAAATGAACATGAATGATTGCTAAAGAATTCCTGTGACTCAAAGTTTACATTGTGTTTAGGTGATTGGTGTTGCTACTAAACCAGCTGTAGTCCTGGGTCACGGCACCATGTCTGAACGAGGAACGCGTCCTCACACTCAGTCAGCATCAACGGACACTAAAAAGGAGCCACAGATCACTTTCAATAAGGTGAGAGTCACCATTTCCAGTTCGAGCTGTTCTTGTAAAACCAGTCTCTTCTGCTTTTACAAGTAGAAATAATATATACTGTTTTTGGTTAAAAAAATGAATGACTCGATGACAAAAAGTAATCGTTTCTTTCAGTAGATGTGATGAAAACTTTTATCTGCTCCTGCATTTGCTTTTAGAGCTGTGGCATTACCCACTAGACTGATTTATTTTAATATTTCTACAGATAGAGGTTCTTCTTAGGCAATTGCATTAATACTCTGCCAGCTAACACAAATGTTACCAGGAAGCTAGAAAATTAGTAATTGGTTTTCTTTCTTTCTTTCTTTCTTTCTTTCTTTCTTTCTTTCTTTCTTTCTTTCTTTCTTTCTTTCTTTCTTTCTTTCTTTCTTATCAACAGGAGAGCATGGAAAGTGTGAAAAAGTGTAAGAATTTTTTGGTTACGCTGATCAAGCTAGCTTCTAGTGACTCAAGATCTCCCAACATGGCTGACAACGTGCGAGGACTGGTGAAGAATCTGCTGGTACTTCTATCCAACCATCACACACACACATCAGTTAAATGATCTTCAAATATCTAGGCTACACCCACAGTTATGAAGCAAAATCTGTTTAAAGCCTAGTAAGGATGACAATAACAGACATGTTTTGTTGTTTAAAATGTTGTAAAAAAGAATAACTACAGCCAAAACAGGGTTTCCCCCAGCGCTTTATAAGCCAGGCTGTCCTCACCCACCTGCCAAGCTAAGCATCATGCCCCGCCCCCCTCTCTGACCCTACCGTGTCCGCTGACACGAACGGTGCAACAAAACTAGAGCCCTCCATCAGCTGATGGTGGTGAGAAACAGCAGCGGAATGTGTGTTTACCCCCCCCCCCCCCCCCCCAACACCACCTCCCCGGACGGCCGAAGCCGCCAGGCTTAACTCATTTTCTTGGGGAAACCCTGCAAAACTTATTTGAGATCATCAAGTGGAAATGGAGTCTGCTGCCAGTTTTCAAAATTGTATTTATATTTTTGGGATACTGTCAGTTTGCATTATTATATCACTCACGAGTTATTTATTTTGTCTTCACCTGCAGGATGGAAAGATTGAAGCTGAAGAGTTCACAGAACGGCTCTATGATGAACTGAAGTCAACTCCACAACCCTGTCTTGTACCTTTTCTGAAGGTAAAGTTAAAACAACACTGTTTTCCTTGTCCAACTCTGAGAAATGCACGGCCCACGTACATGTTAATGTGTCGTGTATGGGGGTCACTTTGATTGTCTCTTTGCTGGCTGGGAAGGAGCTGAACCATGTGTATGAGGTCAGTTGGTGTTAAATGGATATAATTGTGCTCACATTTATGAACTAGTGCTTGGGCTCTGGAGGTAAAATCCTGAAGAGGGTCTGTACAGTCTTCAACACCAAAGTGCCTCAGGAGGAGGAGTGTAGGGAATTTGTGAGGGTATTCACACGCCAGCGACATATTGGTTATAAAGCTCTCACTGGTGAACCAGAAACTTTCCTCACAGCATCTTCAAGCTGAAAGAAGCTGTTGCTTGGGCTCCAAATAGCAGTCCAGACCACCTGTTTTTATTGTGTGGGGGTGTCTGGATGGCGTCCTTGAAGTTGTGCCATCTCTGGTATTTTATTGTTTCTTTCAACAGGCAATATCTGACTCTGGGGCGTCTTTACTGCATACCAGGGGAGTTTGTGAACAAGGTGTCAGAATGGGCATCGTTCAGGTTGCAGGTAGATGCACATTGGCGTTAACAGAAGTCACTAGGCTGAAGGAGGAGGCCTTTAGGGATTGGCTGTCTCAAAGGACACATAAAGCAGCTAATGGGTACTACACCAGTACCCATTCAGGTTTGCAGCTTCTGTGATAGCAGGAACAAAATATTGAATGTGAGTGAAATTCAGAGTGGCCACAGGGAAGGACTATTGGTTGGCATGATGTGAATTTTGGCAAACTGTTCTTGGACTCAGAGGGAAAGCAGGAACCACTGTTGGGTTTGGGTGGGAAAGACCTAACCTGGTCAAGTGGCTGAAGAAGCACTTTTTAAGAATGTCATTAATCCAGTCATGCGATTGGTCACTGAGAAGGGTCTGGTCTGGAAACTACTTGGCATCATCAATCATCATCAATCAATCATCCGATAGAAGCTGGAGGATGTCTGTGTTCAGAGGGAGGTTTAGGTGTTCCTCCTGGACCTGTTCTTGTGGTTCTAAAATATGACATCAAAGTCATATTGTTTATCAAAGGCCATTGTTTATCTGTTGACTTGTTTTCTTTACATGCAGGATATTCTTTCCTTTTCAACTTTAGATTTTTCAAATACTTCTGTGATGAGCGATGGAAACGTTAAACTCATGATTTGTTTTTTATTGCCTACAGAAAAGTCTTCCAGCAGTGCGTTTGTTTACTGCAGACCCCCAGCTATTCATCCAGCAGGCTTCATCTTCAGTCTGCAAGTCAAGAACTGTCTCCTCCAATTCAAAGCTGCTGATGCCTAATGCAGGAGACACTATCAAGACCAGTCAACAGGTAAATTAGTTAACTAGACATACAACGAAGAGGGCTCTAGATCTGCAGCATGTCTGCAACTAAAAAGGAGGACATCTCATAACTCTGTGTGGCTGGAGCATTATCTATAGGTCAGTGTGACTGGAGCATAGAGACCATGAAAGCAGGCTGTGTGAAGACTTCACCTACAGCTCCTCCTCTACCTGGGTTTTGAGACACCCCTCCCCCATATGTGTTCTACTTACCCGATAAGGTGTTTCGTCATCAAATCATATGAATAAGTAATATACCATTTTTATTTGTATTTGTATTGTATGCAAGTTTAAAGATGAAGTGAGTTATTTCAAAAATTAAGCATACATCAAAACGTGTATCCAGGACCACCTTCTTGGTGTCAAATCTATTCAGACCAGAGCCGGATTAAATAAATGGACTACACTAGGCAGGCTGCATTTTAGCCCCCCCCCCCCCCCCCCCCCCCAATCGATGTTATGTAATGAATTGAAATCTGAAACTTACAAAATTTACTTATAAAAGTTCATTCACATTTTACATAGCCTAGTTTTTGGTTACAAATTGGTTGTTTGTATGCCAAAATAAGTCATGTGTTGTAGGCTGTTGCCTCTGCTGAATCAGAAATTCTGTCAATTTTCTGAGTGTGAACTTATTGTTTTGCTATTTGAACATTAATAAAATTATTTGACAAATAATTAATAAAACCAGTAACACTTACCAAGGAAACCATTTAGCATTATCTACTCCGGGATAATCTTCAGCCTTCCAGCATCACATACCTCAATCACAGCAGAAACACGTCTAAAGAAATGTTCCTTGGTTAAGCTTCAGTCTCCAGATTTCCTCTGTGATGCCGAAGAATATCCAATATTTTGAGAGGGATAGTTTAGTGCAAAGTACTCATCAGTTTGGTACCACTTTGCAGGATCAGATGGGTAGCTAGTTGTTAATACCCTGTCTGGGTCTAGAGGCTCCTGTAAGACTATATTGGGCTCACTTCTGGCTGGCTGCTGTTCTTCCAGTTTGTCCTTCTGTGAAGGCGCTGATGTTGACGGCGTTGGCGCTACATCGTCTTCCGCCGCATCTTCCACTGCGTCTTCGGGTTGTGTCTCCTCCGGGTCTGACTTGGGCCCGGCCTCTGGCTCTGCTGACTCGAGCAGGTTCACAGCTGTCGGACGGCTGCCCAAGCAGCCCGACAGAAACTTCTGTAAAGCCCCCCCCCCCCCCGGCGTCTCTTCTTTAGTTCCTCTTCATTTTTTTTACGTTTTGCCACACCCGAAAGCATCGTGAAAGTTAGCCTATTCAAAAACACCTGCTAGCTTTGTTGTGTCCCGCTCTGACTCTGACCGCTTCTCTGACGTCCTTAATTGGGTGGCGCCTTAACCCTCTGGGGTCCAGGGGAGTTTTCCTTTGTTTTTCCAAAATAAAAACCATAACCACTGCCTTATGCGGTATCAATCTTTTCAGCACAACCTGGACTTTATGAATTTATACTTATTTTTTATATTTGGACATAAAGGGGTTGCATATTAGACCTTAAATCACTCAAAAACATAAAATCTGAATAGGAAAAAAGTTGTTTATTTTACTGTGAAACCAACAAACATTTATGACGAATGTTTTTTATCATTTAGAATGGTAATCTAGACTGTACATTTATAAAAAATATGACTAAATATAGCAAATAACTAATTTAAAAAAATTATCAGCTCTCTGGGATCCAGAGTGTAAATCACCGTTTTTGACTCATTTTGGGTTTTCTTTTGTATTTTCTAATAAAAACAATAAATATTGCCTTATGGGGTATCATTTTTTCAGGACAACCTGGACTATCTGATCCATGCTTTCGTTCTTTTTTAAACACAGAAACAGTTTTGTTTACCTGTTTGTAGCTACGGTTTCGCCGACAGCTGCCGGCTTCTTCAGGCTGACGCTGATGGTGGCGCGTCAAAGACACAGCAAGAACACACCTAAGCTGGACTATCTGAATTTATACTTATTTTATTAATTTGGCAATAATATACATGGATTTTGGAGTGGGGAGTGGCTCTGTCTCACGCCGAGATCTGACAGCTGTGCGGCGCCGCCCACTCCTCTTGTTGGATCTCCGAGGAGCTGCATCTCTGCCTTCATCCTCTATCCCATCATGACCCAACTCTTCTATGAGGAAGGATGGATCTGCCACATCGTCATCAACATCCTCGCTGTTTGCCTCAGTCTCCGGCTGCGAGTCTCCGTCCACTTCCTCTGCTTCCAGTTCAAAAAACAGCCGTACTATCTGACCTGCCTGGTGGACATTTATCCTTCTCATCATCCTTTATATAAGCCTAATAAAAGCCTGCTAAACTGCAGAGACAATATATCTGTCCGGATCGCTTCAAAATACAAAGTTTACCGTCAATATCTGTCTAATTGTTTGTTGTTACTCCGTTCGCGCCACTTTCCCTGCGAAGCGGCTCCTTTTTGCGCACGTCTCGTTACCCGTGCAGCCTTCCTTTCTCTCTCTCAGTTACATAACGATGCTTTTTATCAGTTGAATATGTGAGACGTCCACCAACAGCAAAAGGATCTCGTGTTTTTGTGGGTTTTTTATGTTCACAAGCACATTCCCGCTCACAGATTACTAAACCGCTGTTTTGACAAGTTATCAGATTGTCTAAAAATAGGTCATTTTTTAGTTTAGTCTAACTCCGCTTTTACGTTGCCTGTTAACAAAATTTAAAAACTGGGGTGTAGTTTATAATCTCCTTTTTAAAGCTGAATTGAAACCGAAACTCAGGGAGGCGGAGTCTTGCTGCTACAACGTCCCAAATAAGACCTGTTCAAAAGACGCGGATACTTGTCCGTGGACCCCAGAGGTTTAATGTGACTTAGCCAATGAAACGGTCTATGGTTAAGATAAACATTGTCACTATTTTTAGTTAATTGATAAATTATTGAAACAAATTGTAGATAGGAGTCCTAGCTACAAATTCTATCATAGGACATTTGTACATTTAATTTTTAATTAATTTATTTATAATTTTGTTCCTCTGTCTGGGCCCCATCCAGCCAATCAGGCCCTAGGCACGTGCCTACTTTGCCTTAGCGTTAATCCGGCTCTGATTCAGACACTACTAGAGTCATCCCATTTAACCATGTTTGTAAGATCTACTCTAGCTTAATTATAACAAAACACAAAGTGAACAGCCTAAAAAATGTGAGGATAGAAAGGAGAAGAATCCACTGCAATTGTGGGTAAGATGATGAAAAAGAACCCTTTCACCAATGTAGCAATTAAAACATTAATTATGATCAAAAGATGTGATTATTCCATATAAATATGTCTGAGAGTTGAAGTAGCTCTGAAAAGAGCTGTTGTGTCTGTAATCACTTGCAGCGTCGCAGAAAGGTTTTGATTTATGGTCAAAGGAGTTTTTTTCATAAAAATGCTTCTTTCCCGATTTGGCTGAATCGGGGGTCAGCTGGAAACTGAGTTAATCGGGAAGTAAATCCTGTTTTAATAAACTCATTATTATTTCTGGCTTATTCTGGCAAATCGGAATGTGCCGTGTCTGGAAGGCTTAACCAAAACATTCATCAGAAAGCCATGCCCTCCTCAGATACGAAGATGTTTTTAACACTGTGAATGAGAACGTCTTAAAATCCTTATGTAATGTGTAAGAGTGTAAACAATGATTAACTTGCTAAAAATTTATTACTAAACAAATTAAACTAGACTAACTTTAAACACTAAATGTATGGTGTAACTAAGGTGAATGAGACGGAGAATGGTGTGACGTGGAATGTTGCTCAGAACCAGCAAATCCGAAGAAACGATTAGTTCTGATGGTAACTGAAGGTGATGTCTTCGCGTTAAGCTTTGGTTAGGAGGCTCATAAACACATTCAACGCCATTTGCCGTTCTACATACCCTGAGCGGAAGTCCCCGTCTAGATCAGGAGGTGTAAAGGTCCAGCTTGACCTTTATGGAGCCGGAGCCCGTAGTAACAGCCACGGCAGCCGACCACCCGTCTCGAGATACTTCCGGGTCACGACAATTTTGTTGGCGTCTGGTGAGACCCAAACCTGGGTCGTGATGGTTCAGCTTTTATTCTGAAAGGAACCGTTGCAGCAGTTGGAACGGCAACAGATTTTATCCAGCTTGTCGTTTGTTCTTTCGGCTGAAGAGGAAAGTTATGGATTGGCCACTCCCGACAACTTCTCTAGAACGCTTTGAACTGGCGTTAGAGATGATGTGGGCATAGTTTTATATAGGGCTGCACGATAATAGAAAAACCTGCGATATGCGATAACAGTGATTAATATTGCGATGACGATATTACTTGCGATAAATAAAAACTTAACTCAGGAACAAAAATAATCCAAAACAATTAATTAAAATAATCATAAAAATGAGAAAAGCTAAAGATGTGAGGAAAGGGAAAAAGAAAATGAACAACAAAAGGAAATCAGTGGATCGCGGGAAAAGCAGAATCAGCAGAAAGAGCAGAACAAAGCTAACTCAGGTGTTTGCTAACCAACAAAATTAAGTGCCGTCTGCCACAGGGGGCGGGCATCTGACCTATGAGAACCCACCCGATTGGCCAAATGGGTGAAGAGCTCCATTTGATTTGTTAAAAAAACATCATGCTTCTGTTTGATTGACAGAATGCCTTATGTGTAGCAAACATTTGAGCTCACCATTCATTACGATATTTATCTGTTCTTTGCGATATGCATATTGAGCATGCTGATATTGCGATAACAATATATTTACGATATATTGTGCAGCTCTAGTTTTATACTTTGGATGTTTTGGTTTATGGTCGAATGAAAAGTTGACAGATTTTACCAAACACCATCAAAACCACGTCTCCGTCAGATCTGGCAGATTCTGATTGGATCAGTGAAAGCAACGTGTTATGTCTTTTAACGCTACGTGAGATCAGTCCTAGTGGAAACATTTAAAGTCAGATTACTTTTATATTATGTAGGATTATAATAAAGTAATTAATATTTAGATTTCACAAATTGGTCACATCTTATTTATTGACTAACACTTGGTTGGATTAGCTTTATTAAAATAGAGTTCTTTGATTAATTAAAAGAAAATAGTTCATTCTTCATTCTTCTGTTGAGCTGAAAAGAAGCAGGTTAGAAGCAAATACATGAGACCTTGAGACCATATCTCATGCAGACTAGTTCTGTGCAGAGTAGAGGGGAAACAGTCATTTCATTCTGTTACAGCAAGAACAATATTCATTTCAAATTCATTGATTTAAGCACAGGTTATTCAAACATTTCATTTAAACATCTTGTTCATTCATCACATATGATTAATTAACTTATAACTATAACATTGTGGAGTCTTCACTTATTCAGAGTGAAGAATGTTGACGTCTGGCTTTCACAGTGAGTGCAGGAACCTTGGGGGAGAATGTTTATTTGAATGTTTTGTCTTCATGGAATGTCAACACACGCTGAGCAGAACCTTCTGGATTTAGAAGGCCACATAGAAAGTGGATTTATTTCTGTAGATGAAAGGTTATTATGTTGATTAATATATAGGTGAAAATTGACCCTTTTGGACGTTAAACCAAACTGTTGGATACAAGCCCATAGAACAAAGGAAACGACGACTTTCACTTGGCATTTTGTTTTTATACTTCTTATTATTGATAATTTTTCTCATGAGCATGACCTTGAGTTAAAAACATTGACTACAATCACATTAGGCACTGATAACAAAGGGTCTTAACAGATGTAGTTTGGAGCAATGATGGTTTGTAAATGGTTTCATTTGTGAGGAGTTTGTATAAGAGAAAGCACAAAGGATCAAGAGGAGAGAGTGAATCCCAGAGCATCCAACTGTCAGAACTGGCGTTTGATGCAGGAGATGATTGACATTTACAATAAAAATAAACCTCTGTGGTGCATGTTTTTTGTTCTGATGGACCACAGCCTCCTCCCAGAGACTCAAACAATAAATGTTCAGGATGGGAAGAGTCGGCCACAATTTATTTTGCTCGTTTCAAGTTTCTGAAAGTTTACAGGTTCTGTAGGAAGGGCAGGTTGCAGTTTATTGACAGCAGCATCTTTTTAGACAAGGGAGCCTCTGTTATACTCCTACTCAAGGTCATGAAAGATGATGGAAGATGATGGTTCTCAGGAAGACGGTTATCTACCGGAGTCCCGCTGAGAAAGATCGGAGCAGGTAGGCCTCAGTTCTCGCGGAGATCCAAAATCATCTCCACTGGTTTGACAGTTCTGGGTAGTTCATTCTGCACCAGGTCATCAGGTTGTGGATCTGTAGGCTGACTCATCCCCGCTTGATACAAGCCCGACCAGGGCGGTGTCCTCAGCAAACTTCAGCAGTGTAACAGATTTTTTTAAGACTCTCCCTAAGTCACATCTATGAGCCAATAGCTGTGAGAATACTCCTATCTAGTGTGCTGTTTCTCTGTTGTTTTAATTGCTGATCTTTTTTTAATCAGTGGTGTTTAATGATTACTGTCCAGCAGGCTAAAGGACTGGCTCTGAGACTTGGATTAATGGCTGCCCAGTCCAGAAATTGCATATCTACTAAAACTGGGCCCACCACGAAACCTGCAGTGGTTCAGTTGGGAAAACAAATGCCAGGTAACAGCTGCTAAAATTAGGCTTTAGAACTTACTTATTCTGTTTGAAAGTTTATTAACCCTTTGATGCATAATGGTCACTACAGTGGACAGGTACTCAAAATAGTTATTTATTTGTTTTTGCTATTAAGCACAGCTGTTGAAGACTTTATTGCATGTGAGCCCCTCCATTTGGACTTCAGTAAGCCAAGCCAACATATTTCATGCTCAGAATGCACGCTGTCCACTGAGGTGGACATGTAATAAATTATTTGTAAATTATAAAATTTTACGAAAAATATTAGTTGAAATTTGTTTCATTCACACCTAAAGACGAATGAAAAAAAATTGTAAAAAAAATCATGGTTGAAGATTTCATAATTCATGCATCAAAGGGTTAATATTTAAAGTTTCTGCATTCATATGAACATATTCTACATTCTGGAGTGACTTTTTGTTAAATGATTTTTGTAAATCGCATGTTGGGTTATTAGTCGGGGTGCAATGGATCATCACGGATATCTCTACGGTTCGGCATGCACATGGTCTGTGGATTGGTAATGTGAAGGCGCATGAAAGGAGCTTGCAAAACCATCTGTCGCATATATGGGAGCATTTTGGCTTCCATGTAAAATACAATGATGATACAAACTACTAAAATGGACACACGGACGCGCCTGTCTCCAGTCTGACGTGTGTAGCACCGCGCACACGTACCTCCGGTCGCTATTAAAGGAGGAAGGGAGGTAGTGCGCACAAAATGCCCGGGACAGTTATTACATTAATGTAATGGGACCTGAAATATTGGTGGGGACAAATCTGTGAAAGAGGAGAGTAGGGAAAAACAGAGCTTTAGAAAGTTGAAATGAGTGAAAGCAGGGCCATATTTTTGTCTTTGAGTAAGGCATGCAGTGGCTGGCCTCTGGCAAGCCGTTTTAACATTTAATCAGCAATTGGACATCTCTGTAATTCCTATTTTATGTAACACTTTCATTGATCCTAATACTAATTGTATTTTTATTAGTCAAAAATGCAAATGACATCAACAGCAATGTTACTTGTAGAAATTATAATTAAGAAGAAGAAGAAAATATCATTTCTATAGCGCCTCTCAAGATAAAAATCACGAGGCGCTTCACAAAAGCAAAAAATGTAAAAATAAAAAAAGCATTTAGAAAATGTTTAAAAATATATTTAAAATGAGCAAAAATAGGCAATTGTGATTTAAAAAAGAAATGTTAAGAGAGGGAGAGAGAGTGAATAGGAAAGAGGGAAATCAGTGGATCCTGTGGAAGGTGGAATAGGTGGGGAGAGCATAAGGATATAATAACTGCAGAAACGGAGAAATCTCAGAATCCCGAAAGACCCAAGGTGGCCTTTTTAACATTTATTAGGCAGACTGGACATGTATTCCAGATAACTATAATTCTGTTGTTCCTGGTAGTAATTAACATTCCAGATATCCATAACAGTGTTCTTACTGAATGAACACTTAATATATCTGAAATGTTCATTCTAGAATCATAACATCTTTGACGTCATGGATATTATAGAGCGTGACTGTGTTCTAGACAATCAATAGAGAGCAAAGTTATTTGTCTTTTTGTTTTCTTTCTGCTGATCCAAAAAAGGACAAGATCCACAACACAAAACTGTAATGTGATCTGAACCGTGAGTCCTTTGATCCGTTGCACTACAAGTTAATAGTAAAGTTTCTTCAATGTAGAACCCCCAACTTCTGTTGATCTACTTAAAGTGACAGTGTGTAGTTTCCTTGGCCATAGGGGGCAGTACATACCTAAACGATTGCAAGCAAGCATTACTTTTGTGTTGGAGTAAGACCTTAGCAATGGATGGCCATTAGGGTCAAAAATCCCTGGGAGCATAACCTCCAGTAAAATAACAAGAACATCAGATTCTCTTTCTTCAGTTGTAACGAGTGAAGAGATAACAATGATTATTTATGGTAAAAGTTTTGTTAACATTTTTCACAAATCAGTAAATGCATTTTGTCCTTATAGTCTTCCGTAGAAGGAAACATGGCATCCAATATGGCTTCGCCCAGAGACTTAAATCCGCTCCCATGTATTTTAGAACAGATTTCTATAGTTATGAAACTGCCAATATTTTTCTTGAACTGGGCATCTTTTAATTAATGTAAAACAACATTTTGATGGATATTTCCAGAGATTAATGGTAAAAAACTACACATTGTCACTTTAAATGAACACAGTCTAGGCTGCCCGACTTTATTTTGGTTACATTTTTTAATACAAAATAAGTTATGTTTGCTGTAGTTGGCCTATTTTTGTTTTGAGATAATGCCAGAGTGACCATGTAGTGAATATGTCACAACATTCTGTTAGTTCTGCCATAGGAGCACAAAATCAGAATGTTGTTTGCAGGTCAGGTATGGAAAAATCTCGTTACATCAAATAATGTTTTAAAAGAGTGATTTATTATTTTTGATTGAAATAATTAGAAGGTAAATCTATGAACTGAGTCACTCCATTTTCTGACCGGCTGTCATATCATTTCTTCCACTGATCTTTGTATGTTTGCGTTTTATAGGAACATTTTCAACGCCTCAGTCTGTCGTTCTGGATCCAACTCAGTCTACTAAACGTGCATTCAAAGAAACTCCAGGATGTTACAAGTGAGACATGTAGTCCACATATTTAACCTCAGATGTGATGCTGTTGCAGTCATTAACCATGTGGTTAGTGGTAAGGTAACATGGTATATTTTTTTTTCCAGAGAAGATGATGATATTAATGATGTAGCCTCCATGGCTGGAGTCAACCTCAGAGAGGAGAACGCTCAGATCTTGACCACAACAGTAGGGTCTGTGGTGCAGTCATGCCACGATCAGCTATTCCTTTCACCATCCTCACTACTCAGCCAAATTCTGCATACAGGTGCTTCAGTGACACACGGTTTCATTTAACATCATTTATATAGCCCGGGGGGGATCATTCCGCTGCCGTTGTCGCCAGCGACTGCAGAGAAGGGTCGTGGTGGATGCTTGGCCTGCCAGGCTTATAAGCACTGGGGGAAATCCTGCATTTAAACTGAATTTTTGTTGCGCATGATTTTTAAACATGGTACACTTCACCTGACTTGATAAAGCTCAGATGATCCAGCCTCCTACCTCATCGGTGCTCTTTAGTTGAAAGCAAAGACATGCAAACAATATTGTGGGTTCCTAATTTGAGCTGTTTAGCCTCAACTCATGTTGCACTTTTTTTATTGTCTACTGGCATGATAATCATGACCTCAGGGATTTTGAAAGCAAAAGAATGAAACCCTTGTGTGAGAATGCTGGTTTGCCTGTAAATCACTACAGCGGTAAAATGGGTCTGAAGATGTATAAACTTAAGTATTGCTGTCATTTTTTTTTTCATCTGCCACCATTTTTATTTCATTTTGTGTCTTCTGGTAGGACAGGCAGTGGGAGTGACCGATGTTGGTCCAGAGGTCGTTGCTTTGGTATCTCATGCTGCTCGGGAGTATCTGTGTGGGCTAGTAGAGAAGCTCACTGTTATAGCAGAACACCGCAAGGCAGGACTCAAGGTAAAGCCTTCAGACTACAACATAATACATGATTATAATGATTCTGTAAAATAATTTAAAGTCAAATTAGTTCTGTAAGTCTTTCCAAAATGTGTGTTGTCAGCAGTCTAAGAATAACCTAGTGCACAAACCTCATCATGTTACTTGAGTTTGTAGATCAGTGACATTTAAAGTCGCTTTCCGGAGTTTTCTATTTTCGGAAATAATGTATGGTTTTTCAGAAATCCGTAAAAGTGATTATCTTATCATGTACTGTGATATAAGTAATACGTCTTTTTTTGTTGTTGTTTTTTCTAAGCACGCCCCCGCCCCGCAAAGCTCCATGCAATAGGAAACTGAGCGCTGACCAATAGCGTTGGACTACCGCTTAGATGATTCAAAGTTAAGGAATAGCTCGGCTGATGCGGAGTTGATGAACTTTTCACGGACAAGAAAGTCTTTAAAATAAAACTTAATCCAAACAGACTTTTTGTGTGATATTCTTGTCAGCCACTAGATGGTGCCATTGGATAATACTCTGGAAAGAGACTTTAAGGAGCTCTTGCAGCATCAATTATTACACCTGACTCTGTTTCAGACTGTTTACCAGATGCTGATTTGACCAAAACAAATGTCATCAGTGATCATGAGTCTCATTAACTCCACAGGAACCTCAAGATACTTTAACCTGAAATGTTTGTTTTATTTGGCAACAGCAGGATGAGTGGCACACCAACCACAGTGATGTTCGCTCTCAGCTTCGCTTTCTGGAGGAAGTTGAGAGATTGAAGAAGAAAAGGAAAGATGAAGAGGAGAGAGAGAAATTGCTACGTATGGCCAGAGTGAGTATGAGCTGTGGTTTAGAGTAAAAAAAAATACACATAAAGTTTCCCAAAGAGATGATTCTACAACAGGTTTGAACTAGAAAACGTTAGTTGCATCTTGATCGTTATAATTTAGTTTTCAGAAAAATCATGGGTTAAATATTTTAACCCATGGCTCCTAATTGGGTGCTAGCAGAGGTGAAAAGTGTAATGAAAAGATCTTCCATGGTAAATGTACAGTATGACAACAATGAACACAATTGCAGTTATGATCATCGATACAAAAATGACGTATGTATGGATTCAATTCAATTCAAAAATACTTTACTAATCCCAGAGGGAAATTGATTGCTGTAGTAGCTCAGAATAATAATAATAACCAAGTCGTCAAAGAGTTATTGTATATTACAATGGCTGTTGGCAGGAAGGATCTCCAGTAGCGGTCAGTGTTGCAGCCAAACTGAAGAAGCCTCTGACTGAAGAAGAAGAAGAAGAAAATATCATTTCCATAGCACCTCTCCAGATAAAAATCACGAGGCACTTCACAAAAACAAAAAATGTAAAAATATAAAAAAGCATTTAGAAAATTCCATCGTCTGCGGCTGCAGAATTCCTCGGGCTGACGCCGGGGACACACTGGCCGCGGAAGTGCTGCGAAGCGCCGCGAAAATGGGACCGCCTTCATTCGACGCCCTTGTTAAGCTATTCTATAGACCACATGGGCCGCCGAAGCACCGCGAATCGTCTCGCACCGGCGCTCCAGCCCGCGCCGTGCAGCGATCGTTTCGGCGTCTGCTCTATTTTTCCGCGAGTGAATCGCGTCAACTCTGGCAGGAAGTCAAACCTAGACATAAGAGGCAGGCCGGTAAATTTAACAAAATAAAGCATTTCAAAGTAAAATTCCGCAATAGTCAAATGTGTTCGTAATCAGACACTGCAGAAAAACCACACAAACACACACACACACACACACACATACACATCGATCTTGTGTGCGTGTGTGACCACGTGAAGGGGTATGTGGTTTTGGGTGTCTTTTCACCGGAGCAAACAGGACAGAGAGGCAGAAAGTCTGAGGCAAGCAGTTAAGATGGATGACTTTAAATTAATTATGGAAGTTGAGAAACACAAGGAGCTGTACGACCCCCGAAAAACACGGTTATTTACGTACCCATGTCGGAAGAAACTGCTAGGATACAGCTGCAGAATTGGAGCGGGTTCCAAGAGATTCAACTGGCAGAAACAACGAGAGGGTGCTCGCTGCAGAACCACAAAGGCGGAGCTGCACCATAAGGTGGAGCTGCACCAGGGTCAGCCCCGCCCATTCACGCAAACTCAGCCTAGCCCACTGACTTCCGTTTTTGTTTTCCAACTTCATCGCAAACTAACCTGACCCACATGAATTATGGCTGTTACTACTTTACAAATGTTAATGCTATGTTCTATGCTCCAATTAAACAAGATAAATATAACTTGCTACATGACAAAGCCTGAATACATCTTGAAATGAAACGATTTCTCTTAGCAGATATCTGCCCACAGCCGCTCTAACAATGATGTGGTGCAACAGCATGGGTGATTGTCATATGTGCTCTGGTAGTCCAGTGGTAAGATCATCTGAAGCAAATTTTGCTTCCCCCTCAGCAGATGCTGGTTCGATTCTCGGTGGGGTCGGCATCAATCTATTTAGCCAGCTGAAACATTGAATTTGTTTATATTTTAGTTGTAATGTTTATTTTCAGCAAAATATTTATGTCTCTAAAAGTTCTTTGAATTTGGTCGTTCCTAAACAGCATTTTAGTTGAAACTCTGCTCACAAATGGACTCACAATGGCTAAATAAACGAATAAATAAATAAACACATTAGTCATTATATTGTAAACGGTATACCAGTAAATTGTTGTAAACAGTACTGGCAAGTGTAGCTAGAAATTAAGAAAAGGGGTTGTAATCTACCTAAGATTTCTGCCACTGGGAGTCGAACCTGCGCAAAACTACATGCAAACCTGCCTCCATAGCCTCTACCCCACCACATCTGATATGAAGTAAGTGGCGTTACATGTAATTGTCCTATCCAGTGTGTCTTTGGAGATGGGATGTATGGTTTATTGGCGGTGTCACAGTAGAAGTCATTTCAGAAATAATTTGTCAGAAAATTCACAGAATATCCAGATTTGAGAACCAAGACCAGACCCACTTCAGGGGAGGAGACCAAATTGAAGCTGAGATGGGAGGAAAATGCATGAATGAGGCCAAAAATGGCTTTGGCGTGTTTCTTATGAGGAAATGACAATATAACATGATAAAAAGTTCCAAAAGTTAGATTTTTAATTATATGGAACCTTTACAAAAACTGTTCAGTTAACTTCTCACCTCCGTCCTCAATCTTGTATTTTTTAGCTATAAAACCCTCTTTGGTTCCAGAATGCTATCAAGTCTGACAACTGGAAGGAATTGTACTGACTCTGATGGAATGGACGGGGCTGACTCTGGAATGGGCGGGGCTGACCCTGGAATGGGCGGGGCTGACCCTGGTGCAGCTCCACCTTCTGGTGCAGCTCCACCTTTGTGGTTCTGCAGCGAGCACCACTTGGAAACAACTGGTTCATACCATAGGTTCACACACACACACACACACACACACACACACACACACACACACGTACAAACACTCAAACGTAGAGGAAAAGAGCTGAGAAAAGGCAGAGAGGGAGGACACCACGTGGTTAAAAGAAAAACTACAGCTGAGCCGAGGCGCACCTCGACTGGAGCGCGTCTGATCTGAACTGCTTCCGCGGCAGTGTGTCCCCGGCGTGACGCTGATGGTGTTGCGTCACTTCCTTGTCCGTTTATCTGCGGGCAGCAGAGGACATTGTCACCCTCTGCTGCCCGCTCTCCCTTCTCCGACGATGCAGTCCCATGCGCGGTCCAACGTGTAAACTCCGTCGTCTCTGTTCATGGTCCCGCATCCACGTCTCCTTATCTCGATTGCTTCTTTAATCCATCTTTTGTATTTTTGTTGTTCGGTGTTTATGATCCTTGTGCTGTCCCAGTCCATTATATGATTTTCTTGTATAATCATTGTATATATATGTATATATATAAATTTCATGTGACAACAGTTCACAAGGTAGGCATACATTTTCCTTCATCCCCCAGAGTGCGAGGTTTTATTGCTTTGTGTGTTTCTGATCACAGAGTCGCTCACACTCTGAGGATCCACAGCTTCAACAACTCAAGCAAAGGGCCAAAGAGGTGTGTATGCATTCTACTGTGTTATTCTTCATACTGTTACAGGAGAAACAATTCTACTCTACCAACATCCTCATTCATTTAATCTGTTTTATCTGTTAAACATCATGTGAATTTTACTTTGGTCCTAAAATGTCCTCATCCATCCATCCATCCATCCATCCATTCATTCATTCATTCATTTCCAGTTTGTTTATTTATAGAGCCAATTTCCAGTTTATTTATAGAGCCAGTTTATTTACATAGCGCCAAATCACGACAAGAGTCGTCTCAAGGCACTTCACATAATAAAAATTCCAATTCAGGTCAGTTCATTAAGCCAGTCAGAAATAATGTTTCCTATATAAGGAACCCAGCAAATTGCATCAAGTCACTGACTAGTGTCAGTGACTATACAGCAATCCTCATACCAAGCAAGCATAAAGCGACAGTGGAGAGGAAAACTCCCTTTTAACAGGAAGAAACCTCCAGAGAATCCTGGCTCAGTATAAGCAGCCATCCTCCACGACTCACTGGAGATTGAGAAGACAGACTAGACACACACACGCACGCACGCACGCACGCACGCACACACACACACACACACACACACGGACAACTAATGTGTCTATAGTTATATTGTGATGTCTTAGTAAATATTCTATTTGGTGAGAGATAAACTTTATTGTATTTATCCTAGTGGATCTATAATTAAATGGATAAACTAGTAGTAGCACATCAAAAGTCAAGGAAACCAAAAAGTTATTATCAGGAGAGAGAGAATGTTTAAGTGGTTAGCAGCAGTGTGTTAGTCGGTGGCCCCCTCCATGAGGCCACCACAGCTCAGCAGAACGTCATTGTAGTTTCTTCTGGGGAGAAAAACACAGAGAAAATAAAGTTAACAGCTGAAATTGCACAAAATAATACAGTTAAAGAGCAGACTGTGGAAGAAAGCAGTAGAGTGTGGAAAGTGGTCAGTGTATCCTCCAGCAGTCTAAGCCTATAGCAGCATAACTACAGAGATAACTCTGGGTAATCTATCCTATTTAGATGTAGGCATGTTGGAGGCAGGGCAAGGGGGAGTCGTCTCTACCGACTGTACACTCCACCTCCCTCTACTCCCCCACTTGTCCAGATTTAGGCTAACATCAGATTTTAACCATAGGCCCTATCAAATAAAAATCCATCCATCCATCCATCCATCCATTCATTCATTCATTCATTCATTCATTCATTTTTAGCTGCTTATATTCATTTTTAGCTGCTTATTCAGGGTCGTGGTGGCAGTAGCCTAAGCTGGAAGGCCCAGGCTTCCGCTGCCCAGCCATTTGGGCCAGCACCTCTGGGGAAATCCTAAGGCATTCCCTGGCCAGCAGGGAGACATAGTCCCTCCAGCATGTCCTGGGTCTTCCTTTAGGTCTTCTCCCAGTTGCACGGGCCCAGAAAACCTCACCACGGAGGTGTCCAGGACGCATCCTAACTAGATGCCCGAGCCACCTCAACTAGCTCCTCTCGATGGAGGAGCAGCAAGTCTATTCCGAGCCCCTCACGGATGACTGACCTTCTCACCCTATCTCTAAGGGAGAGCCCAGCCACCCTGTGGAGAAAACTCATTTCGGCCGCTTGTATCCGCAATCTCGTTCTTTTGGTCACTACCCAAAGCTTGTGACCATAGGTGAGGGTTGGAACATAGATTGACCTGTAAATACATTTTGGCTTGACCCTTGAACCTGCAATCTAAAATATTTGTTTCTCCCTAAACTCCTTGGTTCTTTCCTGTTATTTGAAGAGCAGTAAATGTATTTCATTGCAAACATAAACACAAAATGTAAGTGTGAGTACAGATGTGTGAAATCTCAATGCTCCGATTAGAAGTCTATCTCGGCAGCAGTAGCTCAGGAGGTAGAGCTGGTTTCCTCATGATCGGAGGGTCATGGGCTCGATTCAAGCTCCCGCCAGGGGTATTCTGCTGTTGCGTCCTTGGACAAGACACTTCGCCTAACTTGCCTGTGTTGGTGGTGGTCAGAGGGGCCGACGGTGCCAAATGGCAGCCTCGCCTCTCTCAGGCCGCTCCAGGGCGGCTGTGGCTACAAAGTAGCTTACCATCACTGACAGTGTGTGAATATGAGAGTGTGTGAAAGCGTCTTTGAGTGTGCTAAACAAGCGCTATATAAGTTCGATGATGATGATGATGATGATTATTATCTGGTCATGTTTATAGCTTCAACAGATTGAGGAAGCTCAGCTGCAACAAAAAGAAGCAAATCTTACAGCTCTGGCTGCCATTGGGCCTCGCAAGAGGAGAGCCATGGATCAGGCAGAAAGTCAGGTAAGGCAGTGTTTGCAAAAACATGTCAGGCAGTTTGACGTTACCAACGTTTTTTAACATCATCCAACAAAAAACTTAAAATAATCAGACATATCGGCCAGTGTGCATCCTCTGTTAAGGGTGTGGGACACATTTAATCAATACATTTGCAGTGGTCTAGTATGAATGAATGCATTGCAAGTTGTGGTGTCTCAGATGCGCTTGTTTGAGGAATTAGCAGAATGAAACATCAGAGGAGAGCTTAACACAGCAGGATTTGGAGTCTTATTTCCTGATTTTTGGACATCTCGCCTCTTACTGGATAACAGCATAGCGACTCTACCACTGACTTTGTTTGCTTTGCAACTTTGATGTTTTATTTCTACAAATAACACAAGCCTGGATGAGTTCTGCTGTGTGGTGGAGCTGCTAATGCTAATGGTTAGTTTCCACCAGCCGAGACATTCTCTGCTGTTTCCTGATTGTTAAACCAGCAACAGCCTTCCTCGTTGTTAGTCAAGATGAGCGAGTCCATGTATGTTAAGTAACAGTGTGACATACATCCAGTGTGCGATTTGTGAAAAAAGCAGAGGGGGGGGGGGGGGGGGGTAATTTTTTCACTTTTTATTTATGAAAATTACAACATACTTTTGTATGCTGATTGCAGAGTATTTTGTACATAGGTGTCCCCTCATGAAACTGACAGAGAAAAAAAACATTTAAAAGGAGAGATATGTTGACATCTTTTTTCATCGTTGTGCGCGTGCACGAGTGGCTGGTTGGCAAAAACAGACGCAACAGGGCCTGCTATCAATGTGCGAGTACACTTCCAAGAAAGTTTACGTACAAAATCCCAGATATATAAACACTTTGCCATTCAAAGACGGGGAGGTTTAGAGAGCAGTAGGGATGTCCCGATCCGATCACATGATCGGAAATCGGCTCCTTCTTCACCACAACAGACCAGTTCAGCGTCTGCATCACGGCAGACGCTGCCCCAATCTGCCTGTCGATCTCCCGCTCCCTCCTTCCTTATATTTGATTGATTAAATATCCTGTCCTGTCTTTAATGCATTTTGAACACTGACCACAGCGAAATCCTCGGATGCATCCATGCTGCTCAGTACCAGACCTGTACTGATGTCACTAGAAAGAACCATCAGCTGGCAAAGATGCTGTTGAACATTTGAGCGTGCAGAACTTGCAAAACTATGTGACTCAATTTAAGAAACAAAGTGGAGTCAAGCTGCTGTTATTTATTTGTTGTTGATGTTAGTATAGAAACTAAATATATATGCAGGGCTTTAGGCCCAGGACAGAGTTTTATACCTCAGACCCATCGACATATAAATACTGGACAATTCATTTCCATAGGCTCCAATAACACGTTTTTGAGGCCAAATGGGAGGTGGCCACCACCGCCATTTTGACCGTGTCACAGGTTCTGTCAAGCCCAGACAATTCCACAAAAGGGAAGAGAGGAGGAGCTGAGGGTGGGGCTGTAAGGCTGGGATCAACTGACGACACCCGGTCGAACTAGCTACCATCTAACCTGAAGCTAACCCAAAGCTAATGCGGAGGTGGGAGCTAAGCTAACGGAGGTAGCAACCTAGCTACAACCGGAGTTAACTGTGCACAACACCAGAGCTTCTGAGTCAGAGATACGCCGGGCTGACCGCTGGGTAAAACTGGGTGGAACACAGAGGTCTCGGAGAGCTCCACAAGCCGGCAGCCGCACAGCAGACAAGTGCTGCTGCGATCTGAGATACGCAGAGCTGCCGCTGGGGAGAACCGGGTGGAAAGGTTTCCATCCCAGAGCTCCACAAGCCGTCAGCCCGCGCAGCAGACAGAAGCCGCGATCAGACAGAGATGCGGGGAGGGGAGAACAGGGTGGAAAACATCTGTCTCCTAAGAGCTCCACAAGCCGATAGTGGGAACCCAGCTCCACCAACATGTTATATTTCAACCCATTTTCTAAAGTGCATTATTATGTTAAATGCACTGGGTTTTACCCTATTACATTTAAATTTCATGGTTAAACAGTACATGTTAAAATCTAAGCTCAGCTCGGCAGTGACCTAAAATACATAAATATAATTTTACTTACAGAAATAAATGAAGTGGAGACTCCTTGGACGCTCTATTAGTGCAATTAATGCCACAGCAAGTCATTTTGTCCAACAATTGCACAAAAAATATCCAAAAAAGAATACACAAACACAGAGACTCAAAATCCCGGAGCAGTTTCCAAGCCAGACCGAGGCTCTACTGAGGCCTTTCCACGGAGCTAGCTCTGTGGTCACGTGGGTCTGATGCTCATTAATTATACAGAATTTTAGGCTTTTAATACACTTAAACAGAAGAGTGAGAAAAAAATTCACCCCCTCAGAGTTGTCATGAGTGTAAACTAGATCATTTAAACCAAAAACATGTTTTGGTACCAGGCTGTAAACATGTTTATTTCTGCTGTGAAATTGGTATTTTTAACATGGGAGTCAATGAGGATTTGCTCGCTTCTGACACCAGCCCCCAGTGGATGAGGGTGGAACTGCAATTTTTGGTACTTCCGGGTTGGGCTTAATTTTAGAGCCACATTGTGAAGACTTGCTCAGACCAAACCACATCCAGACCTGTTATTAATAATATTGTGTATTATTTACACCAATCAGAACATTCAGTAATGTTCACAGACATTCAAACCTTATAAATGAAATAAAATCAATATTAAAATAAAAAATGATTTGTATTGTTTCTTCATTAAAAAATTTGTTATCTGTGAACACTTACAGCTGAAGCAGACATCTGCTGATTTCTAACAGAGCTCAGCTGTGGGAGAAGATATTCAGGCTTATTTAATTTTATTTTGCATCACCTGTTGGTTTAGTGCATTCACTTAATATTAATTATAAAATTATAAGTAACGGGTCACTCTGGGCATAGAACGTGTTTCTAGCAGTGTGGCAGCACTCGTCTAGTTGTGGTCAGTTCTTTGTTGTATGCTGCTTGTAAGGGAATCCTCTGTGTGTAGATGGACTAGTATGTTTTCTTCAGTAATGTGTGATAAAGCTTGTCATTTTCTTTTTTATATTCAAAATAATTTAATTCCTGAGGAATATGAAAAGTTAGTGCTCTTCTGATCTTCAAGCTCAGTGGCCTAGTGGTAGAGTGTCCGCCCTGATTGGGAGACCAGAGTTTGATTCCTGGTCGGGTCATACCAAAGACTTAGAAAAATGGGACCCAATGCCTCCCTGCTTGACACTCAGCATTAAGAGTTGGATTGGGGGGTTAAACCACCAAATAGTCCCGAGCGCGGTTGTGTCTGCAGCTCTCCGCTCCCCCAGGGGATGGGTCAAATGCGGGCAACAAATTTACACTGATGTGTGTGTGACAACTGATGGGACTTTAACTTTTTTAACTTTTCAACACACACCACACATTACAGGCTGGAAACTTAGGCCATATTGGGTCATGGTGGTGGACCTGGTGGCGCCAAACCTTCCCGCCATACCGTCTGACCGTGGTGGGGCAGGCAGTGCTTCATTCTTGGATACGGAAAGCAGGAGCATAGCCATGCAGCTGTTTGTCCTCCACTTCAAGGCTCTCCAGATTAGAAGCATCAGCAGGGCTGTTGTTACCGGTGTAGTCATAGTCTCAGGTGGAATTGTCGGATTCCCACACCTCATCAAAAAAGTCAATGGCTTTGTCCAGTGTGTAACTGTTGGCGACTAGAAATGCATCTTCAGCACCAGTAGCAAAAAATGTCACCTGACTCCGCTTCTCAGCTTTGGGTATAGTGGCACAAAATGGGCAGGTGGACTGAGTAGTCAAGGCAAGGCCCATAAGTTGAAGACTGAGATAGCCCTCACAGGAGGCTGTAATAGAGACCAGGGGTTCCATTCATTATGATTTATGTTCTGTTATTTCTGATTGAGTTACAGACAAAAGGTTTTGTTATTGAAGTTATTTATTTTATGTTGGACATTTGTAACAGATTCTTTAGAAGCAGAGGGACTGGCCACCCTTCCTGTGTAAAGAGGAAATGTTTGTTAAATGTCAATTTGTGTTTAAGTTGATCTCCAAAGTTTCACTCACCTTTCTGGTATTGTCTCCTCAGCAGGGCGGGGCAGCAAAGGGAAGTTTGTGTCCCAGGTGCCGCTTTTAAGCTGCTGGAGCATACCACTTAAATAAGGAGGTGTGATTCTTGGAAGAGTTATGCGAAACCTAGTTTCTGTTGTTTGATTTAACTTGGATTTATTTAGTATGATTTGTATTTATGTAAATAATGTTTGGTACCATTTATTTTGGTGGTTGGGTTCTGTAAATATTATTTAGTCATTATTTCTTTGATTACCCCTCTTGTTGGTTTCTTCCAATCAGTCACTTAGTTATAAAAGGCAGTGAGTGTTGGTGTTAGGCAGATGTTGGTGTTGGTGACAACATGTTGCAATAAAGCCACCTCAACCTGATTTATTTGTTTGCCTCTCCTTCAAACCACGTGCCATTGCCGGTCAAAACTGAGAGGCTAATATAAATAATCCGGCAATATGGGCAGTGTGTCACTGGACATCTTAAAGGTATACTTCTTTGGTCATTAGTGAACAGGTATAGCTCTTTAGTGCTTTCTGCTGAAGAAATAACGGGATTCGAACACCGAACTATCCCCCTTTTTATATGGAGCCTGGAGAGACCCATCCAGTAGGTGGACAGGGAGTAAAGTTCTTCAGTGCTGTCATGGTTTTTTTTCTTAATGAATATATTTGTCTCCCATACAAGAGGAACTCTCAGGAGACCAGGAGATGATATAAATACAAAAAAATTTTATTTGTCAGAAAATAGTAGAGGCTGGCAGGTTCCGGAACCAGAGATTGGACCACTGGAAGAAATAATACAGGGGGTGACGAACAGGACGAGGAGGAATATAGAATTATAGTTGAAAGTTCTTACTGGGAGTAGATTGTAGTAGAACGTGGGAGTGGTGAGCCAGCACCGGGACTGTGCACCCATGAGGAGTTTCCAGTAGGAGCTGTGACTGGAGCAGCTTGGAAGTGAGTACAGGTAACTGAAATATGAAATGGCTTATGACGTAACGTTGAAGGGTGGGCAGGAGACACGGGAGGAGGACAGGAAGAGATCCAAAAGCCATGGAGTATTCAGCCATGGTTCTGGAGGGTGGAGAGAAAACTGAGCTGGGTTCAAGATTCCTGCAGGAATAAAACACGGGTCAGGAACAGGCAAGGTTTGGTTCTCAGGAACTTAGAACAGGGTCAAGTGGCTGGATGTTGCCTCCAAGGCAAACAATCTGGCGGCGAGCGGCTGGTTCCCTGCCTTCTTTATTCCTCCCGTCTGTTTGTGTGATTGGCTGCAGGTGAGCAAGGTGACTCTGCTGCAGAGATAATGAGCTGGGAGGAGTCTCCCTGAGCATCTCCATAGCTCTCAAACAAGCCTGTGAAGAAAAATCATACACCAACTACAACCCCAGATTCTGACAAGTGCCGATGCACGGAGAAACGCCCTAGTGAGAGCCCTAAAGGGCAAAGCCCAAGTAGGCACACAAACACACTCGTCTTGCACAGTTCTACCCCCCTGAAACAGAAGCAACTGAGAAGGCTTCAATTCCTACTAGACCACATCAAATATATTGAAAAAATGAATGAGTGATACCATTAAAATCGGCGTGTTTAGATGCACATCTAAGTCAACCTAGGTCTGTTTACACCAATAAACTGGGAGCCTTTACCTTCTTTAAATGTACGGTAGAAAACCAAACACTCAAATGAAGTGTGTTCCATTCTGCTACGGTAGGTAGCGAGCGATATGTGCCATTTTGGCATTCTTCCCATTAGCCTATAGCATTACAAATAGTAAACGCTGGTAGGAGCGAAGCAGATGGAGGTAAAACCGGATATACACAAGAGCTGAAGGAGTGGACAGCGACACCTCTGCAGCCCAGTTCACGTGGTGTGTGCTGTACTGTTTGATGGTATTACACACGTTACATTGTGATGATATCAGAAAACTGCTTCTGCTGTGACTTCTGTTCATTTCCGGAAGGGAAGTGTCCAATTGGTATTAGCTCGGCTGAGCTATTTATGTGCAGAGGAAGTCTGGTTCCAACCGCATTATCTGGGTACTTCAGCTTGATTAGAACCAGTTAGCTTTCAGCCAGACTAATTTGTTTGCATGTCTTTCAAAAACATCAGTCTATTTAGGGGATAGGTTATTTTACTGCATATAAACGCACTGACTGTTGTTCAAATAGGAGATACTTTAGTTCAAGTTTCCAGTACTAACTGAATAAATGATGACCCTGTCACTACAGATGGTGACTTTTGTATTTGTGGTACTAACTCTTTGTCTCTTAGGTTACTCTGCTGCCCAGACCAGTTGTTCAGAGAGTGACTCGGATAACTTTAAGAGATCTGCTCTTGTGTATGGAGCAGGAGCCTTTTCTACGACACTCTCTAACCCACTATAAAGCTATGCTTTGATTTGTCTGAACAGTTAGAGGCTGATTTCTCTTTATTTACAATACACAGTCTGGGTATGTTTAGTGTATGGTTTGGGGGTAAAATTACCTCATTGTATGGTCCAAAAGTTGTCCCAGAAACAAGGTTCATACTTGTTGCTACAGTTTGGGTTTAGTTTATTTAGGAAGAAACGAAAGGTTGCTATTAATGAACTTGAGTTGTTTTTCTGTTTACTTGTTTTTTTTTGTTGTAAACTAAGTTAAAAATGTTCTTCTATAAGTTAAATTTGTTTGTTTCAATATTAAATTTAAATGAGAAAAATATTTTGTATTTGTGAAGTTTCTCGTAATTCCCACGACTGAGGCTAAACAGTTTTCTACATTTCACCATTTTTTGTGAAAAACTATTTTATGTGTGAAAGATGTTATGCAACAAACTTTCCTTATAACACATCCCACATTTGACCAAAACAACCATAATTACACAATTTCTCAGCACAAGATTATTTTCGTTTCAAACTCTGGTTTGAAAAGCAGTTGGTGATATAAAATCCTTAACCCTCTCCGGCTCAAAATAAGTTTTGATAAAAGGACGAACAACTAAGTCCTTCAGGGGTACTTCTGAGTTAAAAAATGCACATGAAATACATATGTGGTGTAATCAGGTAGGTAGATTTTAAAGGTGCAAATCTGCAACGGCTGCCTCCAGTGGGTTAAAGGTATAATTTTTTGCATTAATTTCTACTTTTAAGGATTTTGAGTTCCACTCTTTATTTTACAAAAGGATGTCTACTTAACCTGTTCCATAACACTTCTAAAAAAATTACCATAGGGTTCTTAACCCCTTCTTTCTACGTGAAAGCATCGTGATACAGCAGGAAATTGAACTACATGGCAATTAGCCGCTATTATAGTGAATTCCTTTTCACTGACAGCAAAATGTGACGTTTTGGTTGCGTCCCAGAAGCAAGGGGATGGCATAATTACGGTTCACATCTATTTTTGATGTGCTACGCTTCCAAAACGTGTCAAATTCCGCAGTTTAGATTGCACTGACAGGATATCAAGCACAAAAGCAATGTAATACACATCTGGAAACATTCAAAATAAAAGGTAAGTGCAAGTCAACAGACTTGATTTCCTGTTAAAACCCTTGTAGCCGATGTAAACAGAACAGAAAATAAACCACAGATCTTTTTTGGTACACATAGCTGTCTTTCTCCTTACCTTTTATTCTGTGGACTTTTGAAGTCATGCGTGGTGTTGCAATTCTCCTGTGATTTCGTGACATCACGGGATCAGTCATGTGACACACTTTAGCTCTCGTTTCGTGCGCGGCGTAGTGCAAGAGTTAAGTGCCAAGAGACAAACCATGAACACCCAAGAAGCACCATGTAGACCACCATACCATACCATACCAGTTTTATTTATATAGCACATTTAAACACGGCATGAGAGCTGACCAAAGTGCTGAACAAAAACACACAATAAAAACAATCAAAAATAAAAACTAAAACCATTAAAGTCGAGTAATCCAACTCGAAAAGAAAAGGAGAAAGAGAATAAGTTAGACTGAATTAAAAGCCAACGAATAAAAGTGAGTTTTTAAACGAGACTTAAAAAGGGAAAGAGAGGAAGAGAGTCTGATCAGGAGGGGCAAGTGGTTCCAGAGCTTCGGTGCACAAACTGAAAAGGCGCGCTCCCTGCAGGATTTACAGCGAGAGCTAGAGACATGTAGGAGGTGCTGGTCGGCTGATCTGAGGGATCTTGTAGGGATATAAGGGTGAATGAGCTCAGACAAGTAGCCAGGTGCTAAGTTATTGAGGGATTTAAACACAAAAACCAGGATCTTAAACTCTATCCGGAGATGGATGGGGAGCCAATGAAGACTTGCTAAAACCGGTGTGATGTGTTCTCGCTGCCTGGTGCCAGTCAAGAATAGAATAGTCGAGACGGGAAGTAATAAATGCATGGAAAACTGAATGGAGATGACGGCTTTTTAAAATGGGCTCAACTTTAGAGACGCCTCAGGTGGTAATAATAGGTCTTAACTACCTGGTTGACATGAATGTCCATTTTTAGTTTAGCATCCATCACAACCCCTAAGTTTGTGACACAACAAACTGTTGGAGCTGGCGAACATGGAACTGCCATCTGCAACGCTGGGAGGAAACAAGCTCCATCAGGATGTTCTTTTATTCTTCCTAACCTGCAGACTGTTGGGCCTGGTGGGTTGTCCTGATAGTGGGGCAGCTTGGTTACCAGACCTCTGTGGCCAAACTGGTCAAGGTGCTGAGCCAGAAGGAACTGGTTAGGATGCTTGAGGCTTTGGGTGCTTCAGGATGCAGAACTGAGGTGGAGCTCGAGCGGCTGCCTGAGGAAAAGGCGGACAAGCTGGCGGAGCAGAAAACGGCTTTCAGAGAAGGCAAAGTTGGAGTGCTTCATCCTCCTTTTTCTTTGCCTCACACTGTTGTTGCATTGAAGCCAATACTCTCGGGTACAATCACCATGTCCAGAATGTCCTTATTCTCTATCAGAGAAGTCGGTGAGGTTCAGTCATCGAACACGTTCCTGAAGCACCATCATGCCCATAAATTTGCACTGGGCCTGGACTACGCAGTGTTCCACATGCAGGCAGATGTCGGTCAGCACGGTGATATCCCTCCACACGTCCGGGTTGAGCTTCGTGGTTTTGTCCTCAGTGAACTCAGCTTGGAACTCTGAGAACATGGATGAGACTTTCAAAGCTCAAACCAAGAGGGCAGCGGCCTTGTACGCCCTCTTGTTTTGCACCGACTGGAGGTGGTCCACCTTTGAAGGGAGAGTAGGTGGTTTGGAGGTCATTGGCGAGAGCCGTGGGTGCAGGTTGGCTGCTGCCATTGGTGGCATGTGAAGCATTCCATTTTTTTCCATAACCTCCAAATCCATCGAGGAGGCTCCTTGGACAGGAGACCTGGAGCTGAAAGGGTGTTGGACCTAGAGTGCTTTAACGTCTTCAAGAAACTCTGGGAAAACAGGCAGGAAAGGTTTTCCGCCGCAATCGTGGTCCAGGGGATGTTGAGCCTGGTTGCAACACATCAGCAGACTGACTAAATGTCTAGATGAGCGGCGGGAGAAACTGCTCCATCCTTGGGAGAGGGCAGGAAGCTAGGCAAGAGTGCCTGAGCGAGAGGGAGAAAAATGTCCTCCCTCTGAAATAAGGAGTTCTGAGGTGTCCTTGTTGTCTCTGTAGTCCAACTTCAGCACTTTCTTGACAGGGTGGTTCAGAGCGGCTAGTTTGAGCTGGGAGCGCCAGCTTAGTTTGGCACAATGTTCTGGTTCCTGGAGGGCCTGTTCATCGGCGTCCGTGGACAGCAGCCCGGGAGCCGGCAGTCTTGGGTCTCTCCACAACAAACTAGCTTGGCGCACTAGCCGACGATTAAGGCAGTTCAACGTGAAGCAAGCAAAGCTTTTGCATGAGTCAGGGACTTCCACTGCTTGCCGAGCTTGTTCCGGCCCGAGCTGACCTGTTGTGGGTCTTTTCTCGACATTTTGTTCCTGCAGGTGCAGGGGCAAGCTCCCGTTTCTTTGACCCCTCTAGTGGGAGGAGTGGTTTCCATGTGGGCTAACGAGTGTGTTAGCTGAAAGAGAGAACAACAGCTCACTGTGCCCCAAACGTATAGTAAAAAAAAAAGTAAGAGAAAGTAAGTCAGCGTCGAGCGAGAGAGTAAAAGGGTAGCTGGCTCCATCTGTGAAAAGTTCAGCTAACTTACCTGGGAGATAAGGTACCACTAAAGTGAGAAGAGGTGGTTGAATGACATGTGCGTTGGGACCCTTGCTATCGATATTAGTATGTGATGTGAGCGTCACGGTCACTGGCGAATCAGGATTAGCATACAGAGAAAAGTGCTTCTGAGGAATCCGCGAAGGGGCGTATTTCCATAGTGAGACATCAAAACAAATGTTAAGAGAACTCAAAGTCAACAGTGCCTTCTAGTAAAAAAAATAAAAATAAAGTACAAGTGATGTAAGAGAGAGAAGTCATTCGCTTATTAACGGCTGCATACACTGAGCTGTACCAAGAGATGTTGACTGATTCGGAACAAAAATTTCCCTACAATTTTGGTGCTGTATGCCCACAACCATATAATTGAGCCAATTGCAATATCTAATGCTGGCAGTCAAGAGACATTTTATTTAAATTATTTGTTAAATTAAGAAATAACCTCACGATAATTTCACATCACTGTAGACTATTTGCTCAACACTACTGCATTGTTGTGCAGTTGGTAGCTCTGTTACCTCGCAGCAAGGTCTAAAGCCCAGGTCTCTGTGTGTTATTTGGCTCTCGCATACGATATCTTCATGTTGTTCTGTGAGGACTCTAGAGAGATGTCGTGCTGTACAGTGCAGGATCTCGGTGAGCCAAACTGCATGACATTTTGCTCTAGCAGGACAAGCTATCCTATTTGTATTAAGAGCTTTTTGGGAGCATACTTTTCTGAAAAGCACGTCACTAAAAGCTGATAGACACCCAACAATAAAGATGAGAGTTAAAAAAAGGCAGGGTTAACACTCCCTGGTTGTATTTTCATTGGTCAATTAGAGACCAGAGTCTAGGTTTTCTAATGCTGCTTGAAGAATGTTGGAAGCTAAATTTGGTCGTGAGAGTGCTCAACAAGCTGTCACTGGACTGTTGCACTGGGCGACTACAGACCTGCAGTTCACCCTCACATTTAATGTTTTTTGTCTTGTTTTTTTTTATGATGGATTTGTCTAGGATGGCTGAAAACAGTGTGGCCCGGGCCTTACGTTAAATACCCAGCTGTGCCCTTGCTGTGTGGAATTGGCATGTTCTTACCAAGCAAGTATGGGTGTTCTTTGAGTACTCAGGTTTTCTCCCACAGGCCTAAAACATGTATGTGAATTTTATTTTTTAATTTCTTTTGTGAAATGAAAGGAGACTAATCCAAAAAAAGGCCTTGGCAAAATCTCATTGCTTCAGTCTCTTAATAATTTGACCTCACATTTTTCTTAAAGTAATACTCAGTCAGGGACAGCTAAACCCTCTCCAGTTGGCTTACAGGTTTGGATGATGCACTTTATCTGACTGTAGCTCAAAAATCCTGGTTTTGGCTGAAAGGAATGCTGCTCAAACTCTACAAAAACTCATTGCATCATGGTTGGAGTTGGAGAACCAATAAATTACTATGGATTTTATGTAATACTATCATGAACTGAACTAGGAAGACCCGTGAAGACGCCAAACACAGTAAAAATATATTTAAAAAAAAGTCTTTATTTGAAGCAAGAGTTACCAGAGTTGGGCGAGGCTGGAGATAGTCGGAGAGGAGGGGAGAGTCAAAACCAGATCGGACATGCAGATGCGGGGAACAGGCAAGAGGTGAGGCTGAGGACAGGCGAAAGTCGTGGAGGCAGGCAGAGTTCAGGCAGGGGTCAGGAGAAAAACGAGGTCCGGAGGGAGAGATCAGGCAGGGTGAATTGCTGGAGAATTTACTGGCACCAAGTCTTCAATAATCTGGCATTGAATGACTGCATGGCTGGTTCTTTTGTAGCAGGGGAAAACAGATGTGAGTGATGAGCTGAGGAGTCAGAAGCAGGTGAAGTGGATGAAGCTGATTGTGGTGGTCAGGGAAACAGGGCTTGGCTGGGGCTTGACCAGGTGTGCTGCATGAAGGCAGAGGAGGGTGAAGGATTGGGAGTCATGACAAATTCAAGTGCTTTTCTCTGCTGCTGATCAAAAGTCTGGTGGTAGAACATATAAAAAAATGTGTGATCACTGATATAGGCAACAAACTTGTTGATGCAATCTAAAAGCATTTGTATTTTGTCAAAAGCTTTGATATTTTCTAGTTGACAAAACGTTATGAGACAATTTTATTGAGTCTGTGTCTTATTGAGTCTGACTTGGTATCTAGAGGAGCCTGATCAGACTCCAGAGTGTTGTTTGGGGTTGATGTAAGTACCAGACATCTGAGGGTTTTAAGTAAGACTGAATTCATTCTGAGGGAAACCCTCAGCTCTCATCTGGTTATAGAATCAGGAAAAACAGATTAAAAAAATGTATTTGTGCAGCTGTTGGTTCATTTAACAAAACTGTTGCTTTCAAGTTTAGGTGGGTGGGACATTCTTGTCTTTCTGTTTCTTCTTGCTTCTGGATGTTCTTTTGTACCCATCCCTTCTTCCACCCCGTTACATCTTGGGGTCCCGGTTGACCTGTTTGTAACACGTTCAAGTGAGAATTTCAGTTCAGTCCTGGATTTCCTGTTTAAGCGCAGGGGGGTGCCGACTGCCTTGAACATTCCTTCGTAGAATGTATTCACTGAACTGGGAAGAGTCCACTCCACCTCCACTTGAACCGATGATCCAGAACCCTCTTTGCTGTAACCGCTCCAGAACCTGCAGTCAAACACAAACCATACAAAAGCTTGAAGATTCTCAGATCTGACTCAAACTATAGGCCCCGCCTCTTCTGCTGGTAATAGCTGAACCTGCAAAATTATGCCTATAACCAGGTGAGAAAGCAGGGCTTTCAGCCAGTCATGTAGGTGGGGCTTCTGTTCTTTCCTCAGCAAGTGGAATGCATGTTAGAACAAAACAAACTTGTATTTTTCTCAAATGTTAAATGACATGCATGGCCTTCGAGTTCCACAACCCCCTAAGGTGCTTTACAACACATTGGTCATTCACCCATTCACACACTGGTGGTGATGTTGGACATTGTAGCCATGGCATGCTTACAAAAGTGAAGCTCCTGTACACAGGTTCCAGCAGTCCCTCAGACCACCACTAGTGAGTGATGCTAGTGAACCTCCACCCCACCATAGTTTAGAAGTTTAAGGCCTAGTCCACACGTAGTCGGGTTTTTTTTTAAACGGATATCCGCCCCTCCAAAAACTTGCATCCACACCACCTCGTTTAAAAAAAAACTGTCCACACGTACCCGGATAAATACGTTGTTAAGGACATGCCAGACCTGTAGGCGGCAGTACTTCCCCCGTTCTTAACCTCGTCCTTCGTCTGTGGTCTTCCGCAAGGAGCAGTAATTCTGCTTGCAAAAACAAACAAGCAAAAAGCGCTTGGACCATTGATAAAGCGAGCGCAGCTCTGAGGGCATCCATGCTGTCGGCTAGTGTAAACACAGGTAACACACGTGATGTCAGAATTTCTTTTGTCGCGGAAAGTGACGTTGCGGACCTTAAAACTCCGGTTTTGTCTGTCCACACGCAGACGCCCAAAACGTAGAAAACGCGGATCTTCACTTTGGCCGGAGTTTTAAAAAAGATCAGTTTTCGTGTGGAAAAAACTCAGTTTTAATGTGGATGACAGGCCAAAACGTAGAAAAATATCTACGTTTTGGCAGATCCCCGGCTACATGTGGACAGGGCCTAAGTGCCCCAATGATCCTAGGTGTTATGTTGTCTTGGGCACTTTGGCCCCTGGGATTTGAAAGGCAAGACCAGGAGTAGTTCGGATTACCTTTCATGGAAGTGACAACAGCATCCCCACGTACAAAGCCTGGATTTGCTCTTCCTCCCAAGGGCTGTTTCTGTCACTCCTGCAATATTTGTGTTCATCACTGCTACCATCCAGACCCAATAATTACTCATTAAAACATATTTTAAATATACTTAGTGGGCGACAATAGCAGAGGAGTTAAGTGCCCGCCCTCTAACCGTAGGGTTGCAGTTTTGAGCCCTGCTCAATCTGTCACAATGGTTGTGTCTTTGGGCAAGGCACTTAACCCATCATAAGGGAGGGATGAGTGGATCTGTCAAGTCCGTGGATCCTCCCACATGCGCTGGATGTTGCGCTTTTGTGTGCATCCTAAATGTTGGACGAATGTCAACCCATAAAGACGGCTTCAAGTGAAAAGCCAAAACTGTCAAGACGGGTAAAGAAAAATCCACCTTTCTTACAACAATCCTTGCCATCTAGAAGAAAATTTTGCAATACAACTAGAAAAACAGGCATCATGAATTTTAATAATTGAGCCTTGTTTTACAAGGGGAACCAGATCAGACTTGTTTGGGTGTGATAGAAGTACCAGACACCGGAGGGTTTTAAGTAGGTTGTTGTAAGGCACAGTTGGAAGTTCGCTGTTGCCAGTCTCAGAGGTGACCATCTGACCCACTAGGTCAGGGTGTCAGGATGAAGAAAGAGGTCTACATGAGACGGGCAATTGCTGAAGGATATAGTCTAGCAGTCAAAGGCATACTTTTGGAGCTAAAGCCAGGAAAGGATGAAACGTGCTGCTGAGATAGTCAAACATCTACATTATGGTGGAGTCCTGGGTGTTAAAATGTAGGACTGTTTTGGCTGACATGCTTCTGCAACTTTACATGGACATCAGGGGTTGTGCTTGTGAAATTGCAGACCAGGTTGGTGATTTCCATTTCAAAGGACCAGACTTTGGACTAGGTTTTTCCCCTTGCTAAGGTGCTGGCTCTTCTTGTCCCTACCACCAAATATGTCCGTTATCATAGGAAGATAACATAAATAGAAAGGAGACAATTGGGCAAAAATGCAGATACATGAGCTTAGCACCAACCACACTAGTGGAACACAGAGAGCTGAGTGTTTTTCGTACCTGAACAGAGCTGAAGTGGCAGCTTCTACTGAGCGGAAAGCGAGTGACGTACGAGGATTCCTGCTTCCACGTGGAGAAATCCTCTCTCAGCTCAGGAAAAACCTCCTCTAGGACAACCCTCTGGGAGCTCACGCTTATCTTCTCTCCAAGCTCTGGAGCTACATGAAGCACGACACACTCGCACTGTGGACATGTTTCCTGATGCTGCTGCTCGTTCCTCTTGCGCTGCAGCTCTGCCTGCAGAGGAGCGAGCTGGAAGAAGGTGGCTTCCTCATACAGCAGAGCGTATTCCTGCACAGCACAAATTCAAACAATAGAATAACTGGTCTCACGCTGACGCAGCGAGACACGTGGACCTATCTGGTCGGAGCTGTGAACACAAACTTACTGTGAAGTCGTCAGGGATGAGCAGTTTGGAGGTTCGGAGAAAGTTCAGCACGTGGCGGAACATGAGGCCATCTCGATCGATGAAATAGTGCTGCTTTAGACTGTCCAACACGACGGGTTCTGATCCATCAAACAGGCGTCCAATTCTGTCCCAAAAATGAGAGACAAAGTGAGATTATCTATGGACAAACGAGATGTTTGAGGCCAATTGGATGCTGTTTAATTAAGATAATCCAGACCGTTAAATTCTCTCGCCTTTCACATTCTACTCTCTCTAAAACCTTCAGTTGCACTACATACATTTGGATGACAACACTTCCTAGTTGGTTCTCTGGGTTTAATTTATGGCGTTCCATAAAAAAATGTATGGATGGGGATGAGGATTATGATCGTGACGACAAAGAAGAGAGTATTGATGATGGTGTTAAATCATGTAGTATAAGGTGAAGATGATAATAATGAGAATGATGATAAAGATGACGAGGATAATGGAGATAAAGAAGATGATGACTGATGAAAATATTGACATTTACAAAACATCCAACCCTAAATGCTCCCGTGTGAGTGTGTGTGAGGGGGAGCTAATGAGCGAGAGGGTGAGTGAGGAAATGCATTGTATAGTCTAGGGCAGGGGTGTCCAAACCTGGTCCTGGAGGGCCGGTAACCAGCAGGTTTTGTGGTTTTTCTGCTTCAACACGCTTGATTAGCTGGTTGAATCGCCTGTGCAGCAGCTCATCAGGCTCTGCAGAAGCCTGTTAATCACCTGCTGATTGAAATCAGGTGTGTTGAAGCAGGTTAAAACGAAAACGTGCTGGATACCGGCCCTCGAGGACCAGGATTGGACACCCCTGGTCTATGGGACCAGGTTTATAGCGCCAGAGCCGCCAGGTCTAGACCTGTTCTAGGTGTTAATGGAAAATACGTTTACTTGTCTGAACACTGGGTAGAAAGGAAAATACAGAAGTAGATAGATTTACTTTAAAGAGCAAGTCACCCCCTACAAGAAACTTAGTTCACTCCCTCTTCATGTTTAAAAAAAATGCAACAAATGATGTTGCCTAGCAGACCGAGAGGGCGGAGCCACTAACAAATACACACACACAGGCTCACAACGGCATTGTGACATAATGTACCAGTTTACATCATAGCATACGTCTTAGCCAATAGCTGTGGCAGATTTAAATTCAACTGCAGTGCAGAGTTTTTACCTGACAACGGCACGACACTGACAGTTTTAGGCAGAAAATTTAAATTTGAACTAAAATGCAATAAAGTGCAAAACTATTGACTACACGTGTCTGCAGCACGATTAGACACGCATTTTTATAGTTTATCAGGGGGAAAAAAAGCTGATTTGGGGGTGACTTGCTCTTTAAAAAATATAAAGAATCCACAGAAAATAAGTTTCATTTGTTTCTTAGTGTTGTGAATGTATGTTCAGGGTCTTACAGGGTTAATAACTGAATTATAAAGTTTAGCTCTGTGTGGAACACTCACCTGGACTCTGGGTATTTTGTGAGAGTGGCCAGGCTGCTGGTGTACATGTGACCTCCTACATCAATGTGGACTGGTGCATTTGTTTTGTTGAGCTGGGCAGGTGCGGGGAGCCCAGAGGAGCCCCCTTCAGACACAGAAGCCAGCTGCTGACACCCTGTGCTGCCACTGCTGTCCTAAAACACACACGATCACATTCAGTCCGCAGAAGTTGAAGTGCTTCTCTGTGTGTTACCAGCATTCTGCAACACCTCCAGGACTAAAATAGTTTAGATCAAAGTGTGTTGAAGAATCAGAACAGATCCATCCAATAGGATAGGTTAAAAAAAACAACAGCTTAAAATGTGTTTTGCTGTGTTCCGTTTCAGAACACCAGCGCCCCTGAGCGTTTGGAGTGGAACAGGTCCAGGTGCATGGACCTTACCTGTGAGGGAGCCGGTACCGGGCTCCGGACAGGCTCCGCGCCCAGCTCTGGGCGGAGGCGCGCCTTTTTGGCGTGGGGTGCTCCGGGCTCCTCATCGGCGCTGAGTCTTGTTGGCACCGGGTCCATTCCGGTCCCGTCAGTGACTCGGTGCTTGTGGAGGCGGGACTGCGAGTGACCGTTGGCCGTTTCTGCGGCGGCAGGAAGCGCGGTGGCCCGCGTGCAGCCTACGATGCTGTTAAGCGTTGCTATGGAAACGGCGCCGATGCAGTGGTTCGTATAAGTCTTGGAGAGTTTGGCTGCGCGCGACAACATCTGCATCCTCGTGCCCAGGAGGTTCTTCCCGATGGCTTTGTTCTCGAACCATGTGACGTCGCTCGCGCAGCAGTGGTCCCGCGGCCGCTGGAAGAACGCTCTGCAGAGCGGGTTCCGTTTGGACACGAACCGGACAAAGCTGACGTACGGACACTGATCCGTGCCTGTCTCGTACATCCGCGGCAGAGTGTCCTCGTCTGCCTCGGGACGCCTCCGAGTCCAGGCGGCGGAGCGGGACTTGTGGTATGGACCCAGAGCCTTAAAGTACACAAACTTTCTTCCTTCTTCATCCGCGGCCAGACCGAAGGAGTCCTCCTCTAGCTCCCGCTGGTTCTCCCGGCCCCTGGTGCAGAAGTACATGCAAGTCTCGAACCAGACCTTGTTCAGCAGTCCGAATGGGGTCTCGGTGTTGAACACGGGGGACTCGTAGAGTTTTCGAAGGTCTGAACGTGTGATGGCTTGTTTCTGGACCACGGGACCCGCTCCGTGCTCCTCCAGCCTCCGGATGACCGCGGCCAGGGTCAGGTTGGCGCTGCGCAGCTCGGGGTCCTTGGTGAGGTCCAGGGTTCGGCAGTAAGGTGGCTCGTTCAGATACCGGTTCAGGGAGCTCCTGATGCTGATCAGGGAGGACTTGCTGTACACCTGTCCGCTTTTAGAGCGCGCCTCCGCGTAAAAAGAGCGCAGCACAGCGCAGAGCGCGTGCTTGTCCAGAGTTTCAAATTCTGGACTTTGGGCTTTGTCACTGAGGAACTCTCTGAAAATCCTCACCGCATACCGGGTCGCCAGTCGGGTGTTTTCGCTGAGCCTGTTCGGTTCTGACTGATAGAGGTCTTCACTGGACTCCTGTCCCCGGTCCAGATTCCGCATCAGGACCGCCTGAGTGCCCCCTGGTGTGCGTCCTGGCTCTGGATCCTCATCATCTCTGGTGGTGCCCTCGTCCTCCCCCTCCTCTGAGATCTGGACCTCCTGGTGCTCATCATCATCATCCTCCTCTTTGACCCTCTCGGGGTCCCGGTCCGTGTTCTTGCTGACAGACATCTTCGCCATATTGCGGTCCATAAAGCGCTCGATTCGGTATCGCGCATGCGCCATATCGGACCGCATCGCTGAAAGCCTTTTGTGTTTAAGTGACCTTCATCCGTGCGCGCTTCGGGGAGCGCGCAAAATTTGTGTGCGCGCTCCCCGCTGCAGTATTGGACTGAATATGAGCCCAGCAGCATGACTGGGCTGCAGACAAACCCGGAGCCGGATTCACTTCCATGGAATGGAGCTGCTTCGTTTTCCACCTGCTCTAACTAGTTGTAACGTCCAGAAAAGGTCCATTTTGATCCATATATTGACTTACATAATGACTGGTCGTCTACAGAAGTAATTCCACTATCTAGGTGGATTTTCTATTCTATCTTCTAACACCCAGAAGAGTCTGCAGTGCTTGTTGACATTCCATAAAGTCAAGATTGTCAACCTAGGTCTCCAAACAAAGGCTGTCCTCTTATCTCAGACTGCTGGATTCCACACTCAGAACAAAAAGTGAACTTTTACAACTCATAAGTTAAATAATCATATGGTTGAATGAACCAATGTCAGAAAACCACACCTTCGAGATACAAGATTTGATCCAGGACATGCTTGAGGGTTTTGGGACTGTCGGGTTGCGGTCCCACTGGACTGGAGGAACTGTTGAATTTTGGTTTTTATCAACATCCATCAATCATTTGAACATTCTTGGGGATCTAGCGCCTAACTTTGGGAGTTAGAGGGGACAACTCAAATGTGTAATAGGTTTTGTCATTTATTTTAGGTTAAATTAATAATAGATTTATCACAAATAGTTAGGGCCTTTACTTCATGTAATTTAATCGTTTTAGTTTATGCGTTATGTCACACCCTAGTCATCAAATCAACTCAAAACACCTGCAAAGGTCCCATTCTGGGTCGGTAGGATTCACAGTCATGAGGTGGACCGATGACTGGACACACATCTAGAAGACCAGGGTATCTGCAGGTTTAAGGGAGTCAATTTTAAGACTTTTTAAGACCTTTTTTAAGGCCACTTTGACCAAATTTAAGCTATTTTTAAAATTAAATTTAAGCTATAATTTCCAGCTATTGTCTGGAACCGATGCGAACCATGTGGTGAACGTGGGATTAACCATCCAGTTACCATTAAACTTGCACTTCCCCATGGCGCAAACTCCCACTAGCTTAACCAGCTAATGTGCTCATCTAAAGATAGCCCCCTTTCACAACCAACTGAATGTGTACGGTTCCGCTTACGCCAACATCGTACACAAAAAATGCTGAACACCAACTAGGAATTCACGAAAATTTGACAGAAATAAAAGAATCTTGTTTATTGGGTCTTTGGTAATTTAAGACCTTTGGGATTATTTTTCATTTTTAAGGCCTTAAATTTGGAAAAGCTAATTTAAGACTTTTTAAGGACCCGCGGATACCCTGAAGACAGTCATGGACACCCTCATAAGGAGGAGGTTGAAATGGTGATCTCTTTCTGCTGCAACACTGGACCTGTAGCTCAGAAACAAAAACGCGGGGCCGGATGTTGTAAACAACTTTGTTAGGAAAAGCACCTTTCCAAGTAGTTTTTGGTCAGACAAGGGCATCAACTTTAATACCAATATTTCACTGAACACAAACACTATTCTTCTACAGTCCACATGGAGGTGAAATTCTTCATTGTTCAGCAGCTGTACAGTGATATTCTTGTTGGTCGTGTTGGTGAAACCCCAGCCGAGTTCAGAGTCAGGCGGGTATGCGGCTGCGCAGGTACTCCAATACTGCATCAGTTCCTTTGGACACAATGGCTGCTCTGGGAGTGCGGAACGGGTTCCCCTCCAGACTCAGGCACCTGTAGATGAACACACACACAACCTCTGCAGCCAGAAACGTTCAACATAAAAACATTCACGTTTTTTCTAAGTGTTAGTTTACAGCAGGGGGGTGATCCCCGACAGGAGGTGTTAAAATGTGAAGGAGGGGGTAACACAAGAAACATGATAGTGGGTTTAAAATTGGTTTAGTTGTTATAAAAGGTTCTAAAAACAAGAGTGGAAACAGATGGCGAGCATTATTAAAATGATGCAAAACTAAAAATTCACTATAAAGTTAACAGTTAAGACAACTTATCAACTATATAAAAACACCTGGTTATAACTTTCTTAAAAGTTTTGCCAAAACTGAAGGTGTTTTAAACAACAATAACAACAACTTGACATCAGTCATGGAGAGGAGGGAACAAGGAGTGGACGGTAGAGAGGGGGGACGGGTGCAGGGAGGGTGTTAAGTTTAGAAGATGCTCTCTGAAGAGCAGGGTCTTCAGGAGTTTCTTGAAAATTGAAAAGGAAGCCGCTGTTCTGGTAGTGCTTGGAATATAAGTATATGGTATATGTAGGCATGAAGAGACATGTTACTGTAGGTATGAGTGGATGTAGGTGTGTCTGTTTCCCTTATTTTATTTTATTTTTTCTGGGAGAGGGCTGAGTTGGGGGTGGGGTGGGAGTGTGACTTGTTTAAGTGTTGGGGGGGGGGGGGAAAGAAAAACATAACTTTGCCTATGTGATGTATATTTTTTACGTTGGACATTTTATAAAGTTTAAAAAAATAAAATTTCAGCATCATGAGATCTGATCGATCATTACATTTATTTTTAATTCAATAAACGTCTCTAAAGAAGAACCGGTTTCAGCTTGTCAGACTCATCTGATCTCTCTCAGAAAGAGCGGTGAAAGCCAGACTTCCCTCTGAATGAGACTGAACAAAAGGACTTCCACACATCAGGAGGTTTCTGGCTCTCACATTTAAAGGATCCTGGTTGGCTCAGAAATATCATGATGTCCTGTTTCGTCTCTGGTCTAAAACCAAACCTAGTTTCCAGCACCAGTAACTATGGCAACAGGCCCCGTTCTGCTTACCTGAGGCTGGTGCACAAGCCCAGCTCAGGAGGGATGTTCAGCAGGTCGTTGTTTGATAGATCTAACGTTGTCAGACAAGCCAGTTTCATCAGACGTCCTGGATCCACCACACACACCTGGTTGTTTCCTAGCAACACTGTCTCAAGAGAGAGGACCTCATATAGGACTTCAGGAAATGACTTGAGTCTGTTGTGAGACAGAAGAGTGAACAATTGAGTCCGGACAATGAGTGTGCTGTAAGTGTGCAGAGTTCAGCGCATTACCAAGCCTCCAGTCCATCTAATCGACCAACCAGGAAAAAGCCAAATATAAACAAGAACAAAATCTGCAGTTAGTCAAACTGGTTAATAAAAGTTTACCATAAAAATCAGCTGAGATTCTAAATGATGTCTAAACAACACATTAACTGATATTTCTCTTCATATCAGTTCTGGTTTTCCTGAGTACTCTATATTTCTCTCTTTCACCGCCTGTTTTCTTTAGCTGATGTAGACGAGTAACTTCAGCTGCCGTGTTGTTAGGACAGAACTCGTTATGGCTGCTTATTGGTGTATTAAACATGATGTTTAACTCAATCACTGCCATTGACGACTAAAGTCGTCATTTGCATTTTTTTACTGTGTGAGCATCGGAACGAGCCCCCGCGCTGAGAGAACAAACATCTCAGCCCTGAAGCCGATCTTCATCCGCATACGTCACAGATCACATGATCAGGAAGCAACACATCCATGTGTTTGGAGATCATTTTGGGCCGTTCCTGTAAAAAAAGTGAGGCGCGAACCGGAAAAGCGTCTGCCGATCACAATTCGACAACGGATTGTGAAAGAACAGATAATGCTCGAAACACGCGGATTCTTCCTGATGTAAGAGGTGAGTCATCTCATTGTTTAGGTTGTTTTGGCATCGACATCATCCTAGCGCGCAACGTTCTGTGACTCTTAAAAAAACAGTAAAAACGGTGAGAAATGCTGGCAGCGAAGGCCGTTAGCGATCAGGAAACGGCTGGCAGTGAATGAGTTAAGAAAAAAAAACTGATACGCAGTTCACAAACGTATATATGTGTTCATGTCTATGCGCAGTTGGCACAGAAAATAGCACCCCCTTCAGTTCCGGAAAGCCATTACACTTTTCCCATATATGCAGGGTATCTGCAGGTCCTTAAAAAGTCTTAAATTTGGCTCCCTTAAGCCTGCAGATACCCTGTATATGGTATGGCTGTGGCCTATGCCCACTCCCTGCCCTGTGCTACAAGCTGCAGCCAAGACCTTCTCCTTCTGCCATTTCCTGGTTGAGCAAAATGTCCAACAATACCTCCGTTTTTCAGCTGAGTTGTGTTTCTGTGGAGCATACAGGTTACCTTAAACCAGGGCACATTTTAGTTTTAACTCTGCTTCAGCACACCTGATTTTAATCAGCAGGTGATTAACAGGCTTCTGCTGAGCCTGATGAGTTGCTGCACAGGTGACTCAACCACTGAATCTAGTGTGTTGGACCAGAGAAACCACTAAAACATGCTGGATACCGACCCTCGGGGACCGAACTTGAATAGCCTAACCCTTTTACCGTTAACTGATCACCTCATGCTATTTAGTCATGCGTGAAAAACCAGAACAGGAACTCACCTGTTGTAACTCAGAATGATGGAACGTAGCTTAGTGAGGTTCTTCATTTCAGATGGTAAATCACTCAGCTGGTTATTCCTGAAACAGAATGTAAACGCTATTTTTAAGCCCAAAGATGGAACTATATTGTTATGTCTGGAATTATTTGCATGAGCTAAGTGAACACTGCTTTATCGGTCAATCAGTAGAGATCGAACTACAGTCCAAACCATGCTTCCAAAAATACGTGTGTGATGCACCTGAGGTCGATGTGTGTGAGCTGCAGTAACTTGCAGATGTCAGAACAGTCAGTCAGCTTGTTGAAGCCCAGATTGAGGTCTGACACTGAGGCCTGGAGCTCCATCAGTCTGTAGAGGAATCAGTTTAAATCGAGTTTAGCCTCTGCAGTCTGGCCCGTGCTGATGACTGCAGGTGTGTTTACCTGGGAGGTGTGGCCTTGAGCTGGTTCTTGCTGAAGTTGATGGTGGTAATGCCTTGATCTGATGCAGCATCGAACAGCTCATCTGGTATGCTGTCTGCATGTTTGTCACTGAAAACACACACACACACACACACACACACACACCCACCAGGGTTAGGGCAGTTATCTGGAGGCCTAAAGAGCCTGGTTGGTCAGTGGGGGAGCAGCAAATGGGTAGGGGGTTATTTTTAGGAGTTCCTCAATCCCACCAGCACATCTAATGAAACAGAGACTGAGGATGGATTGATGGTAACTCTTAAGTCATCAATGTAGTCAAACATCTACACAGTGGCAGAGTCTCAACTCCCAAGGGAAGATAGTTTCATCCTGGGAATGTCACGACTATGGATGTAGGACCATTTCTGTGGTCACTGGAGGCAGAGTCCAGGAGTGGTGGTTCTCATTTTTAAGAAAAGGGACCACAGAAGACCAGACTCCCGAATTCTAATTTGATGAAATAACTCAAGAAGATAAACCACAACTCTACCAAATGTTCTGTTGATGAGGACATCAATTTAAATTGTGTCAGTAGACTGGCTTCAAACACATTTACCAAACAACCTAATCCAACTGTTGTTGTTCCTAAACAAGCACACGCTGTGTGTGTGTGTGTGTGTGTGTGTGTGTGTGTGTGTGTGTGTGTGTGTGTGTGTGTGTGTGTGTGTGTGTGTGTGTGTGTGTGTGACTACGATGCTAACCTGTACTCCAGTGTCCTCAGAGTTTTGATGTTATGGACATTGACTCTCGCCATGGAGGGTAACGTCATAGCTGTTTGACTTTCATCTGCCTTCTCAGGGTCCTCTACATATAATATGGATAAAAATCAAACACACATGCATGCGCACGCACACACACACACACTCACACAAAATAATATTATAATTATATTATAAAATAAAATTATAATAATAGTCTCTTCATTGAGAAGACCCAGTATTTAGGAGACTGTGTGGCATCAGACAATTAAAACAATGATGAGGATCAATACATTTCCAGTGGTCTCTGGCAGGAAGCCATACTCGGGGTAATGCCTGGAGGTGTTTTCCTGTGTGGTGGAGTTGCTAATGCTAACAGTTAGATTTTACGAGTCAGGACGTTCGCTGCGGTTTCCTGGACGCTAAACATACAACAGCGTTCCCCATTGTGAGTCAAGATGGGTGAGTTCCTGAATGAAAGTGACAGCGTGACGTAGATCTGTCAGGTTTTTCTAATCCTAGAGTTTCACCATCTGTTTTCTATCAGAAGCTAATTCAGGAGATAGGGGTAGGAGACTATTTTCATGTTAAGCCTGCACGAAAAACTCAGTGACAGATTATAATCAGAAATGTTCAATATAATGAATTCATTATTTATTTATTTATTTATTGCTGTAACTAAATTCTGGGAAGGAGAACGTGACCGGGAGATATGATGTCTTGGCCCTGCTGTTGTGTCTCCATTCAAATGACTTCGCACAGACTTCAGCATATCAAGACTGCTTCGGCAGTGAGTGATGTCACTGATCAGCGCCAAAAAGTATCCAAACTAACATGAACTCATTCACTGCCAGCCGTTATCTGAACAGAAAGACCCTGACTGCCTGTGTTTTGAGTATTTTTACTGTTTTTTGAAAAATTCACAGAATATTGTGCTCTATGATCACTTAAACACCAAAATTACCAAAAGAAAGAGTAGACTTCCTTCTTACATCAGGAAAAATCTGTATGTTTCTAGATTTTCCCGTTCTTTCGCAATCTGTTGTCGAAGTGTGAGCTGCAGAAGCTTTGCTGGTTTGCGCCTCGCCTTAGACATAGAGACGTCCCAAACTGATCTCTTAATTCATGGATTGTCTGCTTCTTGATCATGTGACATGTGACATACATGGGTGAAAATAAACTTTAGAGGTGTGATGTTTACTTTCAAGGTGTGCAAGCTCATTCAATCCGTTAAAAAACACAACTGACGACTTTAGTTGTCAATGGCAGTGAGCAGTTGCATTTAAAATTACAACTTTATTCATCAATGGCAATGAAAGTTAATAACATTGAAAGTGTTATTCTGTTGAGGTATATCATATTATACCGGTAATCAATTTGGAGCACGAGAGCAGCTATGTGATGTAAAATGTGGCGTTCAATTACCAGAAGAAGCTCCGCTTTTTATGGAGCTCTGAGATGACGAAACCCCATGAATGAAGTTGTGGGGGATTTAGCCATGGCTGGAGTTGTGCTGGTTATCTGTGGAGCTCTGAGGGAAACCACAGAAACACTGCAGCTCTTTAAACAGATGCTGCTTCACTTTTGAGCTGCTCTACCGTGTTTTTATCGCCAAAAGCACCCAATAACCTCTGTTAGCTTTGGGTTTGCTCCGGTAGTTCGTAGCTCACCCTATTGGCTCCCAGCTCCGTATAGCTTTGGGGTTAGCGTGTAGCTAATCTCCCACTGATCTCAAACCGCTGTGGAGGAGTAGAGCGGAGCGTGGGCGAATGTACACGGTCTGGGTGGGCTCTGATCGCTGTGGTCTGAAGCTGTGCTTGTATTTTAACAGTCAATGCAGGTTCTAGCTCCGTGTTAGCTTCGGGGGTTAGGTCAGTTAGCTCCAAGGTACATTGGTTCGGAGGTTTTGGGAGTCAATTATTTGCTCCCACTGACCAAAACCAGAACTAGGACCAGAGACCACCTCTTAATGCCCTTTCACCAAAGACAAGAGCTGAGCTAAAATGTGTGTTGTGCTTTGTAAGGTAACGTAGCAGTGCAGACTAGCTGCTGCTGCACAGACGTGTGCTGCTTTTATTCAGAGGGTTTATTTACAGTCAACAAAATTAGATTTTACCTTTAATTCTTCCTCTGAGATACTTGAGAAGTTCACTGGTTCCTTTCTGTGGTGAAGACAAACAGCATGTTAGAGCTCCCTGCTCCGATCAAATGTTAACAAATATTAGTAAATTAATTTAATGAGAATTAATGGAAAACATGAGACCTACAGAAGTCTGCGTACTGGACCACATCCCAGAATTAAGACTGCCACATGCAATTATTTCAATAGTCGACGATTCAACAGTTTTTTGGGGTGATTAGTTGACTAATCGTGTCATGCGCAAAGTACAGCTTATTTCGCCAGAATGCAGCTGCTCTAATTTACCCATCATTAGCTTCGAGTTTGAAGTGTGATCTGTAATGTTCCTACAAATAAAGACAAGATGATAGCTCATCAAACAACAGGGGTCTCGTGTTCGTCACCATCAAGTTCAACATTGCCTCGGTCAGGACGTTTGGTTTGCGAGGCGTGCGTGTTAGCTTTGTAACAAACTCCTCAGTTAAAGAGGAGTACTTTTTTAACACTGCAACGTAGCGGGATGCCAGCTCGCTTCTGGTGATGTGCCGGTTGAACTGGATGGTGCATGTGCCTCGAGCACAAAGCAGCAGTCGTGCTGCAGCAGACAGGATAAAAAAATGTATTGTCGACATCATCGTGATGAATCAACTAATCGTGGCAGCACGATCCAGAATGCAACACAAACCGGGCTGCGGGAGGGCGTTTAGCTGAAACCAATAGTTTATACACATGACAGCCATGTTGGATCGAGGTCCAATCTTGTTCACAATTTCAACAGTCAGCTCTGGAGTTTGTCTGGAACCGACAGAAGCCCAGAGGAAAAGCAAAAAAATAGACTAAAAATGTTGTTTATCAAATTCAAGTGGACCATGCTCCTGAAAGTTAAATAGTTTAAATAAACTTGAGCCGTAAACGCCTGAGAAGACAACCTACTGATAAAACAAACCTAAGTGATTCTTCACATCAGTCATTCTTACTATTAACTTACAAATGCAGTCATCAAGAGGGCCCTGATTGGCCAAAGCTGTTCTAGACCAGGTTAGGCTTGTAGCATCAGTTACCATGGTGACAGACCCGGGTAGGAGAACCAGCCGTAGACTCATCACGTTTTCCTCGTTCTTCACGGGCCGTGATGCTCTTGGATGAAAACATCTGCCTCTTTAGCTCCTGATCAGCTGATGACAGCTTCATCACACCGCGCTGCTTAACACGTATTTTATTATCAGTAACAGAAACGACGTTTTGATAAAAGAAGACGGTAATTAATTAGTTTGCTCGTTACTGAAAGAAATATTGTTTTTATTAACGCGGTTATTTTAAACGGCGTTATTCCCATCACTGCTCTGTTGTGTCTACAGCAGGCAGCGACTGAGACCGTGAGGGTCTCCTTCCACCCGGCTAATCATCATCGTGTTTGTAAGTGCGTTACCGACACCTCTCTCCCTGGCTGCAGCTGATGTGTGGCGGTCAGAAAGCCTCACGCTGTTGCTCAACGTTCGACAAGCACATAGTAACGCACAACCTTCCGTCCCCAGTAACGGTAACGGTGTTGCGACGGTGGGAAAAGCAATTAATTAGATTCCTCCGGTACCTAAAAATAACGCAGTTAGTAACGGCGTTTAAGCATAACGGCGTTACTCCTCCCAGTGCTCCACACAGGTCCGTGTTCCACTCACAGTAAGGAGGTCTCTCCTTATTCCTCTCAGAGGGTTTCCCTCCAGGAGTAACACCTTCATGTTGGGCAGCAGGCTGAGTGACGCCGGAAGACTGAAACAGAAACATCCGTATTCAGCTCATTACATCTTTGCAGCGATATTCAACTAATGAAAAACAAACCACAAACTAGACTCAAAAACTATGTAGTAATGTTAAAAATGGACAATTATTAACAACAGTCCCTCTCTCTGACCTACTTTTAGAAGCAATGAAAGATGAGACCGTGCTAGTGGTGTGTTTACTGGTGATTTGTATGTCTGAAGACCTACGTGCTGATGTCATTGTTAGTCAGGTCCAGGCGGGTCAGCTCGGGCAGCACAGGGATCTGCTCCGGAAGCGTTCTGATCTTGTTGTCTCTCAGTTCTAGATGAGATATGGATGTGAAGCTGGCCAGCTGCTCTGTGTCCAACAGCTCAATTAGGTTGTTCCCTACATACAACTCCTACACACACACACACACACACACACACCATCTCAGAGAGGACAGAATGGTTGCCACCATTCACACCAGAAGGGAGAACTAGGCATACTTTCAGTGCTGGAGCATGAAGTTGAGGCAGCCGGCTCAGCTTGTTGTGTCTGAGGTACAGCTGCTCCAGAGACAGCATCCCCGATAGGCTGGCAGGAATGTCAAAAAGCTGATTGCTGCTACAGTCCAGGACTTTAACTTCTGCCGCACAAGGATAGAAAACAGCTATGACGTCACATTTTCATACAATATCAAGCAAACAACTTAAACTGCTGAAAGACTGATCAGTGTTGCAGGAATTAAAAAACACTGCTTCAAAGTTCATTTCATAAACATGTAAAAGCTTCTCCACCCACGGTGGTGTCTGTCTGGAGTTTAAACTTAAGAGTGGACTATCACCCCAAAATTCCACTACCTCCGCTCCGCTCCGGCACGAACTCCGCAGCAAAATCGGTCCCGTCGTAGTCAATCAGAGCTGTTCCACTACTGCGGCCGTGCGGCGCAGTGCGCAGCCCGCCGTTCCGCCATTCGGCAAAAATAGGATCGATTCTATTTTTGCCGGACGCCGGAGCACCTCCGCAGTCAATGGACAGAAATCACAACCGCCCAACAGGAAAGGAAGCAAGCACAAATTCCGTTATTTCATAAGAAATCGATAAACAAAAGGCGTTTTTTGTTTCATATGCACAGGTTTAACAACTTTTAACAACCATCAATGGCAGCTGAACTTTAAATGCACAAAAATAAGCCATAAATACAGTTTCCACTATCAAAGTAGTCGCCCTTTGTTGATCCAAACACTGCTGATCTCTCAACACAAATGATGATGCTTCTCCCACACAGCGGGTGTTTGGACCTAACTTCCGCGTTTATTGCTCGGACTGTATCGCAAGATCTCGAAAATGTCCTGTTCGCGCACCTCAGGTCTCCGCACCGGAGCGGAGCCGTTGTAGAGCGGGTACCAGTAAAAATTGAGTTCGGAAGCGAGCGGCTGCGGAAGGCGGGGGCGGAACGGAGCGGAGGTAGTGGAATTTTGGGGTGAGTCACCCTAGAAATAGAAACGCATCATCTTAAGCCGCATCATTTCATCATCTGGGATTGAAAATCCATCTAAATGTTCAGTAAAGTGGGAGACTGAGCAGAGGTGAGGACATGCTTCTACGTGCAGCCTTGCTCTTACTTCTGAGGTGAGACACGCCCTCGGGTAGGGAGGTGAGCTTGTTGTGGTGCAGGCTCACTTTCTGCAGATTTGTCAGACAGCTCAGACTGGAGGGCAGCTCCTTCAGACGATTGTTGGACAGATCCTTCAAGCAATCACAAAACACAGGACACCTCTGTCAGCCAATCACAGCACAGGTAGAATGGCCACCTGAAGGAGGATGACTTGATGACTAAAAATGATTTTAAATAAAAATGGTCCGACTTGGCAACAAGACCAAATGTAATTATATGTACAATTATTTATATATAGCTTTAGTAAATCTGCAGTTTCTGGCATTATTACTCTTAGTATTGTAATTACCTCTTATCCATTTATGTTCGAGTGATTTTTGTGATAAAAATGATTAAATCAGCTTTCAGAAACACATCCTACTACAGAGAAACATGTTTTTCAATCAACATATTAATTAATAAAATGTTTTAAATATATATTCTTTATATAGAGAGGTATAAATGTAACTCTGTATGTGAAAATTACAATTTAAAAGGTCATAATTCCAAATTAATTTATAGTATAGCCGTGACATCAAGTAGCTTCTGGTGCAAATCACAAGGTGTCATGGCGTACTGGGGGAGTACAGACACAGCTGGGAGAACCCGGATGAACACAGCTGAACTCTCCAAGTTCACTAGTACTTGTAGTTTACAAGTACTAGTGAACTTGATGTAGAGAAAAGGCCAATGTCACAATGTTACCCATAATGCTTAGCATCTTTGTAGAAAACCACAGTGTGTCTCTGAACAGGTGGTTTGAGTGGGTCCACTAAGATCTACAGCTCTGTGATTGGTGCTTCAGTTACCAGCTCTGTGAGGTTCTCCAGCTGTCCCAGTTCCTCTGGCAGGTCCTCCAGCAGGTTCTGCTGCAGTGAGAGGCTGCAGAGGTTCTTCAGGGTGAACAGCTCCCGTGGCAGTGATGACAGCTGGTTATGGCTGACCCAAAACACACCGTTAAAAAGATGTTTTTATGCATTTTTCCTCTAAGACTGGAACTAAATTACTCAACAGTGAAAAAAACGTGCTTGTGTGTACCTGAGTCGAAGCTGCTGCAGCCCCTTAAGTTCTCCAAGTGTACTGGGTAAACTGCTCAGCTGGTTGTCGTGGAGCTGCCAGAAATAAACACTTTTAACTTCTCTCTCTCTCTCTCTCTTTATATATATATATATATATATATATATATATATATATATATATATATATATATATATATATATACAGTATATATATACAGTATATATATACAGTATATATATATATATATATATATATATATATATATATATATATATATAAGAACAAATAAAACTGACACAAACTATTTACTGACACTAACAAGTAATTTGATTTCAGCCATTGAAAGAAATGCACTAAAGTTGAAAAATCATAAAAGTTTCTAGTATTTTTTAAACAAATCGAAGGGTTCTTACATCCAGTGTAGTGAGTCCAGACAACAGGCGTACATCATCAGACAGCTGAGTCAGCAGATTGGAGGACAGCAACAGTTTAGTGAGGTCAGTCTGCTCCCACCAGCGATCCGATCCACCGAAGGACACATCCTGCGCCTCCTCTGGCGTGTCCATGTTTAGACGATAGACATTCTGAGGGACTGAGACAAAATTCCCTAGCATTTACCCACCACTCTGGTCTTTACTTCAAAGGAATTCTTTAATGTCCAACAAAGTCCAGTTTCTTAGTCTGTTTAGCTCACCTGGTTTCATACACAGTCCCACCATGCTTATGTGTAAAAGCACACCCAGCTAAGTTGAGCTTGTTTGTAGTTTTATCCCTGTAGAGGTGATCTTCAGAGAAGCAACCTAGTGTCAGATGAACTTTGACCTCCATTTGACCGTATTTGTAAACTGCAGGCTTGAGAAACGTTGTCCTGTTGATCCAGTGATGTTTAATTCTGCAGGACTTGATGGCCTGTGGTTTTATTCTGAATTTCTTATTTAGTATAAACAATTTATTAAAACCTAGTTCTTAAAGAAAAATCTATACACTGAAATTGTTTAGTGGGAAATAGTTATGACTATGATAAAATAGAATATTTTGGTCTAATTAATGGAATAACTAATAATCATTATGCTGAGAGCAGCTGTCTGAAGCAATGTGATCTAATCTGATGTGCACAGTTTATAGAGCATCTTTCTTTTATGTCCTTAAATACACCTTCAGGTCTCCACAGAGTGATGGCTGAAAACTGCCCTGTACGGGAAAAATTTCTTCTGCATTTATTTGGGATCTTCCACCCAGACTGAAAACATGCACATCAGGCTGTATGTCGTCTGTCCCTGTGATGGACTGGAGACCTGTCCAGGGTGCCCCGCGTCTCTCACCATGTCTGCTGGATATTTTATTTACTCCATTTACATAAAGAAGATTTTCACAGACTTCAGGGAGGAGCAGCGTTGGCTCCTTTTCCACCCCACGCAAAGTTTTCTAGATCCGTCCCTGGTGCACGAGCTGCTTTTATCTTGTCTAGCAGTGTTGGATCATGTCATAAATATGTTTTTGACTGTCAACAGAGAATAAATATCTGTGTAACCTGAATTAATTATGATTAATGTGTTCACAGTTACCTTCTGTTAACCGTCGACCGGACAGGTTGAGCTGACCGCTTTTCCTGGCGGCTTTCAGCAGACCGAGAGGAACTGTTGGCTCGGGCTTCGTCGTCCGAAAGCCCGCAAGACTGTCCACTTTATCCGCCTGTTTCAGTCTGGACATGGTCCACTCCTAAATATGACTGATGTCTAATGCCAGGGAGATAAAAGCGTTAACACACACCCAACTTATTTCATTTAATCGAGGGAAAGTTCACTTCCGTTCTGAATCCTTCAAAATAAAAGCCAGCGCTGAAAAACATCCGGGTTCTCCCAGCAGCGGCGCGTTTAGGCCTCTTGTGTGCTTCTGCCTTCTGCACCGACCAGAAAAACATCATTCTCCGACTATTGTCTTTTATTCGGAGAATATTTTCTGCTCTTAGATTAAGACTTACACGTATAAAACAATCCTAGTAATTTGGTTTTGCAATTAGATATTTTGGAATACATTTAATGTTTTTTTTGCACTTTGATATAAACACTACTAGGTATTAATGAGCATATAACGAATGGAGAGAAAATATTCAACACAATACCAGTGATGGTTAAACATCAGATTTTTAACTCCCAATCTCCAGCCAAACCTTGATTTCACATAAATAAGTTAACTAAAAAGATAAATGTGTATTACATGTTCACTGTACATACTGTCACTTTAAGATTATTATTCTTGCAAATATAGGGATTTTTAAGTTTGGCCTACAAATCAGTAATTTTTGCATATTTATAACTTTCATTAAAAGCTCACTTGATGCAGTGCTGGATGATTAAGTTATTTTCTAAAAGTATTTTTCATATTTGTCATACAAAATAATTTGTATTGACAAAATAATCCCCCTAAAGATGAGATTTTTTCCTTTTAAATCCCCATTTCTCCAAGTTTGTTTCAACATACTTCTTGAGTAGAGGGCTCTGTACATTTTAACTTACATGTATCTATTGACATTGTGCTGGATCAATCACTTTTGTCACTGACTTGTGTCAAGGGCTGTACTTTACCTTCAAGTGTAATTAAAACTGCACAGCTGGTTAAAACTACACAACATCTGCATAGGAAACATGAAAACACAGCATGCACCAAAACACCAACCCATATTTCATTGATCCCAGAGCAAAACCTTCCTGACCTATGACCCAACAGGAGTGTTCCAGGTCCAACTCCAGGTTCTTCAGGTCATGTGACCCCAGGGCAGGTTACAGTGAGGACTAGAGCTGTTCACAATCAGAATGTCCAAGGCAGTTTTCTACATATCAGAAACTTTCTGGCACTATTGTCACTACGAATAGCTTCGTAAGATTATAACATAAGTATATTTAAAAGCAACAAAATGAAAACAGCAAACACCTCCTGGTATTAAAACATTGTAATTTAATTCACAATGCCTGCCATATTTAAACACAAGTCTAGTTTGTACAGTTAGGTCAACAGCTAAGAAAAACATCAAATACAGCGGGGTGGATGGGAAGTCAGAATGTGCAAAGCAAAGCTGTAGTAAGGACCTTAAACAGTCACTAATGTTGAGCTGGAATTACACAGAAATAGGCGAACTACAGAAAAAGTTGCATATTTTCCAAGTTTCCAATTATAGAACGTTCACTTTTGACATTAAGGCTGCTAGCACACAGGAAGTGGTTGGTGCTGTCCTCGCTGTAGGAGCCCAGAATGCGGGGTGGGGGGCTAGTCCTTTAACCTCTGAAATGGGACACAGCTATGGAATTTGTAACAGTGCACTTGTAACAGTAAAATGGTTTGAACTAGTGCAGACACACTTAACTAGATGTGAAGAGATTTATAAAGTTCCTAAGTATTGACCTTTCACCTTTCATGTGGCATGGCTTCCCTGATGCTCTCTGTTCCTGAGTTAATGTAGCCTTGGGCAGAACACAACAATGAAGCTAAAACATGGTAAAAATCACAAGTCATGTGATTCCTGTGTTTGAGTCTCGATTTGAAATCAGTGGAAAAGTCACGCTGAGAGAGATCCACCTTCCTCCGAGTAGACATTGTTCTCCAAATCAACACAAACAGGGGAACATCCAGAGTACGGAGCTCACATCACTGAGTGTGGCACGGGGGCAGGTTCTGACCCAAACCTGCTGATTCCAGGACAGTAAGAAAGAGTGGACTGCTGCAAACTGTGGCTAACCTCTGGATTTTATTTATACAACGGGCAGGATATCAGCCAACTGGAAGGTAGAAGGACAGGCCAGGGGTCAGACGTAGAAAAGCCGCACTCTGGAAGTACTTACATGGAGGTCATTATCGTAGAACTTTGTCTCTATGATGACATTACCACTGCAACACAAGAACAGGTGTGAACTTTACTGGATGAAGCTGCTTTAACAATAACTCTTCCCGTGTCTGTACTAGAATTTAAACTGATCTGCAAATGTGTCCCTCCTCTTGTAATAAGGCTGCAAGACCTGAGAAATTATTAGAAATAAGTGAAATTAAACTAATTTAAATGGCTGCCATAACTAATGTTAAAAATGGCAATACACTAAGATATTGTGACAATTCGTTTTATAAAACTGAACTGATACTTTAAAGCACGGTATAAATTTTTATTGAGAATGTACAAGTAAACATTTCCTGTATTTCTCTAATGTGGTGCAGTTCCTTCTCTGACTGCTAGGTGGCAGCAGTGTTACTGCCTTCATTCTGTTGTGGCTGTGTCTTGGAAGCATCTGGCTTGAGTTTTCCAGTTAAATTCTGTCTGAAAAATGCAAATATCATCTGGCTTTTAATATCCCAATACACGTGAATCTGATAAAATGAGAATATGGTGCAAAAGTTAATTTATTTCAGTAATCCAGCCTAGACTGAGTGACCATCTAAAGGCTCAGGAACCATTTGCAGGTGTTCTGGATTCATTAGCTGATTAGGGCGTGACACTTTCAGTCTAGAATATTGAACCTTTTCACAATAATCTAATTGTCTGAGATTGTGAATGTGGGGATTTCATCAGCTGTAAGCCATAATCACCACAATTATAACAAATAAATGTCTGTCATTTTTGAGTTTCACCTTTTAAGTTGAATTACTGACATAAATGGACTTATGCACCATATTTTCATTTTATATTGTAAATTGTGTTGAATCGCCAGATAAACTTTACATATTAAATATGCATTAAAGTTCTCTCTGTAGCATCGTGTCATCAAGCAAAAGAGCAGAGTTAGGAATTTAAATGGCTATAGCTTCCATCCCCGCTCCTCCTCCCCTGAGCTCCCCCGAACTGAACACCAGATAACTGCCTTTTTCTGATAAAGTTGATCATAAACACAAAGCGTTTGATCTCCTGCTCATAATTAAGGGTTATAGACAAAAACGTCCACATGAACTCTATATACACATAAATGACTAAACATTTGCTAAAGAAACAGGATGGGGAAATGGCATGTTCATGTGTTTCACTTTACGTCTGATAATGATTCTGGACAAAAACCTTCATGCATCAATGTGAGAGAGCTGGGGGACCTGGACAGGTCACCAGTCCATCTCAGGGACACAGACACACAAAATCACGAGTGAATCCAAAAAAAAAAGAAGAAAAGGTTTGTGCAGACTCACGATAAAACATTGGCTGGCATCATCTGGGACTCCGGAGCAGCTTCTATCAGGGACTGCCACGTGTTGGTGGAGTTTGGGATTACAAACCCAAACTCAAAGAACCATTCTGCACAGAGACAGACAGACACGCCCTTCAGCTCTGCTTCCACAATAAACCTTCCATGACATTTTTATGATAGAAGTTAGTTATACTTACTGTGAAACTGTTTAATAATCACAGGGTAGGTTTCATTAGAACTGGCTCGTGTCTAATGAGGTGTCTGCTAAACTTTTATTTGGACACGGAAGGAGCCCCTTCTGCTTGAAAATCAGCCTTCTCTGTTTTGAAAGGGGGGAGCCAGCAGAAGTAAAGCCCCCGTCTGGTTTTAGAAAACACCTCACTAGGTGCGTTTCCACTGTGGGAACTTCAGAGTACATTTACAGGAGCTTCCTGACATGTGTGTGTCTCCACTTGATTGGTTCTGGGCCATTTCTGAGCCAGTTGCTCCTGGAATCTGCTCTGAAACCGCCTGGATCTACAGAACCTGGTCTCAATCAGCAGATGTAAACACATCTAAAACATCTCAAATGCAAAAATCTCTAGATAAAAATGTTTTAACTGATTAGCGTCTATGCCAAGTCTGGCTTTAATTCTTCACCATCGGTAGCTGAAACTGCGTGGTGTGTAATGTCCACAGGGCTTTGAGCTACAGACCACTGTGGCCAGGAAACATTTGTGAGGAGACGTGAAATCTCCAGACTCGAAATGAAAGTGTGACTAAAGTGAATGTGTTGTGATGGGAGAGCCATGTTTTCTCCAGGGCGTTCCAGTAACCGTAGCTCCTTGGGAACAGTTCTCCAGACACACGAGCAGAGACACGAGAACCTCCTCGTTCCCTGAGCGGACTCTTTACGTGATCTTGTTTGTTCTTTCTACGATATTTTACATTTTAGCACATCCGTGTGTTCCTGTTTACCTGCTGGTTTCATCAGAAGGGATATATGTGTCTATATTTGTTATCGTGGCTCTTTTGATGGTCTCACTGGTTGCTTATGTATTACTGGTTCTACATCAGGAGAGTCAAACTGATGAACAGGGGATCAAATCTAAAACCCTGACCACTTCTACAGCGGATCTTGGGCTTTTTTAAAGTAAGAAATTATAGATTCTCATCCGTCACAAATCTCATGTAAAAAAATCAAAAAACAAGAAAATTGGCCACCTTCTCTAAATTTATAATTTAGACATCAGAACAGTGACCATTTACTGTTTTTTTCCTCTTTGCACAGTTCCCCTTAACAATGTTTACTGATTATTTCTGATCAAATTAATCAGAGGCCATCAAAACGGTTTAAAAAACACTCAACATAAATACAAAATTATCCAAATCAGATATTCATTCATAAAATGACAGAAATGTAGATTAAAAACTGAAGCAAACACTCTGCAGCTGTGAAAAACACCAGAACCACCCAACACCATTTCTTAGCTCAGGCTCGTCTCTGGGGTCAGGAGGTGTGTGGAGGTAAACCCATGAGATGTTAGGATCAGCACCGAAACACGCTCCCATCAGCTTTTTCATCGTCATCGAACTAATTTACTTCATTTAAAGAGCTTTTCGTTCCAAATGTTCCCAACAAAGCCCTGAGCTGTCGGTATGCAGGTCTACTACAGGTGTGCTCTTCTCTTGTGGAACATGTTTCCAGTGTCCATCCACTGGGCAGACCCCCCCCCCCCCCCCCATCTACTTTTAGGACTAGATGTCAGGCTTTTTTAAAATAAAGATTGTATTGAAAGAGTGTGTTTCACACATTACCTTCTAGACACTGGCCTTTGAAGAAAACTTTCTGTTCCAACCGAAACTTCTGCAGCTGCTCAGCAGAAGAGAAGTTCAGCTCTCTGGACACCGCTTTGCATTTCAGGATCTTCTTTGGGACACGAGCTGAGACAGGAGAGGAGACATCACGGTTAGGTCAACACGTCCAAACTACTGGATATTATCAACCATCAGATTTGTTTTGGAGCCCACAGGACAGGGTGAAACCCATCACTACTGAATATTTACTTTTTATTAACCCTCTCGAGCTTAAAATAAGTTTTGATAAAAGGAAAAACTGCTCATGAAATACGTATGTGGAGTAACCAGGTAGGTAGGTTTTAACGTTGCAAATCTGCAACGCCTGCCTCCTGAGGGTTGAAATGATCTAGAACAGCTGTGAATAGAGTCTAATAATATAATTATTGATTTGTTAAACTTGGAAATAGAGGGAAAAAAATTCAGCTGCAGAAAAAAAAGGAGGGCAAAAACAAATCCTAACTTTTATCATTAGAGATAGTGTCCCTTTTTGGTAATTCTTTTGAACGTTGATTGGTTAAATGGGTGTTAAATAAGGCACTGGTTGTGTGGGAGATTAGTTGAATTTGCTTTTTGGGCGTAGAAATGTAGAGGTAGTCAGAAACTCAAAGTATTTGCCAGATTATTTTCTTAATCACCTCTTTACCCTTTGTTTAACATGTTTCTCCTTTAAAATCAAAGATAAGCGAGCTGAGAGATCTGAGGAATGTGAAGCGGTTATGTGAATTTTGTTTTGTCACACTTTGTGCCAATTTGTTTTTACTCCCATATGGAGTCTCAAATAAAAGTAATGAGCGTGTCATTTACCCATCTACTGTATAATGTATGCTGCGATTTACCTTCATGTTCGACTCCAGGTACAGACAGGTCCTCTGTTCCCTGCCACAGCACCTTACCCGTCTCTGCATCCCGAAGGTTCATCCAATTTCTGCCAGCACGATGTTAAGTAAAAACAGGCAAACACGGCAAAGAGAAATGGAACCAGACCCTTTCTGCACCCACCCTGATTGTTCCTGGGCAAAATTCAACATTGAACCAGAAAAAAAACATTTAATCCAGTTTCTCAGAAAAGGTCCAACAACAAACAGCAACAGTCTGCAAAATTCTCTGGGAACAAATGGGAAATATTTAAATCTCGCTGAAATTATGAGCTTCCTGGCATCTTACAGTTGTTCGTGCCTTTGCAGTTCTGGGGTCCTCGGCTTTGGAACCACAAGAAATCAAACAGTCCACATCGCTGCCCACCTTTAAAGCAAGGCATAAGCTGCATTTGAGATCTGTTTCTTCGTTGTTTTTATTTACATTTTAATGTTTTCGATCACTATTTAAATTGTTTTAACCTCTTTTTTTTAATTGTTTTTTTATGTTTTCATCTCTGTATTTTATTATAGAGCTGTTTTATTGTGCTGCTTCTTTGCACTATGTTCAGCACCTTGGACCCCCTTCATTGGGGGTGGGAAGAGGCTTTATAAATAAAATGATTGATTGAAACACCATCCAACCTAGAAACTCCCTCTAAACTCAGACGACTCAGAACATGGGCAGTGTCTGGATATCTATAAGCATTTGAGTAAAATCACAGATTGAAAAAAGTAACAGCTGCAGCTCATGGCATCACTTACGGACATCCCAGCTTCCTCAAGTAAACTATTCCTCCTGCTTCGTGCAAACAAAATATATTAAAATTAATGCATTTTTTTATTTTCTTTTGATGAGATTGACGATTTTCTCTAGAATCCGACCAGATGGCAGAGGTGCTGATGGGGTTCACCGGTAAAGTTGAACATGCCACAGAAATCACCTCTTACAATATTTGTTGTCATCACGTAAAACATTATAAAAGTCATCACCACACCACACAGCTGTCATGATGAACTCACGTTTGGTGCTACAGTGAACAGAGTGCTGACTTTATGAAATATTTTCCTCCCTCAAAATCAAGACGGTGCTCGTGGCCAAAACTTTGGCTCCAATTAAAGGTGGAGTTGAATGTTCCACTCTGCGGCAGAACCACTTAAAAGTTTCTAGTTTGATTCAAGGACTTTTAAAAGGTACAGCCAAAAGAAACGGTTGCTAGCAAAGGTCCTGTTCAGGTTGGGTAGCAGCACACACAGGGGGCCAGCTGCAGCACCAATCCACCTGAAGTCCTCACGCAAAGCTGCTTACATATGGAGCTAACGGAACTAGCAGCTTCCACGACACGCTCAGACAACATGTTTGATCGGTAACAGCCCCATAAAACCGAATTTAATCAGTCACACCAACAGGCAGCAACTTACAGGTTGTTAGCACGTCGGAAATTTTGCCATTTAACGGTTAGTTAGCATGAACAGCTAGCTGTTTTAGAATCTTAGGAGCCGACTTCTAACTGCAGCAGTAGTTATAACAACACATCAAGCTTAACCGTGAAAAACATTACCATCACCCAGTGGAAGGATACAGTTTAAAGCCCTTCAAAATCTCCTTGGCCCTTTCCTCACTCCGAGACATCTCGGGACAGTTTCCGTTTATTACCGATTATCCAGAATGTGGGGGGGAAATGACGCCGTTAACTTTATCGTAGCAGGCCAACCGGACAGTCGAAATTCGCCAGGAATAGAGCAGGCAATACGAAATTAATCCAGAACAGTTAGACTACAGGATAAATCCGATTCCAATAATGCAATCAGCTAAACATACCCGCCCACGGACAGACAGCTCTCACAGCCACTCAGTGGGAACGAGAACTACTACGAACCAATCACAGCGCGTGAAAGAAAAGTAGGCGGGACGGAAACGGATAGAGCGTTTCGCCGTTAAAACCAAACACCAGTTTCCTCCGTAAGCGATTCCGTACTCTCACCTTATTCCAAAAATGCATCCTTTAACAATTAAGAACTGTTCTTTTGTGGACAGGAACTGCAATAATAAAATCCTTAGATGTTGGCTCACTGACGCCCTCTTTCCCTTACCTCTTAGAAGACGGGAATTAGTGCGTCAATTTAGTAATTCTGATGTTAAAAACATTAGATGCAACTATCCCAAATTCCCAATCCCTCCTAAAGCCAAGGAAGTTCATTTTAAAACTATAAACAGTATTTATCCTTGCAAAGATTTCTTGCAGTCTAAATTTAATATTGGAGAGAACAATTGTGCCTTTAGCACTTCTAATATAGACACTGAGATACATTTATTTTTCACATGCATCTTTACCAAAATTTTCTGGGATAGTTTTCACTCGTGGTTAACGCATAATAATTTCATTATACGCTCCTTATCTTTTTCTGACATCAAGAATGGTATTAGTTTGGAAAATAAAATGCAGCAATTCACTGTCAATAATTTGATTATTTTCGCCAAATTCTTTATACACAAATGTAAATTTGGCAACATCAAACCGATCTTTATTGTTTTTTTTTTTAAAGAACTTGCATCCTTTATGGATTCTCTTAAATTATGTAGTTCCAAGAAAGCCATTTGGCTCTATAACAATTTGGTAAATGTTTCCTTTACCCCTAAAAATGTTGATGTAATATATATACACACACACACACACACACACATATATATTTATATATATATATATATAGTTATGATTTCTGCAGGTTGATATTGAGCTAGGTTAATATTATTGTTTCTGTTTGTACACCTGCTTTATTTTGTCATGCTCAGAATTCAACTGTAAATATTGATTCTTATGTAAGCCTGTAAGCTTTATTGGTTAAATAAAACTTGTTTAAAAACGTAAGCGATTCCGCCATATTGGCAGGGTAAACTTGTCAAAAGTACAAACCAACACAAGCCTTCCATGCAGCATGCTTCAATAGGATGGGTTCCAGTCAGTTGGAACAGGATCTTTAATTACCTTTATGCTCTGGGCTTTAACCACATTCAACTAACATTTTATTTTGTTATTTTAAGCTCTTTTAACTAGCACTGTAACTGGTTTTGATTGCTAACAGGTTGCTGCTGCTGAATGACTTTATATGAACATAAGTTTTTAGATAATAAAATCATATTTTAAATGCAATTAAAAGATTAAACAGGCCAAGCCATTCAGGGTCAGAAATGAACTTTAAGGATGTATTTTTGAAGTGTTGAAAAAACATTTTGCAGGTTGCTTATCTGGATTGCATCCGTTAGCTTCAGATTTGTTAGCTTTTTTTAACCTGAATGCTTTGATCTTAGATTTGACTTGTAAGATGGCCCCAAGCATTTTTAAGGCTACAGGCTTTCAGTTTGATTTTATTTTAATAAAACTGTCTTCCAATTGAATAGTTGTAATGACTGTAGGTCTAAAGACTAGTTTACATTAATCTGTAACAGTGTACTTCAAAGTAGTAACAGCACAGCTTCAGGAATGCTAGCGTCACAAGAGGTCCCTCAATAACTATGCACATTCCAGCTGGATATTCAGCAGCATCAAAGCCAGGACTACCTAACAGTTTTCACCTTTACCCAGTAGCTGTTAGTATACTAAACACCACCTATCTTTCTCAAGCGTAGCCAAGGCCCATCATACCCCTACCAAGAACAATATGACTTCAGGCTGAGTTTTGTGCAGTAAGATTTCAGCCTTTCATTAATTGAATATCACATAAGACTGTGTACACACACCTTAGATTTACTTTTTGAACTCCACACAGGCTGCTTCCAAAAGTTACCTATACCAACAATTTTTATTAAAAAATAAAATGAAATTCTTACGATAATCAAAATACACATTTGCATAATAAGAAAGTAGCCAGAAGCTTGATTAGTTTAACAAACATTTATTGAGTCAGACTTTAGTCCTTCTTGGCAGCAGCCTTTCTCATGGCAGCCAGAACGTTGCTCAACTCCTCTCTCTTTCTCTTGGCCCGGATGTGAGTGCCAATCTGAAAGAAACAGATTCATTTCAGAGGGGTGTACCTCATTCATCTCTTGCAGTTTTCAATTTATTTTCTTATTTCCTGTAAATATTTATTTTATTACTCAGTATTTTTTATAGGTAGCAAATCAAATTCAGTATTTTTACTAGAGCATTTTCAACACATATTTTATTCACTGTACAACTGTTTATTGTTCTTGTGAATCTAAATATTACATCAAAACTTCTCCACCAAAGAACAATAAAATAATTCTCTATTCTATTCAGTTAAGTGTCTCACCAAGGTCAGATCAACGCTAATGTATCTTTTTAAACTCTACTACAGAATCAACACCAGTTCCTTGTGAACCACTCTGAAAGGACTGTCGCTCAGGCTGCAGCTATCCACCATGCAATGACTAGCTTCATGTATGATAAAACACACCACAATGAATTTAGTGAAACAATTACAGCTTGGGGACCACAATACGTGGAGAGATGCATCTCACAGGCTGCTTTTGTCCAGTGACCCTGACCCACTTTAACTTTTGTCTCAGAGCTCAGTCACAAGAGTCATGTTTCACAAACCATCTGAGACATTTCCTGCACAAATTCACTGATGGAGCAAAGTGTTCCAGAAAGGAAACACCCCAACATTCATAACAGCTGTGATTAGGGTTTGGAGGAATTCTGGTTTGTAGTCTATGATGGTGGATTTTATTTCCAGGAGTGAACTCAACTTTAATTTGTTATTTTAAAACGTCTAAACTGCAAGTGTTTTACTAAAGGGTTGAATGATTTGATAAATGATTTGTTTGGGCATCAGGAGCTCAACAGGTTGAGCCGGTTATCCAGTAATTAGGGATGCACCGATGGATCGGCATTTGATCCCAATGGGCCGATAGCGCCCCTATCGGTTTTGATCGGAGTTTTCAAAAAGATCAAAGCAGACCAATCAGGTAGGGTTGTCACGGTAACCGGTGTAGCTGTAAACCCCGGTAAAAAAAAGTTGACAATAAAAATAACCGTCTTGTTTTAAAAAAAAACTATTATCTCAGTGGATTACCGTGGCTGCGGTGTAGGCGCGGTGACCCTTACCAGCCACCGTATCATCTGCTGAAGTTTCCGGCGGCACATGCACGCTTTGTTGTTTACAACCAAAACTTTCTTGAAGCTAAAGCTGAAATAATGGCCAAAGGAGGAGACGGCAGCGCTCAGGACATTTATTATCCCTCAAAGAAGACAAAGTGGGAAGTACGGGCATCTTTTGGATATTTGAAGAATGTCGAGGGACAGTTGATAGAAGACGGCTATCCTGTTTGCAGCACGTGCAGAAAAAGTGTCTGTGAAAGGCAGCAACGCTTCAAATCTCATGACACATCTGCGTGACCATCACCCACAACTCTACAGTCAACGCAAGGCAAGCTAACGTTAGCCTTTTAGCTAAAATGCGTGATCCGAGGATTTGGGTTGAGGGAGAACGCAACGAGTCGCTATAAAATGCAGCCGCAGCGCCGCTACCTGCATATAAACCGTGTCGCGGACACCCCCATGTTGAAATGACGCTATGCATTACGGGGCTCCCAGGGGCAGATAAAGAGTTGGTCTCTCTCCGAGAATAATTATTAATTTAACAATCATTACTGCCTGATGACATTTTCCCAAATCTGCAAAGCTCACTGGAAGGACACAAACCGAGGACAATATTTTCCTGATATAGGGTTTATTACTCAAGTAAGGGTAAAAAAGTATCTGATTAGAAGGCTACTTGAGTACTGAGTATCATCTGATCTAATATTTTTAAAATGATGACATCAAACAGACATAAAATAAGAAGTTATGGGCAAATATTGGTATTTTAAAGACTAAAGGGGAAAAATGTAAACAAATAAACAACATAATTACAAAATAACACATTTTAGGCAAAATTTAGACACAAACTGAGGACAATATTTCCTGACATACAGGGTTTATTTAATTGTGTGAAAATGTAGCACGTTTAAAAAAAATACCTCGATAAAACCGTGGTAATTTTGGTCACAATAACCGTGAGGTTAAATTTTCACACCGTGACAACCCTAATACAGACCATTTTAGATCAAGTTACATTTCCTTTATTCCCAGATTATGTAGTTTGTAGCACTCATTATAATGTTGTAGAAAATTTCTGGACAATCCACGCGATCGGTATCGGTGATCAGCATTCTTTGATATCGGTATCGGTGATCGGCAGCAAAAAACCTGATCGGTGCATCCCTAGTGTAAAGCGCTTTGGAGTCCTTACTCTGAGAGGCGCTATACAAGTGCGGGTCATTTATCATTCATTTAAACTGAAATATTGTTTGTGAACTTAAAGAGCAAGTCACCCCCTACTAGATTCTTACTCAACTCCCACTTCCTGTTTAAAAAACGCAACAAATGCTGTTGCCTAGCAGACCGAGAGGGTGGAGCCACTAACATATACAGACACACACAGGCTTACAACGTCATTGTGACGTCATAATGTACCAGCTAACGTTGTAGGGTACCTCTTGGCCCTATGGCAGATTTTAATTCAAATGCAGTGCAGTTTTTACCTGACAACGGCACAACACTGACAGTTTTAGGCAGAAAATTCAAATTTGAACTAAAATGCACTCAAGTGCTAAACTATTGACAACACGTGTCTGCAGCACGATTAGACATGCATTTATATAGTTTATCAGGAAAAAAAAATTGATTTGGGGGTGACTTGCTCTTTAACATGAGAAATCCTAACCAGCTGAAGATGAGATACTCACCCTCTTCTTGATAAACTTGAGGGCTCTCTTGTCCTTGGACACCTTGAGCAGCTCCATGGCTCGCCTCTCATATGGAGCAAAACCGCACACTTCACGGATCATGTCACGAACAAACTTGCTGTGTTTGGTCAGCCGCTGGACAGAGACATAAGTGTATCATCTCAACGCACGGCGGAAAATGTTAGATCTCATGACAATTTAAATAACTTGGAGGACAACAAAGTACAAGCATATGGGTACAAAAAAGAAAGAAAGATGAATTATATATTTACCCCCCTCCGACGACTGTGCTTTGGAGCGGTCACATTTTTGGTGACTGGATGACCTTTGTTAAGGCCAACGGCCATTGGGTAGCGGATAGCCATATCTGAAGAAACACATGTAATCAACATCAGTACTGTACAGGACCTACACACACAAAACCAATATTAAACAGTAGCGTAGGCCTACTGTGACATGCGTGATTGTGACACACCTTCAAACATTAAGTTTGAGAACAGTAAAACTGGAACACTGACGTCACCAGTTTTGTACAGGATTCTAACCCGAGTTATCACCATGTTTTTTTATCCTGAAACATGAAGACAGGGACACCAGTCCTGCTCCTAACTCGTATCCAACTAGTCCATTTGGGTAAGAAACCACATGATCTAGCCATAATTCAGAGTAATATATTGGACCATTCTCTTCCTGGTGGAAGATGATTTTCACCTCCATCAGCCTGGACAGGTCTCCTGTTTATCACAGGAGCCACAGCCAAGACTGCGCATGCTCACTCTTTAGGTGCAGTTTCCAAGCATGCTTGTTTTGGACCGAAGGTCTGTAAAAAGGTGTGTTGAAAAGAAACATAGTACACTACACATACTACTGTGTCATTTACAGCTGGTCTTCGGTCGTGACTACGTGCTACCCTGCAGGATGGCTCAGTGAACTACGTCCAGCGTCAAATTCAGAGACCGGTTCCGACCGCTTGGAGTCAATACACGACGGTAAAACAATAGTTTGAACTCCGCGACAAAACACCAGTGGTCTAGTTTGTATTAAGCTGTTTGGACGCTTTTGGGAGTAAGACTTTCTTCGTGTGAATGGTGAGAACTACGTCCAGGACAACGAACATCGAAAACCGATATTTAAGGATTTTTATGACTGACTTTGCAACAATACCAGCCGGAGAGATAACGTAGAGTGCGTACACCTGTTTGACCTAAACATCTGCGGTAAAACCATGCGGATGGTAAAGATTTAAAGTGGATTTCGACTTAAACAATATATGATTTAGAGGGACTACCTACTGGTGATGATGGCGGTCAATCCGGAAAGGCGGTTGCACGAAAGGGGCGGGGTTAGAAAGGATTGACCCGGAAATGAATTGTGAAGAATAATGACAGCGTCCCCTCGTGGCTATAGGGAGCCTAACATCGAGCTCAGATTCAACTTGACAGATGGGAGTACTCGATGGGAGTCTTGGTGCTTGAGGGCCCATTCACAGCAGCTTGATGAGTTCAAGAGGCGTAGGTGTACAGACGAGGGCTGCATTCCATCCATCTATTTTCTAAACTACGCACCTGTGAACACATACATTTATACCATAGATGCACCGCCATGGAATGGGTTAGGGCCCTTGAAACACCGGCTGCCATTGCAGATGGGGCCCCCAGTGCATTCATTTCTGAGGAAGGTGCTTTTTCACAAAATCAGACAAGGTATGGCATGATAATTTAAATATAAATAAACAAAATAATTTTAAATATAAAATATAGTCAGGTAGACTAGAAAAGTCACTAGTAATCAGTCCCGCATTTTCGTTACTTTTCACGTGTCCCGCAAGTTGAGACTCATGTCCTGCATTATTGACAGTTTCCCGGTTCGAGTTTCAATCTTATAAAATAAACAGTGGAAAAATCTGCCTGTTGCTGTCAATCAAACGGAGGTGGGACTTTAACGCAGATCTGGAGCGTGTGTATGTCGATGGTGTGGACGCACCCGAACCACCAAAACAAGCGTGAGTGAGCATGGAGGAAAAAATGCTGTAAAGTCGTGAATTAAACATGTTCAGAGATACTCAACAGTCTGTTGTTTCTGAGTCGTGTTTTCATGTCTCGGTGTCTCGGTCTGATATGAAGAGGTCAAAAGCAGGTTTTCCAGTAATTAGACAGGTCCATGATAAACACAATAGAGGTTCTAACACAGACAAGGTGCAGCGGTTTCATACATGCTGAGCCCCTTAAAGCACTGTGAAGAAATAATGATAGAATAAATGCAAGCTTTGATCACTTATTCTCCGACATTTGAGGCAAAAAATAACTCTAAGAAACTATTATTAGATTAGATCTGAATTTTTTAGAGATTAGAATCTGATGTTTATTTCTCTCACCTAAAATTAGAAGCGATGTGTTGTCATGTTAAAAAAACGTTTGTTTCTGAATTATGAAAAAAATAGCAAATAAAGCATGGATATTTTTTCAATGAGATGCTGATTTTAGTGGAAAATAGATTAAAAACAAACAAATAGATCTAACAAATATTACTGGTAATTTTAATGTCATTCTGTTGTGGAAAACATTCAGTGAAAACTCTGAAAAGCTGCTTAAACCTGCATTTTTTATTATTATTATCGGCCATCTATACTATTAAAATGATCAGAGCCACTACAGAAGGCCCAAAGAGCCTGAGTTATGTTGTGGTAACTTGAGAGGAACTGTGAAATAGAAAAGCTGTTGCTGTATGCTTCTTCATGTTGAATTCAAATATAATATATACAAGAAATATATGATGATAATAAGAATAATAATTTTATGTATATGTAACAGTGGTGTTAGGGCTAAAAGGCAGAATTTTTATTTTTTTTTCTCATTACATTGGAACTTCACGTTGTCCCACATTGAATAGTCTCTGTCCCACATTTGGCAAGTTGGGATCTGGCCACCCCTTGATGTACTACGAAAACACTGAGTGTTTTAAAATCCCAAAGTCAGTAAACTACGATGTTAACCTTAAAAACAATACATAAACCAAAAAGATCACATAGATCTTCTAAAACACACAATAAGGGGTTTATTTATCTTTTTTTTTTATTATTATTATTTTTTTCCTTTGTCCTGTCTGGCTGTGAAGCAAACAGAATTGATGTCTGAATGCTGGAGACAAGCCTTACAGATTTACTCTCAGGTGGAGCATCAAAGCATCTGCTTTTAATGTCAAGCCTGATACATAAAACTTTATTGTTATTGTTTTTGAATGCTTTGTAATTACGACCAGACACGGAGTCAGAGGTGAAAGAGAAAGGAAAAGACAAGGGGGGGGGGGGGGGGGTCCCCACAAAAATAAACAACAATGAACAAGAGTCTGCTTCTAGACCTGCAGAAAGAGAAAGAAGAGAAAAAATAAATAAATAAAAGATGGGACACACAACAATACAACAAGAGCAAGCTATCACTGCGTCAACTTGAAGAAATATACAATCAACATTGTTTAACTAAACAATCACACGATAATAAATCATAGTGTATTTAGTGGCAACGACAGCCTTAAGACATGTGTTGAACGTGCCCAAGCCCATACTTATGAGAGCACCATGTGAGCACCTGTGTGTGTACACGTGTTTGTTTATGTAAGGTTTCTCTATAAAAGCATCCAATAGAGAGTGTGAGGGGCCACAGATCTGCTCCCCAAAGATGTGTAGGAGACGGAGGGAGCTCCAAGTCCCAGAGAGCCAGGCGCTGCCCCAGAACACAGGAACACCAAGGAGACTGCAACCAGAAAGGCCCCTGCCCCCCTCGAGAGGCGAAGAGGATTGCCCCGGGGGGCCACAACCAGCAGCCGGCAGAGTCCCGGGAGATATCAGCGGCAAGCCCACAGGCCCGCCCGCAGCCTCCCACCCCCTAGCCGGCCAAGCCTGGGACCCAGCAACCCAGGGCCCAAAGCAGCAGCATTGCAGAGCCTCACGGAGTCTGAGGGCACCAACCTAGCCCCACCCCAGCAGAATATCTATGCCCATCCCTGCATTTGCACAACTTCCAGAATATATTAGACATAGGACATCCAGGTAAGGTTGGGTCCTCCCCTTCCTGGACCTCCCCCTCCCCTGTGATGGGACAGCAGAGGAGCCAAGGTCTACCTGAGGCCCCTGATCCCGGGCCAGGCTCTGCTGCATGTTCCTGCCTTCTTCCCGGCAGCATACATGTCAGGACCCGACCCACAAGGCCCCGCCCAGATCCCTACACGGGGCCGGCCACCCCCACACCCCAAGCCCCCAGACCCCACCCAGACCTGCCCAGGGGCAATGCAGCTGCCAGACAGCGACCCATGGCCGCCGCCAAGACCTCCAAGGGGCCCCACTCACAACCGCCAGTAGTCCACCCCCGGAGGCAACCCAAACACCTCCAGAGGGGGGCAACAGCCCCCCAGATGCTCCCACCATGCCGTCAGAGAGGTGCTGATACTAATACTTTTGAAGCCTTCATGTTTTCTTATGCTTGAGCTAATAAATGGTAAGTCTGAAAGCTCTATCGTATCGCAAAGTGTCTGCTCTATATCTAACCAGGACTCATCTAGTGGGTTATCTTGCAACCATCTTGGCGAATATTGCAGCCTGTTGGCTAAGAAATAATAATAAAAGTTGGGTAAATCCAGTCCTCCTCTGTCGTTGGTCTTCTGAAGCGATTTTAAGCTAATTCGTGGAGGTTTATCCTGCCAAAGGAATTTAGTAATTGAGGAGTCCAGAGATCTAAACCAGTCAGCTGGTGGTTTGTTTGGGATCATTGAAAATAAGTAATTTATTCTGGGTAAGACCATCATTTTAATTGTAGCAACCCTCCCCATGAGTGATATCGGTAAGGATTTTCATCTTGCAAGATCATCTTCCACTTTCTTTAAAAGTGGGATGTAGTTTAGTTTGATTAGATTTGCCAAATTGGGAGAGACATTAATTCCCAGGTATGCGATATTCCCTGACTCCAATTGTGTATTAAGCAAATTGACAAAAGAGAAATTAATTGGTAGAAATGTGGATTTTAATCAGTTTATAGAGTAATGTGAAACTCTTGAAAAAGAGTTTATCAGTTCTACTGAATGGGAGAGAGAGGACTGAGTATTCTGGAAGGACTGAGAATTCTGGAGAAAGAGTAAAACATCATCTGCATAAAGACTGATCTTATGTTCTGTTTTCTTCCACTTTATCCCTTTATTATCTGTTGTTTGCCTACATGCTGCAGCTAGTGGTTTGATAAAGATAGCAAACAGTGGGGAGGGGGGGGGTCCCTGCCTGGTCCCCCCCCTGAAGACAGAAGCTAGCTGATATTTAGTCATTCATCCTGACACGTGCTGTTGGTGAATTGTATAATGTTTGTAGCCAGTTTCTGAAGAAGTTCCCAAAACCAAATTTATGTAAAGTTGCAAATAAGAACTTCCAGTTAACTCTATCAAAAGCCTTTTCTGCATCTAGAGATAATATACTAGCTTCTATGTTTCTACTGTAAGAGAAATCTATCAAATTAAGTAATCTGCGTGAGTTTGTGGATGACTGTCTACCCTTAATGAAACCAATTTGGTCAGGGTGTATTATGAAGGGGGTTACCTTCTCTAATCTTTTTGCCAGGGCTTTACAAATTATTTTGAGATCAACATTAATAAGAGAAATTGGGCGATAACTGGTAGGAAATGCAGGGTCTTTGCCTGGTTTTAACAAGAGACTAATATTGGCTGAATTTATGTTTGGCTGTAATCTGCTGCTCTGTTCGATTTCCCTCACCATTCTGAAAGATGTTGGAGCCAGAATGATCCAGAATTCTTTGTAGAACTCTGCTGGAAACCCGTGTGGACCTGGATCCTTCCTATTAGGGATGGATTTAAGGGCTTCCTGGTGCTCAGCTGATGTTAGTGGCGAGTCCAGGACTGTAGCTTGGCTGTCTGATAATTTAGGAAGTGTTATCCTGTCAAGGAACTCATTGATCTCGTTATCTGATGGGTTTACCTGTGGTGAGTACAAAGTTTGGTAAAAGTCTCTGAAAGTGTTGTTTATTCTTTCAGGGTCATAAACTATATTCCCGGTTGGGTCTTTAACAGCAGATATGGTAGTTTTCTCTTTATTTTTAACTGGCTAGCTAAAAATTTACCTGATTTATTGCTATGTTCAAAGTTTTCTATTCGTAGTCTTTGTGCTAAAAATTGTCATTTTGTCAATAATTCCAAGAAGTTCTAATTTTGCTGTACGTAATTTGCTCAGTGACTCTTCTTCTGTGGATGCCTCTAAAGACTTAATGATTTCTTCTAACTCCTGAATACGTTTGTATTCTGTTTTTTTCTTATGTGATGAGAAAGAGATTATTTTACCTCTCATCACTGCCTTTCCTGCCTCCCAGAGAACAGATGCTGATGTTCCAGGCAGGTCATTATGTTCTAAATATAAAGCCCCCTCCTTTTTAAAAAAAATTCTATAAAACTTTCATCTTTAAGCACTGATGTATTAAACCTCCAGTTTTTGCTTGGTGGGATTGTCTTCTTGTTTACCAGAGTTAAAGAAACCGGAGCATGGTCGCTGACTGCTATGGGATGTATCTCAGTGTCTGAAATGTCAGCCAACAATGAGCTGCTGACTAAAATAATCCAAATGTGAATGAGAGTGATGGACGTGTGAGAAAAAAGTATACTCTCTACGGTTAGGATGAAGAGATTGCCATGCATCACAAAGCCCATAATTATTCATGTACTGTTTAACTATATTAGTGGATTGCCAATTGCGCTGAATCCCAACTGTACTGAGCCTGTCTGTTAAAGTGTCCATCCAAAAATTAAAATCACCTCCCAAGTATAAGTGGACAGTCCAAGTGTTCGGAGAGTACAGAGAAAAAAATACGAAAGAATGGAGGGTCATCAATATTGGGACAGTATATGCTGACGATAAATAAGCTTTTGGTCTGTATAGATATTTTTAACATTATAAATCTACCCCCTGGATCTGAAATTATGTTCAATTCTGTGAAATTGATGTTTTTGTGTATTGAAATAGCTACACCTCTTTGCCTAGAGTTATAGCATGCAGAGAACATGCTGGGAAACTCAGGTGTTTGAAGTTCATCTGCAGATGTGGCAGATCTATGAGTCTCTTGTAATAATATTATGTCTGCTTGCACTCTTTTTAACTGATCAAAATTTTTTAATCTCTTCTCTCTGGAGCCAGCTCCATGTACGTTCCATGAGGCAAACCTTAATGCACCCATAGATGTGTGTGTGAGTAGCTATAATATGATGCCTTCATGTGTATGAGATAAAATAAGTAATTAAACGCATGCATTAATCTTATAGTAAATAATAGAGAGTAAATAATAAGGGTATTATTATAATCATTATTATTATTTGCAACATTAACAAAATAATAGTAGCAAAAAAATTAGTTTTTTAACAATATTAATATAAAGATATTAATGCTGATGATGATAAATAATAAATAATAAAATAATAATAATAATAATAATAATAATAATAATAATAATAATAATAATAAGACAAGCCCAACAGTGTTTTGATGAGTGTTTTGGCAATGAAATGCCTTAGGCTTCTTATCTGTGTGACTGTGCGTATGGAGTCTATACGTGTGTGTGTGTGTGTGTGTGTGTGTGTGTGTGTGTGTGTGTGTGTGTGTGTGTGTGTGTGTGTGTGTGTGTGTGTGTGCGCGTGCGTACGTTGTGTGTGTTGCTGCAGTGTGGAAAGAAAAAAAAGAAGAAGCTAATTGTGCCATGCAGATGTAAAGATCCAGAAGCAGATAAAAAAGGCAAAAAAATGGAATTATAAAGGTTAAATAAGAAAATGCAAAAAGAAGAAAGAAAATAAAGTGTTGTGGGTGTGAGGTGGTGAGGGAACAGGTGAACAAAAAGGGGTTTAAAACAAAGCGCAATGCCTGGAGAACAGCAGCCCTTAGACTGCTGCCTCCCAGGCTGCTGAAGGCACGGCCTTTTTATCCCAAGTGTGGGTTTCAGATAGCCTGGCAAGCCAGACTAAATAAATGTATTGTTCATTTTTTATCTTTGCAAACTTTGCAAAGCAAGAATTTGGTCTAGTTCACTAGGCTAGGTCTCAGGGGGATTCGTCTCAGCTGTGCTCCTCATCAGCCTGGAGGAGAGGAGGAGGAGGAGGGGTGGTGTCTGGCTGATCACTGGGGCTGTGTGATCCTGGCTCCTGCACTTGAAGAGGCCAGGCTGATGGTTAGGGTTGCCAATCGTCCCTTGAAAAACGGAATCGTCCCGTATTTAGAAACACAAGTGCACGTCCCGTATTGAACTCAAAAGGGACGCACTTTGTCCCGTAATATAGTATGGATCAAAATTAGTCTGTAGTCTATTACCGGAATTAACGCTTTGTTTGAAAGCCAGCCCTTCGCCTGCTCTGTGACCAATGAACTGGCCGCATGCTTACATACGAATATGACGATACAGATTACCGCTTATTTCATTGGTCGAGGAACGGTCGCTTGGGGAGAAGATACCGGAAGAAAACAGACGACAGCAAACAGCACGGCCAACCGGGAAACTAACGCCGACACTGCTGTACAAGTCTCGGACGACAGTACCCCTCCGAGAAAGAAGAAAAAAGGCTTCAAAAATACAGGGAGGAATGGGAAAAGGAAAATTCCTGGCTGGAAAAACTGCGCGATAACACCTATAAAGCGCACTGCACCATGTACCGGCGCAGTTTTTCCAAAGGGCATGGTGGACTCACTGACCTCAAGCAACATGCGTCTAGTAGTAGCCACATGAAAAACATAAAGGACGTGAAATTACGGGGAACCCTCGATCAGTTTGTCGTCCACAAGGCCACGGCAGAAGCAGATATGGTAAGTAAACATTGCTTTTTTAAACCCTCTGGTTAAAGTGAAGGTATTTATATGAAGAAAAAAAACCCACTGTGTTGGGGCTTGTTTACTATTATTTTTATTATTTTTGTTGTCTGTTTCTGTTTTGTCATTAGTTTTTCTATTTTTTTTAACTTGGGTGTTTAGTTTCGATGTAGCCTTGTCTTGGTTTATATGTTGTTTGGATAATTTTAAACTAAAAGGATGGATAAATACATAATAAATAAAGTGAACTATTGTATTGTATAAAAGCTATACAATGTAATAAATATACAATAAATGTTTTCCATTTATTTACCACTGTAAGTGTTCTATGTGGTGCTTATAACCCAGGTTTACTTCTTATCTCCATTGGCAGGTTAAACATCTCTATGGATGAGCTTTATGACGAGTGTGTCACTGCAACCAGCCTTCTGGAGCCCCTCACCAAAGGACCTCAGGAGAAGGAAAAGTGGCAGTCCAAGGGAACAGCAGAGAAGTGTATAGAAATTCTTCAGGCAGCTGACCTCTCCAACATCCAGCCTGTTGTATCGTTTGTACTCAGCATCCCATCTTCCACTGGATTGGCAGAGAGGATTTTCTCTCTCATGAAGAATAAGTGGACTGATGTGCGGAACAAATGTTCTACTGAAATAATTAGATGTGAGCTCATTGTCACTCTAAATTGTGACATGTTTTGCTCAGAGTTTTACTCTGCAGTACTGAAAGACAACTCCTAAATGCAGCAAGATCTCAAAAGAAATACAAATGGAGAAAATAGTCTGTTTTCACATAATGTAGCATTGAGCTTTTGAGTTCATGAGTTTGGACTTTTTTTTTTTACTTCAACCGTAGGCTACAGTCAAGGCCTTTGAGGCACAAATATGTTTACAGCTTCTCCACAGACTTTCTGTTTGCACTTTTCTAATTGCACTCAATGTGCAGTTACAGCGTTGCTCTTTCTGTTGTTTTCTATTAATTTATACAATTTTAAGTTAAGCAGAACAGAGTTGTTTTAAAGAGAGTTATTTATATTCTAAAAAGTAAAGCATAACAGGCTACCGTTTAAGAAAGAGACCTACTTTTTTTTTTGTCATTTTGCACAAAAAGTTGAGCATAACAGTTTTCTGTTTAAGAAAAATACCTTTGTTACTTATAATAATTTTGTAATTTCACGCCATAAATAAATGGCTAAATGATCATTTGTTTCCCATGTTTTCATATCACAAAGAATATGCATCTTCTTAAACCAACTTCAAGTCAAATAGTAAAAAAAAAAATCCTTTCACACCCACACACAAAAAAGAGCAAAAAATCACCACGCTGGGAAGGGTGGCCTGGAGCGGCCGGCCCTGCCCGCGAGGTGTCCCTTATTTATTTTTCAGGGAGTTGGCAACCCTACTGATGGTCATAACACTTGTACTTACTACATACTGAGGTTTTATCCAGCAGAGTGAAGCCTTTTTTCAGAGTGAGGACAGTTTTGTGGTCCTCACTTTTTAAAAATGTCTACCAGTTGGTTTTAGAGGTATGGTGTGAATTAAGTTTTTGTAAAGGTTAGGGTTAGGAATAGATCAGGATTTGTTGTTAGGCATCATACAGTCACAAAATGAATGGAAGTCAGTGGATGGTCCTCTCCAAACGTGTGTGTGTCCTAACCTGGAAATATTTTCCATACTAAACACTCCTAGAAACGTTCATTAAAATTAATCATTTATCAACTAACTAACTAACTAACTAACTAACTAACTAACTAACTAACTTTCATTTGACTCAGTTGTAAATTTGTTTATTTTCAACAAACACTCATTTTCCCAGCAACGCTTGCGAGACCGGAAGCGTCCTGTACTTTTGGCGCGGTTGTCAGCCATCTTGGATCCGCTGCACACGAAAGCCGTTACTGTTCTAGCCATCATTGATTGTTTTTCTCGCGTAGCAGAAAGCCCTCGTTGAGTCCAACTTTAAACAGTCCAATAGTACTTTGTTTTGTGTAGCTGGTGAAGAAAACTCAGGGTAATTTACCGATTCGTCATGGCGACTGCGAACGTTACTCCAAGCCGAGAAGCGGGCCGGCCAGCGGCCTCAACCCCCTTGTCCCCGACCCGGATATCTCGCCTGCAGGAGAAACAAGATTTGCAGCATCTGAACGACAGACTGGCCGTTTATATCGACCGTGTCCGAGCCTTGGAGCTGGAAAACGACCGACTGATGGTAAAAGTGTCTGAGAAGGAGGAGGTGACTACCAGAGAGGTGGGTGGAAATAGTTTAGACGAGTGTTGTCGGCCATGTGTGTGGTTAAGCCCAGCTTCGCTATCACACAGAGACGTTACTTTAATTACTCCGAGCATTAAAACGCTGCACTGGTTCTACTTTTCACTTGTTTTCAATATAAGATCATGAAATTACAAATCCTTACAATTTCTCCCACGTTTGTGTAATGATCAGCCCGGAGGTTTCATCAGAAGTTACAGGAGTTAAGGCGTTCAACCTCCTAATCCGATTAAAAAAAAATACTAGCAAATATTTTGTCCTCAACATTTTAAAGTTTCGTCTGATCGTGATTTTTTCGCTTGAACCTAATATTATTTTATATCGTCTCGTGTGCTGGCTGAAGCGTTACACCCTACAACAATTATTCCGAAGAGATAAAAACAAAGACATCAGAGAGCTCCACAAGTGTTTTGTTTTCAGACTATGTTCCATATTTAATGGTTCAGCTAAAGGCAGCTGTCTTTTTAGTAAAAGACCAGATCTGGTACCTAGTTTAACCACTGAATACTACTATATTAGACTTTTAAAATAAACAAAAAACAAACATTTTATACAGCAACTATCACACACACAAAAGCAGTGGTCCTAAAGTGGAACCTTTTTGAATTCCATTTTTGAATTATTTACACATTTTCTCAGTTTTTAAAAATGAAGTGAACCATTCCAAAGCTGTGTTAAAAATGTAACAAATTTTATGTGAATGTCTGAGGATTTGTTGGATTTATTTAAGAACTCAGTCCAGTGTTTCCCCTAGGAATTTTTCCAGCTGTTGTGTGTGTGTGTGTGTGTGTGTGTGGGGGGGGGGGGGATTATGACTCTCACCTTTATGTTAATATTGTTTTATTTGATGCACTCCACTTTGAACTGCACCAATCCAGCAACTGCTGCATTGTAATAACTAGTATTAAAGGTGAATACACCAATATTTGCACAAGAATCATTTTTGTTTTAAACTCTCAGTGACACACTTTGCAGGGGGGGATTTGGCATTTAATTTTTCTTGGTATCTGGAAAAACATCTCCTTCTGCCCCCCTTTATTTGACTTTTTGCCCCCTTTATTTTGGTCCAAGATCATTACTGGGCTGGCCCTATTAAAAACATTCTACACCCCTGCTTAGTAGACTTAATGAAGTATTTTTAAGCCAGTATAAAAATGACCGAAACACAAATTTACATATTTGGCATTATTGACCAATATCTTTGATTTAATTTATTTGTTAAGAACATCAAGATGCATTACAGTGAACATTATAATAAAGTAAATTTTTCTAGTGCAGAGAGGAGACAACCCATTAAAGCACTGATTTGATCTCATTTCAGAGAAAAATAGAACAGGTCAGATGCATCTAATAAACAAAATTACTAACAAACTCGGGAATCTGTTGCTTTGCTTCATTGTTCTGGTGCTGAAAATATCACTAATGCGGATCAAAGGAGATACACAGATGAATGCACCTCTTATTTATTATTTGGAAATTAGTGGGTGTGGTTAAATCAATACATTATTTTAAATCTGAAATTAATATGGAATGATCAGAAGTTGCTATGTGTATTGTTTATTTGAAAACTATTTACAGAGCAGCCTCAGAATTGAGATTAAATATTTTTGATCACAATAGTAAAGAAACTATTACAGAACAAGTTTTTCAGTAAAATCAGAACATTATTATTTAAGTGCATGAATTAATGCATCTGAACTCGTGCAGTAGGAACTATGAAATATGAAATACTAGAACCATTTTAATTTGATTAAACTGATTTTTCCTAACGTTGTTGGCATTTTTCCCACACACAGTTAAACAAAACAATGTTGATTGAGGTGTGTGTGAGAGAGAGGGAGAGAGATTTAAAATGATAAAAAAAATAAACCCGAGCGGAGGCAGTGACCGACTCAGCACGAGCCGTTTTCAGCTCTGTCTCTTCAAATGCACCACGTACGTTACAAAAAAGTAACTTATTCAACCGAAAAAGAGGCGAGCTGAAGAAAACCTAGGGAGTACTGAAGAAACGTGATTAACAGTGAAGCAAGCGCAGAGATCTGTTACTGTGTGTGTGTGTGTGTGTGTGTGTGCGCGTGCGTGTGGATGGGCCAGACGGACTGAGCTCCCAGTTGCAGTTTTGTGTGTAGGGAGAGGCGGGCGCACTTACAGGTGCTGGCCAGTAAATTAGAATATCATCAAAAGGTTGAAAATATTTCAGTAATTCCATTCAAAACGTGAAACTTGTACATTATATTCATGCAATGCACACAGACCAATGTATTTCCAATGTTCATTACATTTAAATTTGATATTCATAAGTGACAACTAATGAAAACTCCAAATTTGGTATCTCAAAAAATTAGAATATTCTGAAAAGGCTGAATATAGAAGACACCTGCTGCCACTCTAATCAGCTGATTTACTCAAAACACCTGCAAAGGCCTTTAAAAGGTCCCTCAGTCTTGTTTTGAAGGCACCACAATCATGGGGAAGACTTCTGACTTAACAGCTGTCCAAAAGACAATCATTGACACCTTGCACAAGGAGGGCAAGACACAAAAGGTGATTGCTAAAGAAGCTGGCTGTTCGCAGAGCTCTGTGTCCAAGCACATTAACAGACAGGCGAAGGGACGGAAAAAATGTGGTAGAAAAAAGTGTACAAGCTCTAGGGATAACCGCACCCTGCAGAGAATTGTGACGACAAACCCATTCAAAAATGTGGGGGAGATCCACAAAGAGTGGACTGCAGCTGGAGTCAGCGCTTCAAGAACCACCACGAGGAGACTCATGAAAGACATGGGATTCAGGTGTCGCATTCCGTGTGTCAAGCCACTCTTGAACAAGAAACAGCGCAAGAAGCGTCTCGCCTGGGCCAAGGACAAAAAGGACTGGACTGATGCTGAGTGGTCCAAAGTTATGTTTTCTGATGAAAGCAAGTTCTGCATTTCCTTTGGAAATCAAGGACCCAGAGTCTGGAGGAAGAGCGGAGAAGCACAGAATCCACGTTGCATGAGGTCCAGTGTAAAGTTTCCACCGTCAGTGATGGTGTGGGGTGCCATGTCATCTGCCGGTGTTGGCCCACTCTGTTTCCTGAGGTCCAGGGTCAATGCAGCCGTCTACCAGGAAGTTTTAGAGCACTTCATGCTTCCTGCTGCTGACCAACTTTATGGGGATGCAGACTTCACCTTTCAACAGGACCTGGCACCTGCACACAGTGCCAAAACCACCAGCACCTGGTTCAAGGACCATGGTATCCCTGTCCTTGATTGGCCAGCAAACTCGCCTGACCTTAACCCCATAGAAAATCTATGGGGTATTGTGAAGCGGAGGATGCAATACGCTAGACCCAACAATGCAGAGGAGCTGAAGACGACTATCAGAGCAACCTGGGCTCTCATAACACCTGAGCAGTGCCACAGACTGATCGAGTCCATGCCACGCCGCATTACTGCAGTTATTGAGGCAAAAGGAGCCCCGACTAAGTATTGAGTGCTATACATGCACATTCTTTTCATGTTCATTCTTTTCAGTTGGCCAACATTAGAGAAACAAACATTTTTTCATTGGCCTTTAGAATATTCTAATTTTCTGAGATACCAGATTTGATGTTTTCATTGGTTGTCACCTATAAATATCAAAATTAAACGTAATAAACATCGGAAATACATTGGTCTGTGTGCATTGCATGAATATAATGTACAAGTTTCACGTTTTGAATGGAATTACTGAAATATTTTCAACCTTTTGATGATATTCTAATTTACTGGCCAGCACCTGTATGTGACTGGCCAGTCACAGAGCATGAAGACAGTCAGTTACCTTAATGAGGATTTTCCTTCAGCACGATTACAGATATTTACGAGTTTTACTCGTTTCACGCTCGTATTCGTCAAAAATGCTTTATCCATACCGGATACTCGTCTGAAACGAGTATCTTGCTCATCCCTAGCTGTAACCACCCTGCCCTGCCTCCTCCTCCTTGTTGCCTGCCGACTGTGATCACAAGCAAAAACAGAGTAGTTCCCGCTGCTTCTTCGGGAAACGGCGCAAAAAAAAAAAATCAAACTTAGGATCTTGTAGGCGTGGCACTGGGATTTCAGCCGTGGCGGGCCGCCATGGCTACACCTATGTAAGGGAAACACTGCAGTCCAACAATCAGTAGTGCTTTCTTAATAAAAATCAGATTGACTCAGCTGTTCTGTTAATGACAACTGAAGAGAGCTGATTTTTCTCTCATCTCAAGGAATTCAGTGCAGCATGTTGGAAATGTTTTCATCTTGTCATTTATTCATTTCTGGTGTGTGTTTGCATCTCTTTAGGTCACTGGGTTAAAAGCTCTTTATGAGGCAGAGTTAGCCGATGCTCGACGTGTTCTGGATGAAACTGCTAAAGAGAGAGCCAGACTGCAGATCGCACTTGGGAAGGCTCAGTCTGAGCTAGAGGAGGCTACTCGCAGGTAATACAGTTTAATACATTAAACAGGTTGTGCAGTTTTAATCTGTTGTGTTTACATGAGACATGACTTCAAGTGAAGCGAAGCCCCAAACAGATCCACCATTGTTTTATTTATTGAAAAGGAGCAAAACCAAGTCCACCGGATGAGGTTCATTAGATGTATTGATTCATCATCAGCTGTTCAATAAAATCAGGCGTTGATTCAGTCTGCTGCTCTGGGGCAAATGGGAGCAAGGACATCAGCTGTGACAACAGAAAAAACACTCATTGCTGATCAACAGTCTAGAAAGTTCTAGAGTTCCAGATTAGGGTTGTCACGGTAACCGGTGTAGCGGTAAAACCCGGTAAAAAAGTTGACAATAATAATAGCCGTCTTGTTTTTTTAAAACTATATTATCTCGGTGGATTACCGTGGCTTCGGTGTAGGCGCGGTGACCCTTACCAGCCACCGTATCATCTGCTGAAGTTGCCGGCGGCACATGCGTGCTTTGTTGTTTACAACCAAAACGTTCTTGAAGCTAAAGCTGAAATAATGGCTAAAGGAGGAGACGGCAGCGTTCAGGACATTTATTATCCCTCAAAGAAGACAAAGTGGGAAGTACGGGCATTTTTGGGATATTTGAAGAATGCCGAGGGACAGTTGATAGAAGACGGCGATCCTGTTTGCAGCACGTGCAGAAAAAGTGTCTGTGAAAGGCAGCAACGCTTCAAATCTCATGACACATCTGCGTGACCATCACCCACAACTCTACAGTCAACGCAAGGCAAGCTAACGTTAGCGTTTTAGCTAAAATGCGTGATCCGAGGATTTGGGTTGAGGGAGAATGCAACGGGTCGCTATATAAAGCAGCCGCAGCGCCGCTACCTGCATATAAACCGATTTTCCTGATATGCAGGGTTTATTTTGAAAATGTAACACGTTTAAAAAAAATACCGCGATAATACCGAAAACCATGATAATTTTGGTCACAATAACTGTGAGGTTAAATTTTCACACCGTGACAACCCTATTCCAGATTCACTGTTTCCACTGATGATTTTTCCAACTCATTTGAGATGAGAGAACAAGAAAGCTGATTCCAGCACATTGGTGGGGGGATGATGGTTTGGGCTGGTTCTGCAGCTTCGGGACTGAAGCTCAGACCAAAGCAGGACATGAATCCAAATGTTAACAGAGCGACAACAGAACATACTGCAGTGGTCCAGTATAGAGAACTGAGCAGCACTGAATGTTTGCAAGCCTCAAAGTTAGACAGACAGACAAGCAGACCTCCTGCAGAACCTCATGAGAGACCTGACTGTGTCTGATGACCTGGTTCTGATGAGCTTTTGGGTGGAATCATTTTTCTGCTTTTTCCATGTCATCTTTGTTTAATAAACCTCTAAACATGGCTTGCTTCTGGATTAGACACGCAAACTGCCTGCAGTATTTCGAAAGCGGACCCTTTGAGACTCTCTACTATTCTTCTTTTTTTCTTTATCTGAACACTCACACTCTTCACTCATATACTTGGCTTGCTCAAGCCAAACATCTAAACACTCTTCACCTGGTGGGGTGGGAGTGACTCCTGAAAAGCTTCTCAAACACCTGTATGCATTATTTTCTGAATTCTTTGGCGCTCCATGCAACACATCCCCTACCGCACGAATGATGGACTCAGTGTTTGCATCCACGGAGGTAGGTGGACCATATAACTTCCTGAGGTCACTTATGGTTTTCCCTCCTCTTGTAGGAATTTAACCAACTTGTCAGAAAAACAACTTCAAGAGCAAGTCACCACCAAATCAACTTTTTTCCCAGATAAACTAAATAAACGAGTGTCTAATTGTGCTGCAGACATGTGTAGTCAATCGTTTTGCACTTTAGTGCATCTTAGTTAAAATTTAAAATTTCTGCCTAAAACTGTCAGTGTTAAGCCGTTGTCAGGTAAAAACTCTGCTCTGTATTTGAATTTAAATCTGCCACCGCTATTGGCTAAGAGGTATACTATGATGTAAACTGGTACATTATGATGTCACAATGCTGTGGTGAGTCTGTGTGTGTGTATTTGTTAGTGGCTCCGCCCTCTCGGTCTGCTAGGCAACAGCATTTGTTGCATTTTTTAAACATGAAGTTAGAGTGGAGTTAGACTCTGGAAGGGGGTGACTTGCTCTTTCAGTTAGCATCTGGAGGAGCTATCGCTGTTTTCCATGTATCTCCTTGGGGTGAAATTATTTCTGGGGGAACCTTGGACAGCTCAACCTGTTCACGACACTCACATAATACAGTGATGGTCTGTTGCTCATCATCAAACATGCGTCCTCTCACTCTTACTCGGCCAAGTGCTTTAATGCCCCCTAGGGTTTCTTCAATGCTTGCCACATCTGCATCTTCTGAGATTCCGCAAATCATCAACGCTTTGGATCGATTGCATCCTTCTCCTCTACACCAACTACTTAACTCTGGCTGTGTCAAGCTATTCATGACTACTTTAATTTCTTTGACTGTTATTTATCAAATCTAGGACCCAAAATAACAATTTATACAATTTGATGTGTTCTCTTTTCTAAAGCCTTGGGATGGTGCATCTTTCATTTAGTGCACGCTGTTACTTTAATATTTGACTAACTCTTGAAAATCCCAGCGGTGCCTCCAATTTGTGTGACACCCGTGCCAGGTAGCTAGACAGACCATCTTTAGTTTGGTTAGGATATAGTACTCTGGACGGGGTCCTGGGAACGTTTAATGCTGGCTTACCATACACAAGAGCACAACAAAATAATCACAAGGATTGGTTGTAACATTCCACGTTGCATCCACGTACATTTTAACCAAACTTATGTAACATTCAAGGAGCATAGTAAAATTGATGACTTCTTTTTCTACCTAGTTTTTATTCAATATAAGCAGTTTTTTATTCTCGTTTTAAATGACCAATAGTGTCTGTTTAATGAACTAATTTATGTTTTTAACCTCTCAAATGTATTCACATTTTTATTTATTAATTTAGATGTTATTATTCTCTTATTTTAAAATACCTGAGCTTCTATTAAACAGCCCATCTCAACTGGGCTACACTAGTAACCAACTATTTACATTCATGATGGAAGTAAAAAACGTGGCAACTACCGTCAGATTGATCGTTGTCTAATTTAACTGCACACCTTTACTCAGAACCAGACTAAGTTTGGGACTGAGAACGTTCTGTGCTTCAACCTGCTGTTCAAATCTGGAATCAACCTTAATGTCTGCCAGAGAAATGGCTCTTAATATGAGGGGTTTCTGCTCGGAGAAGTTGTTGTTGGTTTTTTTATCTCTTCTAATATAATCCGGATTTTTTTGTTTTTGCTTCCCCAGTGCCAAGAAGAAGGACACTGATCTTGCTGCAGCTCTGTCTAGGGCCATTGGTCTGGAGGGTCAGCTGAATAAGAGTGAAGCAGCTCTTTCTACAGCTCAGAGTCAGAATGCAGCTCTGACTTCTGAGCTGGCTGATCTAAAGAGCCAGCTAGCTAAGGTGGGTATTGCTTGCTTTTCCATTCACAAACATAAAAAAAGACGGTGGAAATGAGTAGAAAGACAAACATGAAAAAAGTTTTCTGGTGCATCGGTGAGGTTTGGTTCAGTGTTGCTCATCTGTTTTGTACAGAAGGAACGTTTACCCCTGCCTCACTAACCTACTGCTGACTCTAGATTATTTGCTCTCTGGGTCAGATGTCTATGTTTGTGTCTTGTTAAACTGAATACAGGCAGAAGATGGCCATGGTGTTGCTAAGCGACAGCTGGAAGCGGAGACTCTCATGCGTGTGGACTTGGAAAATCGATGTCAGTCACTTAGTGAGGAGCTAGAGTTTAGAAAGACCATGTTTGAAGAGGTGAGTTTGTATCTGGTGCAATGTGTTTGAGCTGATGTCCATCAACCTGCATCAGGTCACATGATCAAGCATCAGCCTAAACAACAGGCTTGTGTTGTCTTTTAGGGTCAGTTATGTCAGAGGTTTGCTGTGTTTTCATTTGAATACAGCTTCCATTCTTGGGAATTCAGCAGAGATGAGTCAGAGATAGAACAACATGTTCAGTTTTTGAACTTTAACGCCATCACCCTGGATATGATGATGGTAATGAAAATGATGATGACTCTAACTCATGTCATCTATTTCACTCTGCTTGTTGTTCAGGAGATGCGTGAGTCTCAGCATCGAAAGGAACAGAGAATAGTGGAAGTAGATTCTGGAATTCGTTCAGACTACGAATTCAAACTGGCTCAAGCCTTACAGGTGAGTTCAGGTTTGTTTACAGGTCAATCAAAACAAACAGGCCTTCTGGATGTTGTACCAACGCATCCCTACTATAATTAGAATTTCATTACAGAGTTGTTGTTAAAGTCAAAATTTAGATACCAGAGATGGACTGAACCAGTGTTTCCCCTACATAGGCTCAGGTGTGGCGCTGCGCCATGCCTGAAGTTCCAGCACCATACCTATGAGATTCCCCTCCACACACACACACACACACACAGATGCACGGGAAGTGGTCTGCGCGCACTACAGCTGGAAATATTTCTGGGGCAAACACTGAGCACAAACTGAAAATAATCTTCCATCTTTCTAACATGTAAACTTAGTAGGAAGGCTGGGCGTTCATTATTGAAGTTTCTGACTATTCGATACCGTTTCCCCATGTCGATAAACTAGATAAATAAATAAAAAAATGAAAAAATGTGTGTAGGTTGGCCACAGTTCATGTCACTTTAAGAAGCTGGACCGCCTTGAGTCATGTGACAAGGTGACTCAATGTAATCTAATACATGTGACAGCCCCATCTAGGGCAGTCATCCCCAAAGACGGGGTCCCGACCCACAGTCGGGTCGTAAAACATTTTTTATGGGTCGCCAAATAAATTTCTGAACAACGCTATTTATTTTTTTTTTACCAAGACTCATACATGCAGTTCAGCATTCAGCCACAAGAGGAAGCACATCACTTTTTTTTTTTTTTACTGTGGTTACCCGGTGTATTCATAGAACAAGTCTATATTGAAACTTCGTTGCCACTTGCCACGGATGAGAAATGGATGCTTGGTTAATGAAAAAGAAAGACACGGACAAAAACCAAACTACATCACATGAACGCCAGTCTAGAGACTAAAGAACAATGCAAAATAAAAGCTGCAACGCTATTCAAATAAGCATCATCCAAATGGGACGTCAATGATGGTGAACGAAGCCAAAACAAAGATGAATGCCCAGAATTTCCATCCGCCAACGGCCAACAATATGAGGAGAGCAGGAAACACAGAGTCGGAGAACCAGGAGAAGAACCAGCAGCTAAGAAAACACCATGTCATTATCTGTTTCCAAATGTGTTAAAACACATAGAAGAAAATGATGTCACTGACACACAAGTAAAGCATCTTACTGAACTCATTGTAACACACACTGTAGCTCTTAATAATAGTTTTGATCGCTATTTTCCAAAAGAGAGATTTGATAAGTTGAATGGCAAAAAGTGGATTCAAAATCCCTTCGCTTATGAAAATCCAGAATCTCTGCTTGAGTTAGGATTGACTCCTGGAGAAGAAACAGATGTTACAACTGAGCGGTGATCCTTTGCTAAAGAAAGACTTGAATCTGAGTATCCTCCCTTAAGTAAGGCCAGCTTTCAGCTTCTCATTCCCTTCACAACAACATACAAATATGAAGCAGGGTTCTTAGTTCTAACAACAATAAAGACAAAATTCAGAAGTAGACTGAATGCTGCACCAGATATGAGAGTTGCATTTAGACTGGAATGCAATACTGAAAAACAAGCAAGCCCGTCCATAACATTAGCAAGGCAAAAAAAAAAACAACATTTTGGTAAAAGCCATATTTATGACTTTCTTCACTAAGCATATGCGAAAAATGTTTTCTATTCTTAAAACAATTTTTGGATATTTGCGTGTTCTGAATGTTTTATCTAAAAGTTTTGTGCAATACTCCGTGTAATGTCCAAAGATAAAAACATCCGTATTCTGTTTTGTTTTTCAGATTGTTTCTTAATACATTAAAAATGTACATAATGTTTCAAATCCAGTTTTTCATTTTTATGTTCAAATTTGAGACTTTTTTAAGTTAAAAAAAGAAGAAATGCGTAGGATTTTGTTAAAAGAACAGTTGCATTTACAATGAGTAAATACATTTTTTTGTTAAATGGGGTCATGATGTTTTGTCTTTTTCAAAATGCGGGTCATCTGAAAAAAAGATTGGGAACCACTGATCTAGAGGACAACTTTTGTTTTTGCGCATACGTGTAGTTATCTATTTATCGTTATCGAGGTGAACTGGCCCAGCCCCACTCAGTAGTGAGTTATGCTAACGTCTAAATCCCCTTCCCTCAATCCTGGTTTTCCACTTCTCTACATGGATAATCTGGTGATCTACAAGTAAGATACTTTGTTAGGGATTATTAATCATTTTTACACAGATAAAGGTTGATTTATTGCACATTTTAAAGCAGTCGATGAGTACACAACCTCTCAAACATCCCTTAAAACAGTAATAAATGGAGGTTTATGAACATTCAAGTGGTCCAGCTTTAGCTGAGAGGAGAGGTTCTGAGTTTTCTAACACCTCCTGGGACTTGAGGAGAACTAGGTGTAATCAGGTCTCTGTGGTCTCGCCAGGACCTAAGGAAGCAACACGATGAACAGGTCTCCGTCTACAAGGAGGAACTGGAGCAAACGTTTCAGGCCAAGGTAAGTGACTAATCCTTCCCTGTGCTGAAGCGATATCAACAGTTTTCACTCTTAATCTGTCTCTATCTTCTTATAGTTGGACAATGCCAAAGTGTCCTCTGAGATGAACGACAAGGCTGTGGGTGCAGCGAGGGAGGAGGTGCAGGAGTCCCGTATGAGAATAGAGAGCCTTGGTTTTCAACTAAGTGCTCTCCAAAAGCAGGTGCTGCTCAAGACCACACCATCACTCACTCACACGTTGTCCACTGCCGTTACTGGCACACATTTGGACGTTTTCAATAAGATCTACCTTTTAGTTACTGAATAAATATTTGATTCTGATAAAGAACTGTAATTATCGGTGATCTGCTTGTTTGCTTCAGATAAAAACTGCATCAAATAACCATCGTCTGTGTGCAGTATGGCAACATGTTGTAAAAGCAGAATGCTTTTATGGTTCTGGTCCGGTCAGGTCCACTTGGTTATGGTGTTACTGGTTTAAACTGCTCTATTAGTCTGAGCCTAACGTGTGTTGTGGGTCTTGGCTGCTGTTAGATTGTGTGAGAACAGGACTAAGGCTTAATGGTCTGTGGGTCCCTGGTTCTAATGATCAGTCTTCTGTTTTTAGTTGGCTTCCTCAGAAGATCGCATCAGAGAGCTGGAGGAGACTTTGTCAGCAGAACGAGATGCGCACCGCCGTTCCGTCGAAGGGAAGGAGTTAGAAATGGCTGAGCTGAGAGACCGAATGAACGCTCAGCTCAGTGAATACCAGGAGCTTCTGGATGTGAAACTCGCTCTAGATATGGAAATCAATGCATATCGGAAGCTGCTGGAAGGAGAGGAACACAGGTACGTGCTTAGTCATCTTTACTGATGCAGCAGCTCTAAAGCTCCCATGTTATTATTTAGAACTCATTTTCCCCAAAAACATAAAAAGACAACATGCATGGACATGGACAAGTGTTTGCTAAATACATGAATATAAACATAATTACTCATTAAAACCCGTAGTTCGATGAGAAATAAATTTTTGGGACCTCTAGGAAACGAGATGAGACCAGATTAGAGTCAGATTGAACATCTACATCAGTGGTTCCTAACCTGGGGTTCCCGACGCCCACAAGGGGGCGCCAAAGCCTCTCAGTGGGTCGCCAGGACCTCTCCACTTTAAGGGGTTAAAACTTCATTTATTACTTGTTTATAGCCTACATTTTGCTCACATTTTTTTCATGAGTGAAAAGTTTACTGACATTAAGACAGGAAATAATTAGTACAGAAAAATTAACACACTTTTAAGAACATTTTGCTCACTCACTGTTTTATTTTCAAGTGTCAAAAGTTCATTAAAGATAGGACTGGTTGATTAATCACAGCCTTTACAGTAAATAATCTAGTATAAACAGTAATATACACATTTAAGTACATTTTGCTCAGTGTATTTTTTATGCGTCAAACGTTTATTGAAAGGAATGATTGATTTATCAGTGTTTACAAGAAACAATGTGTTCAGAAAAGTAATACAAACTGTCAAGCACATTATGCTCTGTTTGGTTTTGTTAATGACTTTGTTCTGTACTGGAGCCTACTATTACTGTTATCTATTGAATCAAAGCATATTAAAATGTGCTTGAACAATTTTATCATTTCTTAATAATGTTTGTACTGGAAGAGAGAATGGGAGGGGGGTCGTCAAAAATTTTACTGGTAAAAAATGGAGTCCCTTGGGAAAAAGGTTGGGAACCACTGATCTACATTACCTGTTCATGTAGGATTTAAAGCTCAGCCTGTGTTGTTGACAGAGTGCTTTCCTTCACATTCCTTCTGACTAGGGTTGTCACGGTAACCGGTGTAGCGGTACACCCCGGTAAAAAAGTTGACAATAATAACTGTCTTGTTTTCAAAAAAAAAAAATTATCTCGGTGGATTACCGTGGCTGCGGTGTAGGCGCGGTGACCCTAACCAGCCACCGTATCATATGCTGAAGTTGCCGGCGGCACATGCGCGCTTTGTTGTTTACAACCAAAACTTTCTTGAAGCTAAAGCTGAAATAATGGCTAAAGGAGGAGACGGCAGTGCTCAGGACATTTATTATCCCTCAAAGAAGACAAAATGGGAAGTACGGGCATCTTTTGGATATTTGAAGAATGCCGAGGGACAGCTGATAGAAGACGGCGATCCTGTTTGCAGCACGTGCAGAAAAAGTGTCTGTGAAAGGCAGCAACGCTTCAAATCTCATGACACATCTGCGTGACCATCACCCACAACTCTACAGTCAACGCAAGGCAAGCTAACGTTAGCGTTTTAGCTAAAATCCGAGGATTTGGGTTGAGGGAGAATGCAACGAGTCGCTATATAAAATGCAGCCGCAGCGCCGCTACCTGCATATAAACCGTGTCGCGGACACCCCCATGTTGAAATGACGCTATGCATTACGGGGCTCCCAGGGGCAGATAAGAGTTGGTCTCTCTCCGAGAATAATTATGAATTTAACAATGATTACTGCCTGATGACATTTTCCCACATCTGCAAAGCTCACTGGAAGGACACAAACCGAGGACAATATTTTCCTGATATACAGGGTTTAAGTATTTGTCTAAAAATGTAACACGTTTAAAAAAAAAATACCGCCATAATACCGAAAATCGTGATAATTTTGGTCACAATAACCGTGAGGTTAAATTTTCACACCGTGACAACCCTACTCATGACTGATGTGCTTTTTCCAGGCTGAAACTGTCCCCTAGTCCCTCGTCTCGAGTGACTGTCTCCAGGACGACAGGATCTTCCTCCTCTCGCACCTCCAAGAGGAAGAGAGCCGAGGCTGAGGTCCAGGCTCAGGCCCAGGAAGTGTCCCAGATGGGAAGAGGAGAGGAGCAGCTGATGGTTTCGGAGGAGAGCACAGCTAGTGGAGCCATCACCATCTCCCCAACGGACATGGATGGGAATGCAGTCACACTGAACAACGATAGCGAGCAGGTCTGGAGCCGAGCCCGCAGACCAGCAGCACAGTTTACGTTTCAAGAGGGTTGTCACTGAGCAGGTTTAATTCAGCTTTTGATGTCCAGTGTTGTTCTGTTGTATCGTACTATTAGGGATGGGTACCGAATTCGGTACTTTTTAAGGTACCGACCGAATTCCATAGTACCGACCGAACACCGATTCACGTCATTTCAAACGGTGCCTCGTTTCGGTACCCGTCCTTCATAACGAGAACTTGCCAAGAAAGATGCGCATGTGCAAGAGCGTTATGTCGTCGCTCACTGCGAGCCAGTTGTAAACAGAGCAGCATGGTAGAAAGAACGCACGCTAAATCTTGGGTCCACTTCACTAAATGTGATGGGTAACTGGGTGATGATGAAACCAGCGACAACGATCTAAGTGAGACAACCTCATCGTAATCTGCTCCGGTAGGTAAATAAAATGTTTAAGATAACGTTAGCTTGATATGTTAGCTTCCGTTTCGCTAATGGTGCGTTCACTTTCTCCTCGGAACTCCGAATTTCCGACTAGAATATGAACGTGCTCTAAAGTTTGGCTTCACTTTACTAAATGTGACGGGTAACTGGGTGAAGATGAAACCAGCGACAACGATCTAAGTGTGAGCCATCATCGTTTTAATCTGCTCCAGCAGTTAAATAAACTGTTCAAGATAACGTTAGCTTGGTATGTTAGCTTCCATTGCTACCATTGTTATCAGCTAATGGTGCGTTCGCTTTCTCCTCGGAAATTCTAACTTCCCAGTAGGAAAAATCAAATGAAAAACGACGGCAAAAGGAATGAAGATACACAGTAAATTTAGTTCACAGTAAAGATGTTTGCTTCAGTTTAATTATCAGCTTATAAAACTACAAGGACGATGTTAATACAAACAGTTTAATGTTATTTATCGTGATATTTATCAAATATTGTTATATATTGAGAAAAAAATATATTTAATTATAAAAGAGAATTAAAATAATAAACACTCAAAAGTATCGAAAATTGGTACCGTTAAGTACCGGTATCGATTCCTAGGTACCGGGAATTAGCACCGGATCGATTCAAATGTCAAAGGTACCCATCCCTACAACAATGTTGACGTGAAGACTTGATAAGGGACAAACCTGTTTAAACTGGGCTGAGTCTGGTGACTGTGGAGTCCCAGTTGTACCAGTCACGTTAGAAGATGACTAACATCACAACTGATTGTGGTGGTGGTTGGATGGACCAGTGGTGCCTTTGTACGGCAGAGTCACTTCTGTCAGTGCGCCCAGGGCAGCTGTGGCTACAGTGTCACCTCCAGGGTGTGAATGACTGTGTTGTAAAGCACCTTGGGGGGTTCCAGAACTATAGAAGGCGCTATATCAAATACAGTTAATTTACCATTTATTAGGCTCTTGTATGCATTTAATGTTCAGATTCAGCTCAGCACAACAATACACACACACACACACACATGCTCTCTCTTTCATCCACCCTGGAGGAATGACCAGATTTGGTGGTGTAGAGGTGATGGTTCTGACCTCTGCTGCTGGTGTTTTCTTTCATCCTGCAGGACCAGCCTTTGGGCAGCTGGAGGATAAAGAGACAAGTTGACGACGAGGATGAGATCATCTACAAGTTCTCTCCAAAATATGTTCTGAAGTCTGGGCGGTCTGTCACGGTGAGGGCCCTCCTCTCTGCACGATGGTTAAATTTGTTTGGTCATAATCGGCCATCTTTAAAAGCAGTCAGTAAGTCAGCTTGTTTGTCACGCAGCAGGACCAGACCCACAGCTCCAAAGCTGATGCTGGGTTTCTGTTCTCCAGTACAGTGTCTGTAGTTTCTGCTAGAGAACCAGTTTGTAAGCGGGCTCCTCTGACCTGCTGGAATTCAGGTTTGATTTCTTGATCCTCGGTTTGTGTTGGGATGGTGCAGATGAAGGATCATCACTGGTACACACACCTTTTACTATGGGCCCTATAGTTCCTATTTCAGGACATTTTATTCACTGGTGTCTGAGAACCCGATTGGAACGTTTCCAATCGGACTATCCTGGATCAGGTAGTGGCCTAGATTGTTTGTTTTGTAACCTGCTCTGTTGGCACTAATTGAAATCACCTTTAAACTCTGTGCTGTTTTCCGAATGTGGTTCTCAGGTGTGGTCTGCTGATGCTGGTGTCACCCATAGTCCACCTTCTGATCTGCTGTGGAAAAGCCAGGCTTCCTGGGGAACAGGAAGTGTCATCATTACCTCTGTGACTAACGCCGATGGCGAGGTAACCCGCAGCCTTTTCTTCACCTGATAATAGATGTCGTAGATGTTCTGTTCTGACCCGTTAGCTGCCTGTTCTACAGGAGGTGGCCCGGAGGAGTGTGACTAGGACTCAAGTGGAGATAGAAAATGGGGAGGAGGACGAAGAGGAAGTGGTACAGAGGGTGACTATGATTTTCCTGGTTTGATCCAAGTGATCAATGCTTTTTACAGCGTCTACACTAAATAATCAATACAACACTAAAACGTGTGTGTGTGTGTTCCACAGGGTAAAGTGTCTTCCAGAGAGTGCAGCATCATGTGAAGCTTCTACCAACTTCTCTATCATCTGGTTCTGTTTGCTTTGATCCGCTCCTGTCCGACTCATCCTTTTATCTTTCCAGACCAGACTAGATATTGTGGAATAATTGGGACGTTTTTCCTTGAATGAATTTCCTACAGTACCATCATGTGGTATTGCTTATATTATTATTGTTTCGTTTTTTTTTATACATATTCTGTTGATTTACATACATTTTTCAAATTTCATGTTGATTTTAGCACATTTCTTTGCAGTTGTTTATTTTTGAATGGAAAGTCATTTTTTAGTCACTAGAGGTTGAACTTGGTCACACAGAAGACGACATCTGGGAACAGCCAGAGTCTCATTTCTTTATTTTTCTTTATTACTTCCAGCATATAGGAGGGTTGGAGTTTAGTACCTCGTGCCATTTAGTGCTATAGTCATGTTTTAAAGATGTATCTTGGTTTTATGTGTGAGGGTTTTACTTCTGACATAGCTACTGGTTTGGAACCAGTAATGAGGGTTTGATTGGTCCCTGCTGCCCTCCACTGGTCTGTAGCTGTACTGCGACATGACACAATGTCGCAGCTCTGTCTACAGAAAACCAGTGTTTTAAGTAAACTAAAGTGAAATCTTAATCTGGTTTAACAGAACCAGAGCTCAGACACTACTTTAGTCTAAGCATGTTTCTTCTCAGAGGTCATGGGTCAGTGGCAGGACTCAAAACCAGAAGCATTTCTGGTACATTGCTCTGTCTAGTTCCTCGTGGACCTGTCATTACTTTGAATAATGTTCCCACCCCAAAGATAAATGACAGGAAGAAGTCTTAAACAGCGACTAGTGAACAATCCTTTAAACTCAATAATCCACCTGGACCAGCTGCGGTATAGATGTGAGACACATTTGAACTTCCTGTTAGAAGGAATGGCATGGACTGATCCAGGTTAATTCTTTAGTAGTTTGTAGTGTCTCCAACTGTGGCCCTCCAGGTCCACCATCCAGCATGTTTTAGCTGTTTCCCTGCTCCAGCGCTTATGATTCAGTGGTGGAGTCACCTGTTTAACAGGTCATGAAGCTCTACAGGAGTCTCTAATGCTATTAAACATGCTGGAAGGGGGCCCTGGAAGACTGGGGTTGGACACCTGGTTTAGGTGACCAGCACTTGTGGGTGGGGTGGGGTTGTTTCCTTTCACGATGACCTGTTCATCTGATTTTTATACATGCAATAAAGTTTTACATTTAATTTCTGATACCACTTGTTTTTGTACAATCATCAAAAGTAACACTGAAAGGTTTGTGAGCTGCTGTCCTCAACACACACAAGTGATGTCCCAATGTGAGTGCTCAGGGGTGTGTGGAACTGGAAGTCCTACCTCCACACCTGGCAGGACCTGTGTTCTGTTACTGGCTCTAGATCATTTCTGTCGTTCATCACCAAAACTGTCTTATTCAGCTTTAGTCCAGAGATCTTGGGGATGTTCTTTTTACCTTTCTCTCGAATAATTACTCATAAAACGAACATCAACCCCGCCCTCGGGTTTAGTTAGATGAGTACATCACGAGGTTAGATGTTATGGAGATGACGTGGAAAATGCTGATCAGAGTGAGGGTAGTGGATGTAGGAGAGGGGGAGATGATCCGCTGTGGAGCATAGACCCTGACAGGAAGCAGGTACAGCAGGGACCGGAAGAGGGCGCCAAAGGCCACAACAGACGGAACCACTGAAGAAGGAAAGGTTTGTACGTGTTGGGTTCGTGAACTTGTGTTCATGATGCTGCTGGTTCTGTCTGAAGATCACAAAGAACACCTCTCCTTCCTCCCAACAGTTGAAACTTCCGGTGAGTAAACGGTTGCTCTTCCCGTCCTATTCGGTTCCGTTTTCCATCAGCAGTCACGAAACCGAATCAGCAGTGCTGCACCGAACCAGACCGGTGGCTTCCAGTGACCGGACATGACTTTGGCTTTTCATGTTTCTGGACTCACCTCTACCAGAGACGGTCTGGGTTCCAGAAGCCGATTCTGATAGTTTTCTATATAGATCACGTGACAGCTCAGCTGATTTAAAGCGGCTGTGTCGACTCTCCCAGTTGCCTCCTCCAGTAGGACCAGTCCAGAGACGTACCAGCGCATCTAAAACAGGAGTGGGGAACCCTTGTCCTTGAGGGCCGGTATCCTGCAAGTCTTCACTCCAACGCTTTGATTAAGTGGTTGATTCCCATCTCCACGTCCATCTGCTGCACCTAAAGGATCTTCTGACATCATATAACTCCGCAGACGCGAGGGTTTCCTATTTTTCCAACCTGGTGTCCCCCATGGTGCTGTTTAACACCATCAGCAGCATCGTCTCTCCTGCCACTCCTACAGCCTCCATTCACTCTGTTGCAGACTGTGAGAACTGTCTGTCTTTCTTTGTGGACAAAGTCAATAAGGTTAGATCTAGCATCTCTCCTTCAGCCTTATCGCTGCCTCTCCCAACTCCAACCAGGCCCATCATCCTAGATAGCTTTGCTCCTGTTTCTTTGCCTGAGCTAACCAAACTAGTTAACTCTATGAAGACCTCTGCATGCCCCCTCAACTTTTCAGTCCATCGGTCCCAGCGTGCTCTCTATAATTAATGCTTCTCTGGTTTCTGGTCAGGTCCCTGCTTACTTTTAAGAACGCTGCAATCCACCCACTTCTTAAAAAACCGAGTCTGGACCCCTCTCTCCATAGCAGCTTCAGACCCATCTCTAAACTTCCGTTCATCTCCAAGATCTTGGAAAAGGTTGTGGCTAAACAACTCACAGCTGCTCTTGATGAACATAACATCTATGATTGCTTCCAGTCAGGTTTTCGTAGAGCTCATTCTACTGAAACAGCTCTTCTTAGGGTCTCTACTGACCTTCTGACTCACAGTGATGCAGGGGACTGTTCTGTTCTGGTCCTGCTGGACCTGACTGCAGCCTTTGACACTGTTGACCATCACCTGCTACTGGAGAGGCTGAGAGACTGGGTAGGCCTATCAGGATCTGCTCTGGAGTGGTTCTCCTCTTATCTCTCTGAGCGCTCCTTTTCTGTGGCCGTCTCCAAGTTTAGGTCCTCCACCAACTCCCTTACCCATGGTGTCCCACAAGGTTCTGTGCTGGGGCCTCTGCTCTTCCTCCTCTATCTGCTTCCTCTTCAGCACATCCTGAGCTCCTTCAAAGGAATCTCCTACCATCTTTACACAGATGACATCCAACTGTACATCTCCTTTAAGCCCCATGAGATGTCTAAGCTGCAGCTGTTACACACCTGCTTAGACTCTATCAAAACCTGGATGGCTGGGAGATTTCTACAGCTGAATGAAGATAAGACTGAGATCCTCATCTGTGCCCCAGACTAGCTGGTTCCCAAAGTCAGAGACTCTCTTGGTCAGCATGCTTCCCACACCAAACCTTCTGTCAGGAATCTTGGCGTGACCTTTGACCCAGCTCTCACCCTGGATTCTCATGTCAGTTTTCTTGTTCGCTCTTCCTTCTTCCATCTCAGGAACATTGCTAAGCTGAGTCCCATTCTGTCCCGCTCTGAACTTGAGACAGTTCTCCACACCTTCATCTCCTCACGCTTAGACTACTGTAACTCTCTTTTCACGTGTCTGAGCAGAACCTCCCTGGAACGTCTACAGGTGGTTCAGAACGCCTGTGCTCGGCTTCTGACCAAGTCCTCCAAACACAACTACATCACCCCGCTTCTCCTCCAGCTTCACTGGCTGCCAGTCAACTCCAGGGTTCATTTCAAGATCCTGGTTCTGGTCTATAGGACCTTACATGGACAAGCACCATCATACATTGGTGACCTTCTCAGTCCCTACACCCCCAGCAGGTCCCTGAGGTCCAGTGATCAAAGCCTACTGGTTGTGCAGCACCAGGCTAAAGACCAAAGGTGACAGATCATTTGCTGCTGTGGCCTCCAGACTCTGGAACTGTCTCCTCCTGGGCCTGAGATCAGTGGACTCAATGGTCTCCTTTAAAAGGCAGCTGAACTCATCTGTTCAAGCTGGCTTTGTGTGACTTTCATCACCCTCTCCTTGTTCTGCACTTTCTACCTATTTCTTTTATTACTTAACCTTATCATTATTATTTTTTTATGTTGTATATTATTTATATATATATGTATGTGTGTATGTGTGTGTATGTATGTAAATATATGTATATATATGTATATAGATATATGTGTGTATATAAACATACGTATATATATATATATATATATATATATATATATATATATATATATATATACGTATATATATATATATATATATATATATATACGTATATATATATATATATATATATATATATATACATACGTATATATATATATATATATATATATATATATATATATACGTATATATATATATATATATATATATATATATATATATACGTATATATATATATATATATATATATATATATATATATATATATATATGTATGTATATATATGTATATATGTATGTATATATGTATGTATATATATGTATGTATATATATATATATATATGTATGTATATATATGTATATATGTATGTATATATGTATGTATATATATGTATGTATATATGTATGTATATATATGTATGTATATATATATGTATATATGTATGTATATATATGTATGTATATGTATGTATATATATGTATGTATATATATGTATGTATATATATGTATAAATGTATATATAATATGTATATATGTATATATATGTATATATAATATGTATATATATACATATATATGTATATATATATGTATATGTATATATATACACATAAAAAGGGAAGCTCGGTGCTGATGGTGAGTGTATTTTATTAAACATCGGTTGAGGACCAGGTGCTTCCAGGTGAAACACAAGCATCTATTAACTATTCAGACCAGCTCCTTATCGTATGGACCAACTTTACAGACCTGTGTGTTTTCCTCCTCAGTGGTTAAAGAGTTTGGTCGCATTGCTCTGGAGTTCTTACGGAGAGGGACCAGTGCAAAGATCTATGAAGCAGCAGCCAGTAAGAACCTTCTAGTTCTCAGCTGTTGGTGAGTGAGTGAGTGAGTGAGTGAGTGAGTGAGTGAGTGAGTGAAACACCAGCAACGACAGACCGACCGACCTCTGGTATGTAGGTGTTCATTAAATTGAGAGATCCATCAGACCTCCACTCTAGAGCTGTGTGGTCATGTCCATGTGCTCCTTATTTACTCTTTAGTCAGAACAGTAAGTTCAAAGGTTGCTGCTTTTTTTCAGGGAAGCTGTGCGTTTCCATGGAAACTGTCCAAAAAGGAGTGGAAGGTCTGGTGTTCCTGCTTACAGAGAGCTCCAAACACCTGGTGAGAGAACTTCGACTAACTCCACACGTCAGGACCAGGTTCTACATGTACAACGTGTGGTTCTGGTGTTCAGTGGCAACTGTTCTCCTAAACCACCCTACTCTGTGTTCCTGCAGCTCTCTGAAGTGGACTTCCTGGACTCTGTGTTGGTTCTGGGGTTCAGTGAGGAGCTGAATCAGTTCCTGTTGCAGGTGAGTGTTGGATGTTTGGATGATTTAACAGAACGTCTTGTTGACAGTTGCTGTACCTCTGGTGTTCCAGCTCTACCAGCAGCACCACAGTCAGATTCGCAGCATCCTGAACCAGCTGGTCCACAGTCAGCCGGCCTACCATAACCTGGAATGGAGACTGGATGTTCAGGTGAGGTTCAGGGATTCTAGTCTGTGGTTCTGTTTGAAGATAAGTAATCTTAAACGGTCTTTCAAAAACAGTCCAGATTAACCAGTTATCATGATCAGTCAGACCCAGAGAGACCGCCGTGATGAGCAGCACCTGGTCTCTGAGAAACGGGTCCGAAGATGAGGCTGCAAAACTCTCTAAATCCGACTTTCATTGTTGTTCCAGTTGGCAAGTCGTTCAGTTCGTCAACAGGTTGTTCCCACGGTAACGACTCGACTTCAGCTGACGTCAGGAAGTGAGCTGAGCAGCAGAGTGCTGCAGATCGATCCCAGCACCCTCCTCCACATCATCTCCAGTCTGGAAGCAGCTCTAGCTGCAGTGAAAACCGGCCACGCTCGGCGAATCTTACGCAACATTAAATGATCCTTCCTGAGCTGGGCTCTGGACCACAAGTCCTTTGGTGGACGATCTGACAACGTCTCCGGGGAGACACTTCATGCAGTTCCTCTGCAGCTTTCAGGAAAGAGTTTCTGATTTGATACTGATGGTAGCAAAGGATCGACTTCTGATTAAACTAATTGCTTATTACCTTCTGAATGGGCCAAACCGGATTGTGTGTGCCAAAGTTGTTAATAAAAAAAGTGTGTTTGTACAACAGTTTAGGTTAAATATTTTTTTCCATAACAAATGAGGTCAGAACTTAAATCCAACTGCAGTAGCTCAACAGGTTGAGCGGGTTGTTCAGTAATCGGAAGGTTGCAGGTTCGATCCCGACAGACAATTTTGCTGCTGTGTCCTTGGGCAAGACACTTAACCCCCCCCTGCCTGCTGGTGGTGGTCAGAGGAACCGGTGGCGCCTGTGCTCGGCAGCCTCGCCTCTGTCAGTGCGCCCCCAGGGCAGCTGTGGCTACATCGTAGCTCATCACCATCAGTGTGTGAATGGATGAATGATACACTGTAGTGTAAAGCGCTTTGGAGTCCTTACTCTGAGAGGCGCTATACAAGTGCGGGTCATTTATCATTTAACTACAGTGCAGGAAAGAGCCGAGTCAGCAGCTGTTCCTCAGAATCTTTGGATTGCTGATATTAAACCAGCACATTAGACATTTTCATACCCTTTCTTCAGGCCTGTCCCTTCAAGAGTCTCCACAGCAAATCATCTGTCTCCATTTAATCCTACCTTCTACCCTCACCCCAACTAAATCCATGCCCTTTTTGACCACATCCATAAATCCCTGTTTCTAATCTAGTTTTCTTCAAATACTGACACGGAATAAAACAAACATGAGTTTCTTTTTACTGGAACTTTATTACATAATATATTTTTACAGAAACAATTTCAGTTAGTCTGAAGTGGTCTTCATCCTAAAGTCTGGGAGGACCAAAGAGTCTCCATCCTTCCATTTTACCAACTTTGGTGAAAAAGGCCAAGGTACCCAGACCAAGACAGGCTGTAGTCCCCGTCATGGCGTTGTGAGCTACAGTAACAAAATAAAATTATATTAGAGAATGAAATTGAGTGTAGCTATTGTAATAATTTTAGTTCTAATTAATTCACAGATCAAAACAAAACAGCCACTTTTCATCAAATTAGAAGTGTCTGTTGTTAAAGATCCATCCTGAAACGAAGAGAGTGGTGCCCCTATCGTGTTGCTGTGTTTCAATGAGATGTTAAAAGTAAACACACACTTACTTTTGGCTCCAAGAATGACCCCTGAGGCGCAGCCCCCAATAAAATAATTTAGAGGGTCATCGGGAGCTTCTCGGGCCTGAGCAATGAGACATGTTGTCATTCCAAAGACAGCTCCCATGGTGGCTGGTTGGAGGAGAGGACAGACACGGATTCAATTACCATACCAGAAACCAAAGACTAGAACAAGACTAGGACAGATACTAGTCCGAGACAGGTTCTCTCTAAAACTAAATGTTCTGGAGCAGCTTCCTGTCTGTTATCCAGCTTACCCATGGTGACAGTAGCGCTGGTGGTCCGCTGCAGGGCTGCTAAGGCAGTCTCAGGCGGGTACACTATGAGGTGATAGGCTGATCCGACCAGACCTGAAACAAAACCAAAACATCAACTTTCACTGTGGACCTCTGCTGGTTCCCTCTAGTTCTTGAAGAACTGATTTAGTCTACAGCAGGAATGGTTCTGGTCCTACAGTCTGTTTATATAAACGGTTTATGGGTTTTGTGTAGGTTCTGTTTTTGTGCAGAACCCCGTGTATGTAGAGAGAATTAGCTTCAGAGCTAAGCTAGCGGACAAGATCCACTCAGATCTCGCACAACAGCTGGTCTCGTTTAAAGCTCTTTCTCTATAAAGTTTTAACTCCATCATTTACCCAGAGCTGTGCCAAGTTTGGCGCTGATCCATGTTTTCTGAATGCAGTCGGTACCCTCTGGAACATCCCAGTACCCCATCTCCAAACCAAACTCTAAGCAAGGTCAGCACGAAAAATCTCGCGAGAGAACTCATTTATTCTTAAGAACATGTTGGCGCGTTACCGCCATCTGTCGGTGCGGAGTGTAACAACATGATCGTGTTTACAGTTTGTCCAACAAAAGTCAAGTAGTCAAAATTCTTTATTCCGGACTCTGTCCAATTCACAGAAGTAGAAAACATTGTATAGATAAGATAACATGAAATGAGCACAATAAAGCTCAAGAGACATATAATCACGAATAACAGAAACAAGAGACAATAATTATGGAAGCCCATTCAGATAAAAAAAATTATTATCTCATAATTACGACTTAGCTATCTAATTATTATGACTTAGTATCTCATAATTATGACGGGGCGATGGTGGCACAGGAGTTAAGTGCTCGCCCCGTAATCGGAAGGTTGCAGGTTTCGAGTCCTGCTCAGTCTGTCGCTGTCGTTGTGTCCTTGGGCAAGACACTTAACCCACGTTGCCTGCTGGTGGTGGTCAGAGGGACCAGTGGCGCCAGTGCTCGGCAGCCTCGCCTCTGTCAGTGTGCCCCAGGGCAGCTGTGGCTACATTGTAGCTCATCCCCACCAGTGTGTGAATGTGTGTGTGAATGGGTGAATGACTGATTATGTTGTAAAGCGCCTTGGGGGGTTCCAGGACTCTAGAAGGCGCTATATCAAATACAGGCCATTTACTTTGCTATATCATTATAATGAGATACTATCTCATTATTCTGACTTAGCTATCTCATAATTCTCAAATTCTGACTTAGCTATCTCATAATTCTCAAATTCTGACTTAGCTATCTCATAATTCTCAAATTATGACTTAGCTATCTCATAATAATGAGATACTATCTCATTATTATGAGATAGCTAAGTCATAATTATGAGATAATAATTTTTTTTATCTGAGTGGCGGGAACAGTAGTGTGAAAAAAAGATAAACTATTGTAAGTCCCTAATTTAAAAAGGAAAAAATGTTATACCAGTGTTTCCACATCTTTGACTGGTAGCGTATTGCACTGACAGGTACTGGTTAGATTTAAAATAATCACATTTTGAGAATTGTGCAGCCTACAAATACATTTATAAAAACATTTCTTCAGACAGCTTTTAGGGTGCTCACCCTCGCATTTACAAAAGTCTCACTTGCACTCGTCCATCTAGGCTTCCTCAATATCAAACACAGAGCATCCTTATAGGCAGCCTGCGCAAACATTTCTTATAGTCCATAGGTGGGCCGTGTACAGCGGTGTAAATAAAAAGCAAACATTCTTAATAAAAAAAGACATTTATCTTATAACATAAACACCCAGACAGGTTTAACGTTGATCATTCCTTTTCTTTTGGACGTAACACTTATTCTCAACTTTCTGCACTTTTTAGATGAAAAATTAGGTTTTAAGTAAAGAATACTAATCAGATGGTGTAATCTACAAAATCTGAGTCTATATGGATGCTTCACGTTTTTCTCTGTTTAACAGCAGGTTTAGAATTTCACATCTCCTTTTTAACCCACTCAAAATTCTGACTACATTTTCAACTTGTAAATTAAGATTTTTTTCCATTCCTGCTTCACAGCAGAGTACTAATGTTCACACGTGATACAAGACAAATGAAGTTCCAGCTTTTTGTATATTTATAATTAGTTTTCTAACAGGTAGAGAGAGCAAACTTTGGGACGTATAAATAGGCACACATTTGTACTAAAGATAACCTAAAAGTTTTATTTTTATCACTTCCCCCAAATAAAAAAATATTCTTATCTCTTAATGACTTAAGTTTTTTTTTTCTGTTTTAGGACTGATCACCAGTCTCCAGAATGTGGCCGGTGTTCCACCCTATGATTTTATGTGGCTCACAACTACAACCCAAGAAAGTTTCAATTTAGTCTTTCACCTGGCTTTTGACGCAGGTATTTTTTTTATGTTAAAGGGGAAGTACAATGCAAAGTATTTTGCCATTTTTACAGGTTTTTGGCTTTTCTGGAATTTCTAGAAAAACAGATCTAAAACTAAAACATCTCACTGACTTATTAAAAAGCAGACTTGTGGGAACCATTCAGAAAACTTTAACATGGCTGAAGCGTGGCCCAGATCTCATTTCTTGTTGCTGATGAAGACCAAGGAACCAGAAAAACATCAACCCACCAAATCCAGGGAGCTAGAAGTTTTCTCTTTAATGAAGAAAACATATCAGACCCTTAAATGTCTTGTATCTACAAAGATTAACAGATCTTTTTTTAGGTGAGACTCTTAATAAACTTCCCGTGTTCCATACAGATTTAAATGCGTGGTTCTTTAGTCAAAATATTTTTATTTAAACCATGATAATGGTTTTGTGACAACAATATGCATCATCTCTTCTCCTGCTGTAGCAACAGAACATGTGAATGATATTTATGACCGCATTTGTCCAATAAAAATAACAAAAGAAAATAATGCACACAGTTATTAGTTTAGGGTCTTATTCATCCATAAATGAAATGAGTGAAAACATGAAGGAGAACATCAATTTGGCATCGCTGAACTTCGGAGCCAGATGTTCTAGGATGTTCCTCTGTGGTAGAACATTTTTTCATCATAAATGGAACAGAAACTCAAAAGATCCAACAACTTCTGTACATTTTTCTAAAGTCAGAGTGAGCGTGCTGCAGGCAGCAGCCTGCTATTATTTCTTGTCCCAGAGGTGACGGTATGCGTCCAGTTGGAACTCATCATCGTAGGCCTCTGCTGTTTGCTTCTTCACTTTCTTCACGTCCCTCTTCTTCTGTCGAGCACGACGCTCCTCCTCAGTAAGGGTTGACAGATCTACTGGCATCTTAAAAAAGAAGAAGTAAAAAAACAAGTCAGGTTTAAAACAACAAGTCAGTATTCTTCTATCTAAACAATGAGCTGATGGAGAGCTTGCAGACAGAACCGGTCCATTCAACTAACTTTAACTTCTACTGGAATATCCCACGGTGGTTCTGTTTACACTTCACCTCTGAGTAGGTCATTTTATTCAGCATAAGGAACACATCCGTCAACAGTCACACACTAATAACACACACCAGGACCATGTGGGTTTCACCTATAACCCATCAGTCCAGTTCCGACCAGGCTGTAACCTCTGTCCTAAATAAAAGGACTGGACACTCCAGGATGGACATAAGACAGTGTCACTCACACACTTTAATCTGTGACTCCAGACTGTCCTGGACATGAATCACAGTTCAGAGGAACTGTATGGGAATCATTTTTTATGCGCATTAATAGAGTTTTTAAGTGTCTGACAGTGATTTTACAGAACCAAACAGCACCCTGACGTTCTGCTTGTTGATTAGCTAACAGTTCAGAAGTCTGTTGCCATAGTAACAAACACAAAACACAGCTAAATCTGACCTGAAGGATCCTCCTGGGCTCTCCGTATCGGATGTGGACGGTAGAACCATCAGACTGAACCAGAACCACAGGGTACAGCCTCTCGTACTTTAGCCGACCACAGCGAACGACCTGGGTCCTGTTGGAGTTCTGAAGTACCGCGTGGGAGTGGAGGGAACAGACCCGGACCTCTGACCCGAAAGCACCCGAAGAGGACAACAAAAACCTACAGGGAGAACGATACGCACGCGCACACCTGCAGTCAGATTCATTCCTGATTCGAACACACACGAACAGTCTCTGGGCGAACGGAGCCGTTCCTTACCGTGATATGAAACCGGGAGGAAAATAAAGTTTGTTCAGTAACAAGTGAGCCATTTCTGTTCAACGGGTTAACAGAGCTCTTATCCGTTTATCGATCTCCGCTACCCAGGTCACGGGACGCTTCCGCGTTTACTTCTTCTGTGGTTTTGTGAGGCCAGCTCACCGGTGCTTTTGCGCCACCTACCGGACTCACTTTTTGATAGCAGCAAAGCCTTAGAAATAGACTGAATAGGAAAATGTTCATTCATTCATCTTCTGAACCCGCTTTGTCCACGCAGGTTCGCTTGTGTGTGTGTGTGTGTGTGTGTGTGTGTGTGTGTGTGTGTGTGTGTGTGGGGTGGGGGTGGGGGGGTGGGGGGGGGGGGTGGCTGGTGCCCATCTCCAGCAGTCAACGGGCAAGTAGGCGGGGTACACCCTGGACAGAGAGCCAGTCCATCGTTCTTATTTGAATATTTTATGAATGGGCAAAAGGATTTGGACGATGATATTACTTAACAGCAACATAAAAATTACCTTAGTTTAGTTTACTTCATTATAATATTCATTCAGAGTCCTCTATATTTTGTAAGGTTTTTTTATTAGGCCCGAGCAGCGAAAGCGCTGCGAAGGCCTCTTGTTTTTGCTCTGATTATTATTAGGCCCGAGCAGCGAAAGCGCTGCGAAGGCCTCTTGTTTTTGCTCTGATTATTATTATTTTTTGTTATTCCGTGCCCCCTTTGAACAGCTTTTTGGGGACCTTAACATACCCCAAAACTCACAATATTTTGCACACTTGTCAGGCCTGGTGAAAAATTTGATATTTTAAAGGTACCAAAAAAATCGCAAAGAAAATGGCTGAACAGCGCCCCCTACAAAGTGAAAAAAACCCCTCTCCATAAAGCTTAGTTTATCGTACAGTTATGAAATTTGGTACACTTGTAGTACTCAACAGTCCGCACAGAAAAGTCTCTTGCAACCATGGTCAATATCAAACAGGAAGTCGGCCATTTTGGGTTGAAATGGCGATTTTTTGCCGTTTTTGCCGTTTTTAGGGTCCGTTTCTGATTGGATTGCTCGATCATTTTTCGCACGATCGTCTCAAAAATTGTGTAAAATTGCTCAGAAGGGATGGGCGAACAAAATGAGATAAGGATTCTGAGTTTTCGTATATGTTGAAGGGGCGGAGCCAGGCCTCGAAGTTTGACTACTCGCCAAAAATATTTAAATTGCTATAACTTCATAACTGAATGGAATAGAGTTACCAAACTTTCTGTGGTCATTCGTCATCCACCCACAAAGTAAATTGAATGGTCGGATGATGACATCACACAAGCCCCGCCCCCTCAGGACCAAAAAGATCAAGTTTTACTGTGAAAGGTCCCAAATTGCCCCATTTCACTTAATCACCACAAATTTGTAGCTGGTAACTCAAGACAAGTGGGGGTTGCTTGGCGTCACTTTATGGGAGTTTTCGGCAGAGGGCGGGGCTGTGGCGGCGCGGCGAATTCAGGCGTACCGCCTTGGCCTTACGTTTGCCTCCCATTTCGTCATTTCCAAAGATATCGTCACGAAACTTCTTGTGAGTGATCCTAGTCCGGCCCCCCAAAAGATCTGATGTGAACATCTGGTGGGCGTGGCCTATTTTCTGAAATAGCGCCCCCTAGGACCATTAAAACTGTCAGCCCCAAGCCATGCTTTGACTGAGGATTACGAAATTTGGTACACTAATGTGGTGTCTCAGGACCTACAAAAAAGTCTCTTGAAGCCAAGTGCAAAGTCGCACAGGAAGTCGGCCATTTTGGTCCAAGTACGCGATTTAGTGGTTTTCGCACACGTTGTTTGGAGAGTGATGCTCCGTCGCCCTTTTCACCAATCTCCTTCAAACTTCTGCTATATATTCTTAAGACATAGGGGAAAAAATTCAACCGTCGGATTTTTCAAAAGTTGAAAGGTGTGGGCGTGGCTAAGCCTCAAACTTTGACCTGCCGCCACGCCACTCTTTTTTTCACAGCTCCCTACTGGACTCCTTTTACCTAATCACCAGGATTCTGTGGGAAACAGCAGTAGACAACTTGAGGTTACTTGGTCTCCAGTACTGGCAGGTTTTGAAAAAAGGCGGGGCTTTGGGAGCATGGCGAAAATCGCCATCACGCCATGGAAATACGTTTGCCTCTCATTTCTTCAGTTATCGTGATATCGCTCCGACACTTCTGGTGAGTGATCCTAGTCTGACCCCCAAGAGAAATAGACAGCTGAAGTTTGTGGGCGTGGCCTATTCTCTTAAATAGCGCCCCCAAGGACCATTTAAACTAATAGCCCCAAGCCAAGCTTTGACTGAGGATTACGAAATTTGGTACACTAATGTGGTGTCTCAGTACCTACAAAAAAGTCTCTTGGAGCCAAGTGCAAAGTCGCACAGGAAGTCGGCCATTTTGGTCCACGTACGCGATTTAGTGGTTTTCGCACACGTTGTTTGGAGAGTGATGCTTCGTCGCCCTTTTCACCAATCTCCTTCAAACTTCTGCTATATACTCTTAAGACATAGGGGAAAAAATTCAACCGTCGGATTTTTCAAAAGTTGAAAGGTGTGGGCGTGCCTAAGCCTCAAACGTTGACCTGTCGCCACGCCACTCTTTTTTTCACAGCTCCCTACTGGACTCCTTTTACCCAATCACCAGGATTCTGTGGGAAACAGCAGTAGACAGCTTGAGGTTACTTAGTCTCCAGTACTGGCAGGTTTTGAAAAAAGGCGGGGCTTTGGGAGCATGGCGAAAATCGCCATCACGCCATGGAAATACGTTTGCCTCTCATTTCTTCAGTTATCGTGATATCGCTACGAAACTTCTGGTGAGTGATCCTAGTCTGACCCCCAAGAGAAATAGACAGCTGAAGTTTGTGGGCGTGGCCTATTCTCTTAAATAGCGCCCCCTAGGACCATTTAAACTAATAGCCCCAAGCCATGCTTTGACTGAGGATTACGAAATTTGGTACACTAATGTGGTGTCTCAGGACCTACAAAAAAGCCTCTTGGAGCCAAGCGCAAAGTCGCACAGGAAGTCGGCCATTTTGGTCCAAGTACGCGATTTAGTGGTTTTCGCACACGTTGTTTGGAGAGTGATGCTCCGTCGCCCTTTTCACCAATCACTTTCAAACTTCTGCTGTATACTCTTAAGACGTAGGGTAAAAAATTCAACCGTCGGATTTTTCAAAAGTTGAAAGGTGTGGGCGTGGCTAAGCCTCAAACTTTGACCTTTCGCCATTACTTTACTTGACTTAATAACTCCCATGAGCATGATCAGATCTTTTTCAAACTTTGTCTGTGTGATAATTGACCATATCTGTAAAAAATGACAATGTGGACAGCTGACATCACCTAAGCCCCGCCCCCTGACTACAGGAATTCTATTTTTTTATGCTGAAATGCCCATATTTGTCCCCTCTAATTTAGTCAACAAGTCACCAAGGTCATGCACTGTCTTCATGATGCTGTATTGACCATTCAGATCTGATAGCTTTCCAGAAAGGGAGGGGCTTTGATGCCTTGGTGAATTCTGGCGTAACGCCGTAACCTTACAAATCATTTTAATGGTGAGCTCAGAGGGGATGCTGAGTCAGGGTGAGGTGCGGACTAGGAGGCCATTCGCGGATTCTAGTGTCGGGGTGGTTGACGTTTCTGTTCTGCCAGACGTGCCTTGGTGCCCCGGGCTGCCGGTCAGGCCGGAGCGGCGCGGAGCTGCGAGGGCCGAACGACGCTGCTTGCAGCTTTAATTAGGCCCGAGCAGCGAAAGCGCTGCGAAGGCCTCTTGTTTTTGCTCTGATTATTATTAGGCCCGAGCAGCGAAAGCGCTGCGAAGGCCTCTTGTTTTTGCTCTGATTATTATTATTTTTTGTTATTCCGTGCCCCCTTTGAACAGCTTTTTGGGGACCTTAACATACCCCAAAACTCACAATATTTTGCACACTTGTCAGGCCTGGTGAAAAATTTGATATTTTAAAGGTCCCAAAAAAATCGCAAAGAAAATGGCTGAACAGCGCCCCCTACAAAGTGAAAAAAAACCCTCTCCATAAAGCTTAGTTTATCGTACAGTTATGAAATTTGGTACACTTGTAGTACTCAACAGTCCGCACAGAAAAGTCTCTTGCAACCATGGTCAATATCAAACAGGAAGTCGGCCATTTTGGGTTGAAATGGCGATTTTTTGCCGTTTTTGCCGTTTTTAGGGTCCGTTTCTGATTGGATTGCTCGATCATTTTTCGCACGATCGTCTCAAAAATTGTGTAAAATTGCTCAGAAGGGATGGGCGAACAAAATGAGATAAGGATTCTGAGTTTTCGTATATGTTGAAGGGGCGGAGCCAGGCCTCGAAGTTTGACTACTCGCCAAAAATATTTAAATTGCTATAACTTCATAACTGAATGGAATAGAGTTACCAAACTTTCTGTGGTCATTCGTCATCCACCCACAAAGTAAATTGAAAGGTCGGATGATGACATCACACAAGCCCCGCCCCCTCAGGACCAAAAAGATCAAGTTTTACTGTGAAAGGTCCCAAATTGCCCCATTTCACTTAATCACCACAAATTTGTAGCTGGTAACTCAAGACAAGTGGGGGTTGCTTGGCGTCACTTTATGGGAGTTTTCGGCAGAGGGCGGGGCTGTGGTGGCGCGGCGAATTCAGGCGTACCGCCTTGGCCTTACGTTTGCCTCCCATTTCGTCATTTCCAAAGATATCGTCACGAAACTTCTTGTGAGTGATCCTAGTCCGGCCCCCCAAAAGATCTGATGTGAACATCTGGTGGGCGTGGCCTATTTTCTGAAATAGCGCCCCCTAGGACCATTAAAACTATTAGCCCCAAGCCATGCTTTGACTGAGGATTACGAAATTTGGTACACTAATGTGGTGTCTCAGGACCTACAAAAAAGTCTCTTGGAGTCAAGTTCAAAGTCGCACAGGAAGTCGGCCATTTTGGATCAAGTACGCGATTTAGTGGTTTTCGCACACGTTGTTTGGAGAGTGATGCTCCGTCGCCCTTTTCACCAATCTCCTTCAAACTTCTGCTATATACCCTTAAGACATAGGGGAAAAAATTCAACCGTCGGATTTTTCAAAAGTTGAAAGGTGTGGGCGTGGCTAAGCCTCAAACTTTGACCTGTCGCCACGCTACTCTTTTTTTCACAGCTCCCTACT